GATGGACGATCATATGCACACAAATACGCTTGGTAGCTGTGGGGCGAGAGGGAAAACTTAACGGGTCCCATAATGACCAGACTGGCTCTCCGATACTTCCTAGCTTAGCTACGGCTAACCTCGCGATGCTCCGAGCTGTCAAGTCATGTCAGTCAATACTCGTGTCATACAACGTCGCCGGACCTGCCAATAGAATCACTCTCCTCCCTTATCCTCCTCTAACAGGCACGCCTCCAGCCCTGTCCTTCCTCCCATACGGCTCAACAACGTCCTCCACTCTCTTTCGCTCTGCTTCCCTCACCCTAGCTAGCTCCTCTCGGAGCCTCGATCCGACCTAGTCTGCCGGAGCTTCCTGTCTGCACCTCTCTACGTCCCCTCTCCGTCTCGTGCTCAGAGTTACTTCCCTCTCACTCTGGCCCGCCATCCCTTCCTTCACCCAGACCACATTCCCGCTCCAGTAGTGCCGAGCAGCACCGTCCAAAGTGAGATCTGCCCTTCACCCCGCTGAGAGGGTCTAGTTCGCAGTCGGGAAAGTCTGGAGCCTTGAGCGGGGCTCGTAGGCACATGTTCTGTATCTACTGTCTGTCCCGAGGAGGCCAGGGCCCCAAGACTAGGAGGACTCCACAGGCATACCCGGGGAATGGACGGGGAGGACGATGAAGCAGCGGGCTAAGAGGGGGGGCGTGTGTTGGCCGTCGATCTGGAACCCGGGGTGCCAAACGAGACCGAAGGAAAAAGCTCTCTCCTGCTCTGTCAGTCCCGTCCATCGCCGGTAAGCTACGGTGTTGAGGGTGTGTCTGCCGAAAGATATCGTTCCTTCCCTCGCCTCCTGTCTTTTCAGACCTTGGAGCGGGTGTTCCTGGCTTCAGGAACTTATATTGACGTACGTCCCATGCCAGTCCCATTCCTCTCAATTTCTCCAAGCCTTCTCTCCATCTTCCAACATCTTTACTTTTCTTTGCTTGATCCAAACACCCAAGCATAGGAAAAGAACGTGTGGCTCGCCCGCCTTTTCAACACAGTCCCTCGAGCTGCGGAATTCAAACCCACGCTCATTTAACTTTGCTGTTTGTCTTAATCGGAAAACACCATCTTTGCACTCGCTTCGCCATCATTCCTCTCCCATCCTTGAGTCCTTCTCCCGAGGACATCCCACGAGGAATCTTGACCCCGGAGCATATCACACGGAGAACAAGCGCCCTTTTCCACTCCTTCACTTAGCAACAAAACCCATGCCCGCCCCGTCACGGAATTCCTGAAGAGTCATTCCTTTCACCTACGTCTTTTGCCTCCCAACTACCCTCCATTCTTTCACTTAGGGGTTCCGTGCTTGTCAAGGAATCCTTTTACAATCCAGTTGAGTTCACTTTCTCCCGTGGGGAAAAGAGGAAGAACGGACCAAGGTCGACGCATCAACCAGTCTCATACCAGTCCTCCGAAAAGGAGTATCTCCAGAAGAAAGAAAAAAGATATTGCTTCCAGAGAAGCAGACCAGATGATGGAGCACCCGCGCCCTGTGCTTCCCTCTCAACGCTATTCCCCTTCCCCAGTCTACAGCTACGATAGCAGACGATGTACGCCAACGGTACGTCAGCCGCTGAGAGAGTCGGCGGGCAATGCCCAGTCTACCGGCTCCCACTTGGGAAATCTCGCATCGTCGTGTCGTAACAGCCCTCTTGGGCTCTTCTCTCCGAGCTTGACGAGCATACCCACTCCACCCATCGTCCCATCTCAGGCTGGGTCTACCTATAGGAGCAGCAGTAGCCTGAGAAGGCCAGATGCTCTCCACATGGCAAGAAGGGCACGGCATGACATCAACCCCATCTACTATGCCCCTGAGTTCCGGCCCTACCGGGACAAGCAGGACCAGAAGGACCCCAATGAGAAGCAGATCTGGCCTCGCGTATTGGAAGATGCCTTCCTCGACTGTAAGCTTCCTTGACTGTGGCAGTATGAAGTCCCCTTCTAAAATTGTGTCTAGCACTGCTCATCATCCCGCACATGGGAAGAAAGAAGTATAGCATGCAGGGCAAGCAGTTTGGGCGTAACATGCTCATCAGCGAGTACCTGTGGATTGCGTACTGCTGCAGCTTGCAGCCTGGACAGAAGGCAGAGGAGAGAAAGAGGAAGCAAGTATCTAGCCACATTCAAGTGGTCAAGAAGATGTTTGAGAAGCACCGTTGCTGTAAGTCTGGCTTTTGTTATGCTATTAAGACTCGAGCTTACATGCCTCAGACCACTTCTTTTTCGTCAAGGACCCCGATAAAAGCGAGGCCCGTCTCAAGGACAACATGGAGATTGCTTCCTTCAAGGACAACCCAGTCCTGGTCGCTCTCGCCGAGGGTCGTCTTCCGGACGTGCGTCCCAACTACGAGTACTTTGCCCAGATTCTTGCCATGGACTCCCTCGTTGTCATGAGGCCCAAGACTGCCTGGATCTTCGTCGCTTCGTCCAACGTAAGGATGGAAGAGAATGGAGACGCCTATGACCAAAACGGCAAGCCTCTTGATCCCGACTACTACCCGCACTTGGAGAAGAACATGCACAAGGAAGACGGTCTATCAAGAGGCCTCAACGGCAGTGTCCTCTTGCATGAATACAACCGGGAACTCGCACAAAAGGAATCCGCTGCTGTCACGGAGATGTCCCAAGAATGGGAAGCCAAGTTCCCTCCCCTGCACAAGTCACTCGAGCACGCCATCCAAGAAAACAAATGGCTTGACATCTTGGAGATGACAGTCACACTGGAGATCCATCCCCGCAGCAACTTCCCCGCCGGATCCGAGCTGAACGGCTTCGTTGAGCTGAGCATTTCCCAGCCTGCGCTTCAGAACCATCGATGGAAGTGCGTTACCAAGTTGGCGCGGCCCGAAGAGCTTCGCCGAGCCGAGAACGAGCCCTGCATCATCGAGCAAACGAGCGAAGTTGGCGTGCAGTACACTCATCGACCCGGATGCCAGGAGAGCAAGTTTGAATGCGACTGCCGCAGCCGTCCCAGACAGGACGTCCGCGTGCCCTTCCCGGCGGCCGAGTGGGCCAGCATTCTCAGCACGTGCGCCGGCTACCTCGAGCCTGTCGACAACAAGTCCAAGATCGAGGACGATGAAGAGAGAACCAAGGCTGCTGAAGACGCCGCCCTCGAAGCCGAGCGTACCACTGCGGAACTGATTCAGCAGGTTGGCATGTTCCAGGAGCTCTGGTCTGCCCCGCCAGACAATTCTGACCGGCGAAACTGGGTGCGCCGCGGCATCATTCTCTGGAAGTTCCGAACAATCCACGCCTTTGACGACAAGTGGAACCCCATCTTTGAGAAGCCGGCGCCGCAGAAGGGCAGAAAGCCGGCCGAAGAGGACGCCGAGGACCAGAGCTCTTCATCCCGACGGGGTAGCCGCTCAAAGCGTGTTTTCAACCCTCCCGGCACGACCTGGCGCTTCCTTACGGCTCTGGACCCCGTTTCCTCGGCACATCAGCAGAACGTATGCGTCAACCCGGCGTCTGGCCCGAGCCGGGACATGCTCATGGCACCGACACCTCCCTACTCGCACCATCTCGCTGCCGTCATGAACGACAACCTCAGCCACGCTTGGGAGTCGGTCACCATGCCTGGCCAATTGCCGAGTTTGGCATCCACCGGAACACTTGGACTCATGGACAACTTTTCACACGGGCTCGCAACGCCTCCGCCAACCTCCATCCACTCGTCGTACGCAAGCAGCTACGATGGTAGCCACGAGCTGGCCAGCGGACAGCACCACCAACAACTTGACCTGTTTACCGCGGCAGCCTGCACTAGCTCCATGGACAACCAGAGCACACTTGTCGCCGATATGGGGTCTGCTCCTGCCGACCCGTACCTGTCGGCGACCGCGGGCATCCAGGTTTCAAGCGTACCCGTCGGCGTTTACGATGAGGGGGAGGTCGAGGGTATCTCCGATTGGGATACGGCGACTTCGTCCTTCCACAACCTCCATCAATGGAACGGCTGGAGCGAGGCGTCTGACCCAAAGACGCAGCAGTGGCAGAACGAAAACCAGCGCAGCGCAGCGGCCAACTCCAACCTCTGGGCCGAGAGCAAGGATCATCACACATGGAACCAGCAGCCGTGGGCCCAGGCCGTCTCGGCAGTCGCTGCCGTGGCCGGCACAGACGGCAGATCTGGATGGTCGCCAGTTGACCAACAGCGCGGGCTACCCTCGTTGGATCAACTCACCCCGCTCAAGTCGTTGACGGGTAACAGGAAGAGAGCGCGCTCCAACAGTCTCGACATGGAGAACAGGGAGAACTACCCTGCATCGATCCAGAAGCTGGTGCACCATCGAGCGCCGGCAGCTGTGATGGACGAGGCTGGTCACGGACACCGGACTTGGGAGTGAAACTTCACTCGGCCGGGCTGTACAGACGGAAAGGAATGCAGCGCTCTCCCGGAGATGTACCCTGCTTGTGTGTGTAAATCGATGGAGGAGCAATCCACATGCAGCGGCATCTGAGTAAGGGAGAAAAAAAAATGAGGTGTACTTTGCGGAGTTTTTGTTGACTTGGTGGGATGGATGACTGACGGCCGACTCATGTGTGAAACGCTCAGAAAGGTCTCTTAATTGGGATAGGGGTTAAAAAATATGTTCTGATGTATTAGAAAGAAACAGCACCTTTGATACCAATGCTTCTGTTGTTCTGTTATTACTGAGTTTGGTATTGCGCAATACTTGTAATCTCTTTTGAATAAGGAAAAACAAAAACTGCTTCGGTTTCCACGTCACGGTTACATTGGTCCGACAAGAGACGTCTTGTTTCTCCTGTCATCCTTCATGCCCGCAAACATCGGGTTGGGACGAGCGAGTGGCTCAGAGAGCTTCGCTGGAGTGATGAGATGAAACGCTCAAAAGTGGCCTGCCTGCCTGTGTCCGCATTCGGAGGCTACCTGTAGTGGGCTTCGTCTTTTTTTCATCAGCGTTTGAGGTGATGGAAGCTTAAAAGATCAGATGATCATCTGGTGCCAAGGCTTATGTTTTGTGAGACGCTGCCAAATTGTGGTTCCTCCGTTTCTTTGCTTTGCATCTTGTCGCAACTCGACGGAGCTCTGGTGTGGATTCGAAGTCGTAGGCGTCGCCATCGCCGTCGTCGTCAACGCTGTCATTGCCCTCGTCACCCGTGCCGCCCGGACATTGCGCTAATAGCTTCTCACCATTGCCCTCGCGAGGAGGACTCACTAGCGAGTGGGACATGAGAGTTGCATATTTCATTCGAAGCAACAGAACTAGATTGCCGAGCAGGAGCAGCGAGTGGAGTTGTGCACGCGGAGACCTACCTATCGCATCGTGCAAAATGTGAGCGCTCCCAGAAAGTGTCACAGATGAGACGATCAGTGGGAAAAGAGCCGAGGATGTTCGCAGGGGTCCTTCTTTTCCTAGGTTGGGACGGACGAGGGTTTGCGGGTGCGTGGTCTGAACAACGTGGACGGCAGCCGCGGATGAAACGCTGCGTGTCTGAAACTTGGTGACCGACTTGTGTAATACCCCGAACGGTGGCCAAAGTTGGGAAATAGGGGGGTTGGGAACTCGGGTGATTTCTCTCAAAACTTTCTTCTTTAAGACCCTATCTTTGGGATAGGACTTGGAGTCGTGAAATCCATTGATCGCGTGACGAAGGATCTTGGCGATAGAGCAAGCGCTGTCAAGTTGAGCCTCAGCCACGATTGGACTGGACTGAAGCCATTCGCCAAGATCTCGCGCCCGGGGCGGGCTGCTAGCGGTGGAGCATGAAAAAGAAAGACCGGGATGCGCACAGACGATGAGACAAGGTAGTTTGTGAATTCCCACCAGCGAGGAGGATCCAATTGTAGATGTGCTGGGGTGTGGCTTGCAGCTTGAAGGCTCTGGAGCATTGAACCCAGAGGCGTAGGTGACAATCTCCCGATAAGTGAGATGGAGTGGTCTAAGCGGACGAGTGAGCAGAACCGGGAATATCCTGAAGAGCACTTACTTCGCACCCAGGGTTCACTTACTTCGCACCCTCTTTCACCCATCAACCTTGCTTGCTGTTGGTCTTGCTTTGCTGTGATGGTGTCTCTGAACACTGGTTACCATGGCAAAGAGATGTGGCAAGCAAAACGACGAACAGGGAAAATGGAGCGAAAGAATAAGAATGACAGCCTGGCTCGGCATTCTCTGTTCATCGTGTGCTAAGTAGGGGCCGCTGGACCGTGTTCCGAGTCGAGTTGCATTTCGCTCTTCTAGACGCCGTCCAGACGTCCAAGCTTGTGCTTCCCTGACGTCCGTAGACGGGCGGTCCATTGCGCTTGCATGGATTTCGGTCCGTCTGCAATGAAAGGTAACGACCGGGGTGTTGTGTATGCGGCTGTTGGCTATTGCTATTGCTCATTAAGATCCCTGATGTGGGATTTTGGAGTAGGTCGGTGCTCCAAGGTAGGTTGGAATCTTGTATATTCGCGACTCCGTCCGCGGCAAAGGAGACCGGGATGCTTGGCGCAAGGCTCCCATTGAGAATTTCTTTGGCATCAAGCAAACTGCCATGGAACACTAGTCAGTTGACTGGACGGTAGACCGTAGTGGGAACTTGGCTTTCTGTTCACTTCCTTGCTTGTTGCATTCCTGGATCCATTTTCGTCGATGGTTTCGCGGCAGTCTGCGCCAACGGTGGCCAATCGAGTAGGTTACCAGGCCCTTGTGTCCGGCGGCGCGGCAAGGCCAAATGGGAAAGGAGAAAAGAGGCTGAGTCGATCTTACGGTGACACGCGAAATAAGCAAGGAAAGAGGGAAATGGTCAACGGGAATGGCGCCCGGCGCGTTGAAGGTGGAACGAGCACTGAGAGGGCCAGAAGCAGCCCAGGCAAGTCAAGTCGTGGACAGGTGCCAATTTTGGTAGGCGCCGCAAGGTGCAGAGGTGCTGGCTGCCAGTCAAAGTGGTGGTGGACCCTTGGGTCTGGAGCTCGCTTAATTCGGGCATGGGCCGCATGGACCTGATTGACTGGATGAGGTGCATCGCGACTCGCAGGGCCTTCTGGACTCTGCGAGAGGAGTGCGAGCCCCTTGTTCCAGATTTTGCTGTGAAGCATGGGGGTCAAAGTCTCTCGGCCATACGTCTTGGCCTGGAGAGATACATGTTTCGGCGTTCGCTGCCCATCCCTGGGCACAGGGACCGTGGCGCGTAAGGCAACCCAAGATCGGTGCAACCCCACGAAGGGTCGGTACCTTACAGAGGGAGACCGGCGCCGATTGGTACATATGGCCCTGGTCCTACTGTTGCGCCCCACCCGCACGCAGCGTAAGGTAAGGTAGCGCGGACCATCTCCCGTCAAGTGCCCACACGTCTCCCCGACCTTGGTGCGGATGCCATACCTTCAACCTTGGGCCCTGCGCGCCAAGATGTCCACCTCAACCTCCGCTTTTGCTTTTCAAACATCAACCTTGGCTCCTTAGGCGCATCGTGCTTGACTGGCGACCAACACCTCGCATCAGAAACATGCGCTCTTCTTCGTCCCATGCCCAGCCGCGTCCGACCCTATGACCGGTCCCCCGGCACACGACCGATATTGCTCGCTCTTTGGCCAGATGTCCAAAATTCCCCCTGTCCGAGTGCCCATCCCGTCCTTCACCGTTGTCGTTTTGGATCGCAATTCCCACGATGCGCCGCATGGGTGTTTGCCTGTCATTCGGGTACCCATCCTGCGTCGATCTCGACCCTCCTCCACGGGTTAAGCAGCTAGAAGGAAAAATGTGAGTCTAGATGCGTGTAGGGATATCCAGGTTGAGGCGGCAGACGTGCTCCATAACCGCCTGGAGGGGGGGAGGGGGGAACGATAGACAGACGTGATATTAAACCAACCCGGCCTCGCATCCCAAAATGGTCTTATGGTTTTCACCTCACCCCCTCATCCACCAAAAGCCCTTCTTCCTGGCCTCGCTAATCCCACGGGATTCACAAAAGAAAGTGGAAACAATCGCATTGTGTCCCTTCTTCCCTTGAGGCCCATTTTTAAGACCACCTTAATTTCCGTGGCTGTCGTTGTATGCGCTTGAGGCAGGCAGGCACCTTCCTTTATCCGTTTATTGTACCTTCCTCCCGGACCGAGTCGACTGTTCGCTCTTGCCTCGCCTTTCAACCACCTCGCACCTTATACCGACGCCCCACTTTGCCCGAGATATTAATCTTTGACCTCAACCATCGCCATATGTAACAGCACAACAAGGCTCCGTTACTCTACTTTTCTTTCGCCTTCTATTCTTGACTCAGCTGGTATCTGACTGCGCTGGACGTCTTAAATGTGAATAAAAAATTTACGTGTGTAAACAAACAAACTTCTTGGTCTCGTTCAGTCCAGCCACGCCAGTCAACAGATTACACCTGCCTCACGGAGAGCCCACGCTCATAAAATACCCTAGAGGCTGCCCAACTGTCAATCTCAGGAATTTCACACTACACAAACTCATACACACATACACATCAAACATAACACTGGAAATTTCGACTCTTCTGGAAGACTCGAAAACCCGCGCTCCTTCCTGCCACAAGATAACCCAACCCGACCAGGTTTGTTTGCCTCCTTCCTCCAGCTCACAAACGTAAACCCTAACTCATCTTTCCCACCCAGATACACATTCAATCCTTTTCTGATTTCTTCAAATCCGTTACCACTCTTCACTTTCCTCACTTTCCCTTCAGAATCGTCACGACTCCATCAAATTCTTCACCTCTATTACGCTCTGTGAGCATCAAAAGCTTCATCACTTGAAATTCCCATTCATAATAATACCCACACCCTTCTCTACACATTCATCCCTCAAGCATTCACCATGGTTCGCCCAAACTCGTTCGCCATGGTTGTTGCTGCAATCATCGGTGTCCCGTTGGTCGAGTCTCACACCTGGGTTGAGCAGCTCAACCGCGTCGCTGCCAACGGTACTCTCGTTGGTCCCGATGGCTTCTCTTCTGGATGGGCTGGTCGCGAGGGCAACTTCAACGACAATGCCTACACTATGCGTATGCCGGATATGGGCTTCAATTTGTGCGAGAAGCAGACTCTTGGCACCCAGGCCAAAGGCTTCCCAGCCTTGACCGCTGCTCCTGGCGACTTCGTCTCCCTTCGCTACCAGGAGAACGGTCACGTCACTATTCCCAGCGCGCCTGGAGACAAGCCCCTCAATCGTGGCACTGTCTTCGTCTATGGCACCACCCAGCCCAAGGTGGACGCCAGCCTCTTCGATGTTCATCGCCAGTGGACTGCCGACGGCAAGGGTGGCGATGGCACTGGTCGTCTCTTGGCTACTCGCAACTTTGACGATGGTCAGTGCCACCAGGCCAATGACCATCCCATTTCCAAGGAGCGTCAGGCCAAGTTCCCGCACGAGGCTATTCAGCCCATGGGCGTGAATATTTGGTGCCAGACAGCCATCCAACTCCCCGAGGACCTGGCCCAGAACTCCGACTACTCCATCTACTGGGTCTGGTCCTGGCCGACTCTCAAGCCGGATGCCATTGCCAAGTCCAGCGATGGCCAGTTCGCCGACTTCCCCGCTGGCTTCACTGAGGACAAGCGCGCTGTCACCTCTGAGGATGTCGTGCACGCTGAGGTCTACTCCAGCTGCAGCTCCATCAAGATCCAGGGTGAGAAGCTTGTAGCCGGCGCCAAGGCTTCCTCGAGCTCCAGCAAGTCTACCAACGATCTGTCTACGTTCACCTTCCCTGAGAAGCAAGACTTCAACTACAATGCCATCAAGGACCAGCTCGCCAATGCCTTCCAGGTCAGCGTCAATGGCCAGGCCGCCCCCAACAACTCGGCCCCCAACAACGGTACTCAGAGCAGCGCTCCGGTTGCCACTCACACTCCGACTCCCACTGCCCCAGCTGGAGCCGCCAGCGACACCAACAACGCTCATGTTCTCGTCGTCACGGCTCCTGCTATGACCCTTTACTCAATTCTCACCGTCACCGTCCCTGCTCAGTTGCCTCCCACCCCGACTCCCACCGGAGGTCAACAGGCTGCTGAAGCTAGCGTCACCCCATTCCTTCAGGGCCGTCACATCAGAGGTAGAGACTCTTGGAACTTCGGCCAGCGCAACTAAGCAATTGGGAGTCCACGTCACGAAGGCACTATAAGGGGCACGCATCATCTGCTCGATTGTGCACAACATGGTTCAACCTTTTCTGGCTCGATGATTTCTTTCCTTCTCATTCATTGCTATTCATCAACAATACCCGGCATTGCACTACCACTCTCTTGGAGTTTGGGCTCTTTTTTCGGTATCGCCAAAGTCATACAGTACATACATAAGTACATTCAGTTACAGGCATCACGTTCTCTTCGAGTTTCCGGCATCCACGGTCACGGAATTGGACAAAGGGTCATGAACAGGAGTATCACGGTCGACATTTCGGATTTTCAAGCATCGCCCCAGGTGAACATACGGGCAGGTTTTCTTTTTCTTTTCTTCTTTCTTGACCACCAAGGCATATAAACGGAATGGCATTTCCGGTCGGCGTTGGAGGATAAAGGATGATACCAACTTCTTTTTTCTTTCGTTGCCTCATATGTTGAGGAAATTTCTTTGTCAAATGGGAGGGTTTGTCTCTCAAGATTATTCAAGTCTCCCCCATGGGTATATGGGAGGAAAGGCTCCCAATGTATCACGCTTTTTTCAAGTTCTCGCCCGCACAACAGCTTTCTACTCATTTCGACATTCGGATTCTTGGTCTCCCTTTTGTCTGGGCGGCTTGACGCTGCACCACAGAGACATGAGATGGAATGACGGGATGAGGTTACGGAATGGATGATTGAGGGAGGCAAAAACATCAAATGGTTATGGAACGCAGAGGCTATAGGGCTCGCCTGGAGGGTGGTAGTACTATGGAAGCCAGTTCACACATTTCTTCTCGGCACTTCTTCTTTGGTGACTCACATGTGACACGTCTTGACCCTTGACGCAGCAGTCATCTGGACTTATATGACCCCTTTGACTTACCTGGATGCTGTTCGGCACACGCATCCCATCTGTGTACCAGTCACTTACATCAACTAGGGCATGTTCAATATCAGGGACCAGTGTGAGTTAGCTGTGCTTTCAGTTGTAGAATATCAATATGAAATGTCTCTTGTAAATAGGAAGATGGTGTAGCTCGGTGTTTGATGCGGGTGCCCTGTCCCACACCTCCAGTTGGAAATCAAGCACAAACAATAACATAGTTGTCCCAAGAATCTTCCAGACGATTAACCGTTGGGTGTAGAATATTATAAGTGCTCTGGCAGAGGAAAACCTAATCGACGAGACCTGACTGGGTCCGCTTTCCCACTGAGCCATGGACGAGGCTGGACAAGAACCTCAACGGTTACCGGGTCAGCCACCCACCGCACCTTCCCATGCACCTTCCCAGATTCGCCCACCCGTATACCAAACCTTCATCCGATACTTTTCTACTACGACCAAAGGCTCTATAGGCCCCGTCAACTCCAATCCTGTCACCAGCACAGGAGGCGCCCCTCTAGGTCGGGGGGTCAGGTCAAACTGTGTCGTGGTGGAGGGGTTCAAGGTCCTACGCCAACAGCCTACTCGACGACAGGCTACGAGTTCGAGTTCGATTCCCAGCAAGTGCACCAGAGATGTAGCCCCCACCGGGGGGTGAACTCTTTTGCTTTTTAGACCTTTTGATATTTAGTCATTATAGGAGAATGCCAGGGATCACAATGGCTATGTGAGAGGTCTGGGTTTTTGAGTGAAGCACCGTCGAGTGCTTCCCTCCCAGTCTAGCACTCTAATGGTCGTGGAATCTCTCGATACCCAAGGCAGATAGAAAGTGTAGCACGAAAGTCCTCAGGCGCCCATATCACAAGCAATCTAGCTAGAGCTTGATGGATATGGAAGTAACGCAAAAAGTCTGCACCTTCCCATGCACCTGCATTGTGACTGATCAGCGAAGTTCTGTGAGAAAAAGATGATATGTGTTGTTTCAAGACGACGGTAAAGTCAAGATCCATCGGCTAGATTAAGCACCCCCCACGCTTCCCATGAGGTTTATATGATTGCTCCTGTATATGGTTGATCGACCACGCCAATAATCGTTACACCTCACGCAGTCTTCCCTCCTCCCCTGTTCTCCCCAAGACGTGCTCATTGGTCGCTCAAGGCGACGATTGGCTTGCCTTCGATTTCGAGCATCCAGATGTCCAACGAGGCGTCAACCAAATGTGGTTTTTATTAACAGCCAGCGACGACGGGCCGGGCAAGATTTGTGCTGAATGATCTTTGGGCCGTCATCGCAGAGTATCCAGAGTCACTGAAAGTGGTGGTCTTCTTCTTCCTTGGAAATTAAGACAGCTAGGTGATTGATCCATCAATGGTGACCTAGGATGGTTTAACGGCTTGGGGTACGAGTCCAAGTATTCACGACACGAGACATCTCTCATTTACTGCGGATTTTGTATGCCTTGAGCTAGACCAACTCGATATACTACATGACTATGCGAGCCCAAGAAGCGAGCCAGATGCCATCACCAACTTCTCCGCTCCGAGTTCGGAAGCTCATTCTCAGTCCCAGACTCAATATATCAGGAATCAGAACAAGTGCATTCATGCTCCAGCCTCGCAAGGCGGCATCGAGAACGTTTAAACAATATGTCTTTGCTCATCCCCCTCGGGTGGAACATAATCCGAGCTACAAAGGCCAGCCCTACATCTCACCGCACTGCGCGATAACCACGTCCTGGTTCGGCTGGTCTTTACCGCGGTACCCTGTCTTGGTGGCCTCCATCATCTTGACAACGTCCATACCGTCGACGACCTTGCCAAAGACGACGTGCTTGTTGTCCAAGAAGGGGGTCGGGACGGTCGTGATGAAGAATTGGGAGCCGTTTGTGTTGGGTCCGGCGTTCTGTAAGATGGGAACGATGGCATATTAGCCGAGTCATTTTGATTATCAAGTATTTTTGAGGTTGACGTACGGCCATGGAGAGCAGACCGGGCTGGTCGTGCTTCAGGTTGAAGTTCTCATCGGCAAACTTGGAGGTGCCGTAAATGCACACCGAGCCGGTGCCGTCGCCATTCAGGAAGTCACCGCCCTGGCACATGAAGCCTTGGATCTGTACGGCATCGTCGTCAGCCGTGTCCCGTCTTCAAGTGTCTCAACCGCGATCTTCTTCAGTTCTTAGTCCTGGATGGGTCAGGTTTGCCGATGGGGGTAGGTAGAACTCACAATACGGTGGAACTTGGAGGCCTTGTAACCCTGCGGACGACCCCGGGCATCCTTGGACTCGCCGGTGCAGAACTGGCGGAAGTTCTCGGCCGTCTTGGGCACGACATCCTTGAAGAGCTCGAATGTGACGCGGCCGAGCGGCTCACCTGCGCAATTTCAAAGAAAGGTCAGAAACGGTATTGTCAAGACTGGACAGCAAAGGGTGCTTCCAGACTCAGGGGCTTTCGGAAGGGGCCAGATAGAAGCGCAGACTGAATTGCAGACCGAGAGAGCATAGCCACACCGAGGAGCCAAAGTAGCTACCAGAGCCTCGAAGCTGGGTTTGCTGAGCCACAATGACTGTTCGTGAACGGCAGTCTCTATGTGGCCCTGGGGGGCACTTTCAAGGCCATGGACTCATGTTGGCGATGGCAACCTGGCTCGCCTGTGGGCGAGAGTGCCCGGGATGTAAGGCGAAACCTTGAAGTGGTCCGTCTATCTCGGCATATGCACACGTGCATGAGGTCTGCGAATAGCTTCACGGTCCCAAGACTTCAAGGGACCAGGGCGACGGACCAGTCCTCGAGCATGGGCCCATTACCCGAAGCACCCGGCCAAGACATGAGGGAAGAGTTGAGCCGATGGCGAATGGCCAATACATACCGCCAAGCGTAATATCGAAAAAGACCCTATTGACGCAGACTCCGCGTTAGCTTCCTCGCCGTATAAGTTGATCAAGACGGTGAAGACTAGTGGAACAAGCTCGGGGGGTAGTGGGTTGCGGCCATCTCCCATTTTCCCGTCTACATCGCAAGTGTTGACACCCCTCTATCCTACTCTCAAGAAGCCAAGAAGCCGAGGAGCTTTGAGAAGGGTGTGGACGCCGGGTGCTCAGCCACCGCCACCACTTCGAGATGACTGCAGCCCCTCTCAAAGCCCAGGCCGGTATGGAGGTACCTTGTGGATGAACAGCGGTGGAAGAGAGAGCGAGGCGTGAGTGAGATAAGATAATGAGGGGGATAAGCGGATTTGGGTATCCACGGAGGATGCCGTGTAGGCTGGACCTTTTGTAGATCAATAGAGGAATAGACTTAGACTTACAGCGGGTTGCCGGACTCCGGGAGCTTCGTGGGAGGCATGGCTAGGGTTTGCCGTGGTAATTTAGCCGTAGGGAGGTCGCGTGGAAACGGGGATGGGAAAAAAAAAAAAAGTAGATTCGACCCCAGCTGCAGTGTTTCCTTCTCTTCCGTGGGCGCCGGGCGGAAAGGCTGTGTTTGGAAGGCGGGGTTTTTTGAGAAATAGGCGGTGGATGATTCTGCAGTGAACCTTCGATATCCAGTATTATGGATGCGGGAAACTTCGATCCGCAAGGTGGCTGCCATTCACACACTACCTTAGGCAGGTAGGGATTCGCTGCGAGAAGCCCGCCTGTCCTGCACCTTGGTGGGGCCGCCCAGCCCGTCCAACGTGCGGAGGCCACCTCACACGCCTGAGCCGAGTTGTCGGAACGCAAGCAGACTTTTTGGAGACTCAGCCGGCGCGAACCTGTCCAGCTCACCTGGGCGACTGGCTGGATTTCAGCGACATGCAGGGCAGCCCGTTTTGTGCGGAGGGACCAACCCAAACGGGCCAAACAAGGCTTTTACTTATCCACGGGGTGGCAGGCAAATGCCTCAGTGCAGGACCTGCAAGCCACACTGAATCCGAACTCCCGCCAATTGACTTTCTCTACGCGTATCATTCGTTGTGCTGTTCCGCGATGTGTGACAGCTCACGACTCCCCTGGGCCCCATCTCACTGGACTCCTGACAGTGACGAGAATGTCTTGATTCGAGTGAAATCTGAACGGCGTAGATCCAATGTGTTCTACGCATAGTCACTCTCGTTCTCCTATGGACTAGATAAGGAGGCAAAGACCAGATCCAGCCGCCCAAAAACCTAGCCTGTTTCTGCAATGCCACTGCCTCTTGGATTATCTCCATCAATCCTTAGAAACCAGTTTGCCACATAGGCCGTGGCTTGATAGGTAATCCCTTCGGCTTTGACAGTTAGGCCGCCCTAATGCTCCGTGATACAAGGACCCTTCATACGTCGCAAATCTACCCAGGCCTGCGGGTCGGGGCCCCCCGCTTGATCGATTGCGGCAAAGCCCACGGGTGCTGATGACAGATGTCATTATCAATGACGGCAAAGTTGACAGAGCCGGAGTTCACCACCTCGGGAAACCTCAAGGCGTTTTGTCTTCCCGATAACTTGGGGTGAGCTTTGTTTCCGCCTTGACCCCCAAGAAAAGCAGAAGCCAAAAAAAATATATTTTACGAAGCGGCCAATTCGCTATGCCGAGAGATATTCTATTGCTTGGCCGAGATAGCGTGTACGAGCCGCGATCCTCAGCGCTGACCCGCAACTGAAGGACCAGAAATTCATACCAACGAAATGCTCTTCTCTTTTGCCGTCCGCGTAAAGAGAGACCGCTGCCCCGGCCCCCTCGACGCCGGGTCCGGGGAAGGGAAGTTCAATAGTCCAATCACAGATGCCGGGTTCTCCGGCGATCCGGCAGAGGAGGTTGTGATATTTGCTTGATACCAGAGGATGCGAAGGAAGCTGATGAATTTAGAGACCCGGCCAAAATCTCACCATGGACTCTCATTTTATAATCTGATTTCCCAGGATTTCAATGCACTGATATTGAAACCGTTCGACGGGACTATCAGTATCCGCCAGGTAGAGAGCCGTAGACAGTAACACCGAGTCGTTAGGTCAGATAATGAGATGATGAATGACTTATCAAGCTTCCTATGGTATCGGCAACTTGCCGGATACACTTGAACAGAAATTTCAATGTAAAGAAGAGGACACCCGGCGCAAACTCAAACGTCCTGCTTGGCCGGGAATCGGCCGTAACCGGCCTGAGCGTCGTGTGCCCTCATCACCAGTGATCTTCACCATCGTCAAACACCGCAGTCAAGGAAATATGTCGGCTTCGTTCACTTGCACGTGGACTGGGCAGGCGCGGAGAGACCTGCCGCAGTTGTCATCCTCGGATTCAACAGACACTGCGTCAATGGAACATTGGGACGTCATGCAGCAAAGGCACGGCGAGGTGGTCCACCCTGCAATGTGCTCTCTTCACTCGTCGAAACTTAGAACCTAGCAAAAAGGGCTTTGGGAAGAGATATCGACGCCCCGGTGCTTTCCTACCGATCCCCCGGAACGGTGAAATCCTCGGATGAGCCGTCTTCCGGTCGGCCGTCGTCCGTGCCGAGGCCGGACGTCGCCGAAGATATAGTTCCTTGGTTGTTCAAGTCGTCAACCTCAGGCCACCATGGGCAGAACTTGACTCAGGACAGCCGTGGGCCAAGGGCACGCGAGACGTGAAGGTTCGCTGCACATCGTGAGCTCGGGCGTTACATAGTATCATTTATTGGGAAGAAAAACCAACAATTTATTAAGCTTCTTCGAGTTAAAGAAATACGGGGGAAAAGCTCAGTGGTCGCACTTGAAACAGTAGATCAGCCACATTGCACTACCTGGACCTCAGCCTTCAAGTTCCTGTGGCAGTTCCAACGGTCAAGGGGAAAGATGGCATTGAACAATAAATTGCTTCTCAAGGTCATAGGTATTATTCTCTTGCGCCCAAAATGTGCACCTTGATGTTGCCCGTTTCTGGATGATTGGCGCATGTAGCCCCCACGTAACTGTAAAGCGGAGTTTTCTCACTTTGCAGCCCTGCCTCTCTCCGTACTTTACCTTACATGATTACGGATACCCTCCGCCCCGAGATCGTCTCAAATCGGAGCAAATATCGCGCAGAGAACCCCGCGACTTTGGCTGCAGCTGAGCCCGGGGTTGAAAGTGAGGAGAAGCCCCGTCCACCAAGGGTCTAGTAACGGCAGGCCGCGTCACGGAATTCGGGGTTTAGTTTGCGTCGCCAAATACCCAGCCCCTCTTGGCTGAGGCAGCCGGGGGGGAGGAGGGTTGATGCCATCGACTCTACACGTGCAACGATATGGGAGGATTTTTACCCCTCCCCCGGTTGCTACTGCGTCAGCCATTGCAAGTATCCCGCATCACGACGGGCGTGGGAGTCTGGAATGCTTGGAAAGCTCCTGGGCCCTCGCCACAGTCGTCTTGGGGAGAAATTTGAATTGCTGGATGAGACCTCAATAGTGACACCCTCGAGCAGATTGGCGGGAGCGGAGTGAAGCGTCTGACAGGCTGGCTTTAGTTGCAAGCCCATCAAAGACGGCTTTCCTCATTGCCGTGCTGCCGTGGTGTGTCAGCCGCGCCGCCGTTATCGCCAGCGGGCTAACAAGTCGACACTTGACAGTAAGCTCGTAGGCGGGGGGGAAAAAGGGAAGACAAAAAAGTCCAGACTCCCCCCGGATGGCGCGGCGCAGAAGATCGACACCACCAGAACAGGGTGGAGCAGATGAGGAGGGGGCCGGGCTCGGATGATAGAGAAGCCTGTTCGACTCCATAGAAATGATCTCATTGACTGCTGGCGATCCAATAGTGAGCGCGAGTCTTTTCATGATTCGCGGAAACAGGACTTTTCGACTTTCAGACTCTCTTCCGTTGGGGATCTGTATCTTATGTTTCGGGCGCGGTTGGTTCCCCCCACCTGATCCACGCATGGCCCGCTGACCGGTTGTCCACGATACGAGTCCTTCAATACGGAAGCAGACTGGGGCATCTCAAGACGAGGGCAACGATTGAAGGTAGGTTGGCGTGGTAGGCACAAAGACACCAAATATGTTGGATGCCGATATTAGGTAGTGGTTGCGGGTCGACATAGGTGATATTGGAGGCGTAGATAATGATTTGGAATGCCAAGTCTTCTTTACACGTTCCATGGCGCGTTCGCACAGCCCTGCGCCAGCCGTTGCCCGGTTCCGGGGGAAAAGTCAAATCAAGAGTGAACTTGACAGGAAAGGTCTTCGTTCTTGCGCAGCAAAGATAAGCATCTGGCCCCCGCGAGACTAATGGCCTGACATCACGATAGTCACGCTACAACACAGGCGGTGCCGCCGATTCGCAACCAGGGCTTGGGCGAAGGAATTGCTTAGTGTTTTCGTTGGCGCCAAACAAAAAAGCGGGAAGGGGAAGATATGGTCAGATGTCTCCCGAAGACGTACATACTATGTAGATGTGCGGCTCCGGCAGGCACCGGAGTCGAACCTCGAAATCCGCGAGACCCGGAAGCCTGGGGTTGTGGTGTGGTTGTTGCCGGTGCGAAGGGCAATCCGATGAATCTCCCTCCGACGGTGAGGGGCATCTACTGATCCGCTTGCAACACCCCAGGTCCGACCAGGTCCGACCAGGTCCGACAGAGATTGGTCAACGCTGATTTGCAGTGAAGACTATGATGGCATGATCCCGGTTACATTCCATGACCTCTCTGAACAACTGCCCGGCGTGCCAGCCTCCCAGCTTTCGAGCCCTCTGAAGATTTTATTTCCCTCACAAATGTGGGCGGAATGATGTTCTAGAGAACCATGGCAGAGGCAAATGTTTTCCTTGGCCAACTCACAGAGCGGGCGTTTGGCTGCGATTTGGTACTCGGACATTTCCAGCGAGAAGGCCACCATACCTCATGCGTTTGATTTTTGATGGAGGTGCGAAGGCAAGATAAAGTCGGTGATAATCCAGGTACTCTGCAGCCGAAGACTGGGAACGTTATGGTCAACGAACGGGAGCCAAGCCGTTTTTGTCGCCGTCATCAACGGCGGGGATAAGTTGGTGTGTCCGGATTTGACGGCACTTACCTTCGGTCAGCGTCATTAGTTGAAGCAGCCCCCCCCCCCCCCCCCCCCCCCCCCCCCCCCCCCCCCCCCCCCCCCCCCCCCCCCGCCCCCCCCCCACCACCTCCTCCCTTTATCCTTCGCTGTTTCTGTCCGCGCTCGTGCTCCGCTCTTCCCCCCCCCCCCCCCCCCCCCCCCCCGCGGGGGGGCGGTGAATCGCGTGGCCAACTGGCGATAGGCTCTTCTTCCATCCGTATGCGATCTTAGTCACGGATCAATCGGCTTGCCCTCACCCGTAATTTGCTAGTTGAGACGGCCTGATTCAAGTTCTAGAGGGCGAACTAGTCATTTGGTTGCATTTTTGAAATGTTTGCGTTAATCAATAACCACGTCAGTAAACTAACTCAAGTAATTGGCCGCTTCAATAACAGTCAAGTGTATTTATGAAGGAAGCGCCTGTGACTGAATGCGAAAGTTGGGTGACCCCAGGGACAGCAGAATTCCCAAAGGAGATCAAGCTTTACCAGGTGGGCGTCTGAGCGTTTCCAGGGGTTTGGGAGTTTGAGACGGAGCAAGACACAGCAGTGGATCAAGAAAGCCGTTCACTGGCCAGAGAAACGTAAGATTGTTCGAGTACTGGCATCTGATAAAATGTTTGAGACATACATGTGTCGTGTTGCTAGAGCAGTGCTATTGCGCTTTTGATGTCTGACAACTTGGCCTGGGGAACACCGACTGCCAAAGCAGCGGTCTGGTGCTCGGGCTGGCCGAGTTGGCACTGACATCGATTAGACGTGGCTGCGTGAGTGCGCCTTTTCAGAATGCTGGCGGCAGGGTCCGAGGAGTCAATTCGACTGGGTAAAGAGGATGACACATTGACAAATGCTTGAATCAAGCAAGCCCAAACTGCCGATGAAGTAGTTGTGGCAAAAAGGCGTCGTCTTTGTCCGTGATGCTGAAACATTGGAAAAGATGAGGTGAAATCAATTGCCCGTCGGCCCTAGCGTTCCGAAAATGACCATCTGAACTTGCGAGTGGTTGCAGCGGCAGCCATCATGTTATTGCTCGCCATGAACAATAGTTCGTGGCTATTATTAATTGCTGTTGTCAGCTTCAGACCGACCATCTTGCCGGAGCGCAGCGCTGAGATGCAAGTTCTATTAATGATCATGTCTGAGATGTTGAGACGTATTCCAGACGAGGCTCAGGAAGGACGTCGTATTCCGTGCCAGTTGATTGCGTTGTTTCTTTTCATCGTATTGGACGGATATGTGCGTGTTGTGCTTCTTTTTTCCCCACATAGCTTATGCGCCGAGACCCACGGGTTAGTCCTTGAGGATTGTGTTGAAGATTTGAAGGCTTGCCAACTATGTGGCTTTTCCCGGGCTGGGGTAACCGTACTTCGAATCGCTGCCGCACTGCACAAGAACGTCAGAAACGAAGTGCACACGGATTAATGATGGCGCGCTCGGTTGCTCCCATCTGCAACTGCAAGGCACAGCCCAGAGCTAACCTCCAGGATTGTACAATCCGATGGCTCGTCTGACACTGGCTTGACTCGCATGAGCGCGATGTCCGGGGCTGGGAAAACCAACGCACACTTTCCGTAGATTGGAAACCCGTTATTGAGGACCAGGATGGAGCGACAGAATAATGCGCCATGGCTTCAAAAAAGCAAGCATAGTAAATTCAACACAATATTGTTAACCCTTGCTGAGAGAGCGGCTGATCATCGTGGGTTGCAGTGGCCGTTACGGGATTTCATCCAGACGCCTGCTATTCGTATGCCCCTCCGCCTGGATGTCAGGCCCGGTGGCAACGTTGGCCGTTCAGATTCCAGGAGGTATGATAGTGAAAGAGAGATCAAACTCTCAGACACGCGGCTCCAGGCAGTTGGACTAGGGCGATCGTTGGGCGAGGGACGAAACAACCAAGCAGTCGTATTCTACTTTCACCCTTGTCGACCTTGCTTCTCGCGTCAGCCCGCTTGGTCCTTGCTTCTGCGATTCTATGCTGGCCACCGCATGGTGTCGCGGCCTTTCCCTTCTTCCATCCGGCGCCGCATCCCCACAGCTTCCCATGCTTTCTTTTGGGGGCATCACCAGAGCATGCGGCTGGCGTTGACGCTGCGCACCGCCGGCGGAACTGACCAGTAACTTAGTACCCGGCCGTAGCGGTGCAGGCTGTGGCTTGGATGCGAAGACAAAGAAAACAAAGAAGAATGCATCTTGGATGGACATCTACCTATGCCCATGATTTTCGAGAACCGAGAAATGGTGATTGGCCGAGGCGTTAGAGAAGTTGTTCGAAGCCAAATCGCGACCGTCGGAGAATGGGCAAAGTTGAAGGCTGAGGGCACGGACACCTTATCTGCTGTGATATCAGCAAGGGAAAGAACCCCCTTCTTCTTTGAAAGCTGTGTCAGCAGGCCCGAACGATGTTGGTGTTTCTGACGTTGTTTAGCGGTTTAGGTTGTGTGGGTGCGATGAGCTGTCTCTTTGGAATTCCAGGCGCCCCGATGCAGGGTATGCTATACCTTATCTTGGACAACCCGTGGCAGTGCGGCGATGGTAGACGGTACCTTGCGTGTCAGATCAGCGTCATACTGGGCCCCTTGATTCGACGCGCGATTTCCTCTACCTAGGATAGGGGGTAGTTGGAATCCATTGGGGTGCAATTTGCATTATCAGCCTCATGACGGCGGAGAGAACGACGACAAAGAATAGACGGGCAGACCGAGATCAACAGGAGAATCGGATTGTTCACCACGGGAAGCGGCGCTCGAGCTTTGACTTCATGTACCTGAACTACGAAGGGGTAGTAGGGGGCAATAGGCCGGCGACGCTACCTGATACCATACACTACCTACAGCGGTAGCCCGGTCACAGTACGCAGTAAGAGGGAGAGAGACAATCTAGGCCCTGGCCAATCTTAGTTGTAGACGCCTGCTTTGACATTCCTTACCTTGTGGACAATATACTTGTCTTTCGCTATCCAAAGAGGCCATTTTCTTATTCTCCCCGCCGGTTCATTGCCGGTTCCCCAACCAAGGCCCTATTCTACTTCGCGACACTGGCATTCCATAAGAATCACCCACTTAATTACTATGAGAGCACCTGAGCGAGCCGCGGCACTAGTTCTAAAGAAGGATGGGGGTATATCCGAGGGTCGAGTCCCACCAATCGCATAGTCTCTGGCGTGGCGCCTTCTTTCCCGAAACAGACTAGACTGGGTATTTCACGAGCTGGGTGAACTGGAAACGAGGAAACTCGCAACAATTGACGGCACTGAGTCCCTTGACTGCTCGCTCAGACCCGAGAGCGTCCATCTCAGTCACCTAAGAGATGCATGCCTTGGGTACCTTATTCGCGTGCCTCCATTGCTTACCTATTCAGTCAAATACTTTGAAATGGCAGCGACCGTCTGTGCTGCACTGGTACCTACCTACCTTACTAAGGTAGACAATAATATGCTCACTTTGTCCCGTCTCCATGACACCCTCTCCCTCCCCCCCCTAGCTAGGTAGCCTGAAGTGCGTGCACCGACACATATTGGAAATGCTAATTGTCTGAGGCATCGCAACGGCACAGTGTGAGGGCAGCCAACACCACAAAGAAGACCCGCTTTCCCAGCACCTCCACCTCCTTGCATCCAGCCCTGGCTCAGGCTAACTCATACCCTGTCCAATCCCATCTTGCAGGCCGCTTCTCCGTTCCATCGCTCTTCCCCAGTCTTTCCTTTCCCTCTTACACTTCCTGGCTGGCACGGCTGGGTACCTGGGCACCTGGGTACGCCACAGTAACGTATCTGGGCTGGGTCCTTCCTCCTTCGCGCTTACCCGCCCATCGCCTTGTGGTCCCCACTCTTTAACTGCGAGCGGGCTGTGTTACGCTCTTCCTGTCCGTCAGAGTTCCATGTCCTGTTCCATACTTATCCCACTCCACCTGCACTTTCCCTCCCTCCGCACTCTCTTACCCGCTCTTGTCAACCTTCCCCAACCACCATCCGACATCGTGTCGTGATTCTCTACTTGTTTCAATTCCCTCTTCTAACCACGCCTACTACGGCTGAGAGTGGGTTGGAACTGCGGCTGATATCCAGACGGAAGAAACCCTACGAGAGGGACTTCTCCTTATTCCATCGGTTGGTATCGATTGCAGGCCGCATGCGAACGGAGGTTCTGGTCGACCATTTCCGTCCATAGTCGCTGTTTTCGGCTTTCCGGTTTCAAATCAAGGCAGTCCTTCTACTCGGCGACACCCAACCCTCAATTCCATGATCTCGAGACTTTCCCGACCGTGAGATCTTCATCGGTATCACCTTCCAGCGGTGTTCGATTTTTCAACGGCCTGGACCTGAATTTGGATTTCTACATCGCCGTCAAAATGCCTGCCATCGACCAGGTCTTCGTCGAGGTCTCCCACTTGGTGCTGCGACAGGCCTCGCAATCGTTGTCTGTCACATCATCTGCGTCACTCAGCGCTGACCCTACGCCGACTTCCAACGATGCCACAAGTATAATTCCGACGACTACCGATAACCCAACGCCTACGGGCAATGGGGGAGGGGGAGGAGGCGGCGGCGGCGGTTCCACGAGCTCTCCTCTACTCTTCTTCGTAGCTCTGGGCTTCGGAGTAGTCTTTACGAACTTATGGTTAGCCTGCTCGAGACTTGACTTCATTTCGCTACTCATAACCATCTAACGTTACCTCTAGGATTATCGTTGGCGTCAAGTACTGCTTCCGGTACAATGCTCGTAATCGTGCTATGCGACTGAACGAAGATGGCGAGCCCATCAACCTGGAGAACATGCCTCGCCCGCACCGCCGCCGCCGCGAGAAGAAATTGATGACGATGGATGAGGTCAACGACAAGTTTCCCATGACGAAGTACAAAACGTGGGTATCCGAGCGTGCCAGAGAAGGCCTGCCTACCGCTGGAGGTGTCTCTGCGCCACCCAGCCGAGCAAACAGTCTCCGATCTGCCGATGGAATCGTACCTGAATTGCCTTCGAAGGAGCGCGAGTCTACGGAAGACCGTCCCGCTAACGCCGCTGGTAACAATGCCGTTGCTGAGAAATCAGCCGACGATGCGGCCAAGAAGGACGGAGACACCTCTACGAAGATTACGACTGTCGACGCCGTGGCAACTCAAACTACCCCGACCTCTGCTACTCACCTTCAGCGTGTCCACAGTGAGGACGACGATGAAGATGACGAGCATATCAACGCCGCTGTTCCGCCTGAGCTGATGGCTACCAGTGGCGACACATGTGCCATCTGCATTGATACGCTTGAGGACGATGATGACATTCGCGGGCTTACATGTGGCCACGCCTTCCATGCTGTTTGCGTCGATCCTTGGCTCACCAGCAGAAGGGCCTGCTGCCCTCTGTGTAAGGCTGATTACTACACTCCTAAGCCTCGACCAACCCCTGGCGAAGGAGATTCTAATGCTACAGGCGACATGGCTCGCACGGCGTCTCGCACCAATATGCCCAACGCACCCCCAGCTGCCTGGTATAACTTGAGTGGTGCACGATTCGGTCTCGGAGGACGAAACAACGGTAACCGTCAGGGCAACAGCCGATCGGACCGTCGTCCTCGTGCTCGTCAACAGGCTGTGCCTGTTGCAAATCAGACTACTTCACAGGCCTCGCCGACTACTGCTGAGAATCAGGAGTCTCGCGGTCTTCTCTCCAACATCAGGCTGCCTGCCTTCCGCAACCCCCTGCGACGCGGCGGCGACCAGCAAACCACTCCCCCGACGGCTTCTGGGGCCAACGTAACCCCGTCTCAATTGGAGGCTGGTACGCAGACTGCACCAACCGCAGGCACCACCACCAGCATGACTGAGACACGGTGACCGCCTTTTTGATGATTGTATCACCTACCAAGGCGAACGCGATTTTGTTTTTATTGTTGTGCTACTCGTGTACATCATACCCCCAAGACCAATCTGCAGATCTTCTCACAGACCTGCAATGTTCATTGCATTATATATGCAACACGACGCCGCTTTTCATACCCATGCTTTACATACAGAAGGAGCACGATTCGGCCATATGGGCCAAATGCGGAGGGAGACGGACTTGGCCGCGTTGCGGCAGAAATAGTTTTGCATTACAGGCACAGGGCGGCCTGCTTTGGTTTGGTTTCTCTGGAATTACGAGGGGAGCGGCGGAGTTGCGGCGATAAAGGCATCACTCGTCACGGAATAATGACACTTCAAAGTTACGTACCTAGTCAGTTGTTGGCCACATACCTGTGTTGTTATTGTGAACATTTGTGACATTCCAGACTCTTGTCTTCAGCACATCTAGCAAGAGTATCGTCATGACCATGAAATACCGTTAATTCATTTACAGAACATACATGCTGATAGGCTACCATAATCAAAGATACGATCCCTTCTGGAAACGACCACCGAAATCTTTGGCTCGGTTGAGCAGTTCTCTCCTTTGCGCTGTCCCGATCTTGCCTCCCAGCGACATGTCTTTCTCTCTGTCGAAAGCCCTCTTGCTAGGGTCATCTTCTTCCTCCTCGTCCCTCACAGGCTTCTCACCGCTTTTCTTATTCTGCTGGTGCTCCTCGTACATGCTTTTGCCGCGCGCGCTCGCGATATTTTCGCTGATGCTTCTCTCCCGCTCGACTTCCTCCTTCGTCCGGCGCGGCTGCTTATTCTTTTCAGACCCTGCTGCTGTCGGATCACCGCGACCGAGGACCGCGTCCTCGAGACGTTTGCGCTTCTGTTCCGGCGTCTCGGTCCATATGCTGCTGATGCCTCCTCCCGCAGCGGCAGATGATTTCCCGCTGGCGAATTTGCGGTTCTTGAGCTTCGTTGGGTCGCGTTCTTGGTAACCTGATTGCGTAGGCGGTGCGAGCATCCAGTCATCGCGCTGCGGTGCCGCGGGAGCTTGGGATGCTGTCGCTGCTGCTGCTACGGCGGCGGCTTGAGCCCGCTGGACTGATGTTGTCGAAGAAGGGAGGGCCGGCCCGTAGTCGTCGTCGTCAGAGTCCGAGTCCGAGGCGGATTGGTCGCCGGCTGGGCGGTGGTCTGGGGGTGGCATGGCGGGACCGATGGAGTGTTTCGGTGGAAGGGTCGGCCCTATTGAGGGCTTGTTCTTGGGAGGTTCTTGCGTTGACGACGATGGGTGAGGTGCTGTTGGGCCGTAGCCGTCTTCTGAGTCGGAATCGTCGAGGGGAATTTCGCTCGAGTTTGTTAGGTTTGATGGTGGAGGGGTCGGACCGATGGATGGCTTCGATGAAGTGGAATTCTTCAATGCTGCTGTAGCATCTGGTACGGTTGGTCCATAGGCGTCGTCGTCGGAATCGTCGTCGAGATCGATTTCTTCGTTGTTGTTGCGCTTTGCTCGTGGTGAGTCTGCGCCTTGGTCATCCGGGGTGCGCTTTCTCTTTGAGAGATGTGATGGCATTTGCGGGCCAATTGAAGACATCGTGAGGGATTTATTTTCTCACAGAAGCTTTGAAGCTTTTGAGTTGCGCTTGTTCTTTGGTATGTAGTGTGTTGTAGTAACCAAGTTGTCGCAATGCGAGTCTGGGGAAAAAGATGCAAGTGGCATAGCGAACCTGCGATCTGATGTAGCTTTGAAGATCCACCAGAGCGAGCATAAAGTACCTTACCTTATCCGTACCTCAGGTACGAAATACCTAGGCCGATAGGAGTGGTGGATAGCATGGTCTGCGGCCCACCGGAGAAACCCCGGTCCGAGTTAGAGCTCCAGGCGGCTGGAACCTAGAACCTGGAACTGCAAGGTGCCCGGTTAGTGTGGGTTGTGTGTCCAAGCTGCATCATGCGCTTCTTTTGAATACAACTAACCAACCATTGATCAACAGCTCGTCTCCGTCTGACAGAAGTTGACATTGTGGAATCGCATCGCCAGAAACCCCCATTTTCATTTGTGAGCTTTAACCACCTTCAGCTTGTAGCCTGATTGAACGGGATTCCTCTACGAAACCTCCCTTCCCAAAGCACTTATCAAGCTTCCGAATCCAAAACGAACTCTCTAACCTGCGACCGCAAGCAATGTGCCTGATGAACCGCCATTAATGACCCCACCATCGAAGGAGAGAGATGATGGAACTGGAGACACAATGGCAGATCAAGACGACCGGTCCTCCGAGGACTTACAAGCTTCCAGTGATGAAGAGACTGTGAAGGCCGAGAGGGAGGAGGATAGCATCGTCGGCCTCTTGGACGATGAAACCCAGACTTCCAGTAGCACACCACCAGCAACTGAGAGCGGCGCGCTTCCGAACCGATACAGGGAGATTCTGCGCGAGCAAGCCGACAACACCTCCGACGAAGGCTCCGTGGATGCCGTCCCCAAGAGGGCTGGGAGTCCGATTGATTCCCTGATGTCGGTTCCTGATGATTCCCCGTCGGTTCAGGCAAGTACACATTCGCACCATCTAGACGTGCCCTGCTAACCTTATGTGTCTAGGGCTCCGTGATCTCCTCCCCGAGCAGTAGTGTTCTCCCCTCTGTGGCCTCCCGACCCGGCCTCAGCAGTCCCACCCCCTCATTTCGACCCTTCGACCGCCGTTTCCAGTCCCGCATCTCCTCCGCAAGCTTCATTCATAGCCCGCGATCCTCCTCTCCTGGCTTTCTCACCAGCCACAGCCGCTCCGCATCCCTCAGTTCAAATCTATTGGACCGCGACGACACCGACACCCCTTCTCCGCCATGGGAAGTTGTACGGTGGACGAGATTGAGGAAGCTCAATGGCCAGGCCTTCTCCGAGGCTGGCAAGCGCAATTTTGGCGCTCCTACATGCATTGCTGTCTCCGCCTCGATTGTACTGGGGACTACCAAGGGTATAATATTAATATTTGATTACAACCAGATCTTGAAGACCATCATCGGCCCCGGGACCAAGGCGGTCGAGTCTGGTGCCATCACAGCCATCGCAGTATCGGCGGATCACACCACGATTGCCGGAGGCCATGCCAACGGAGACGTATTCACCTGGGAGGCGAATCGGGCATCTAGGCCGTTTCTTTATATACCGCATCTCGAACAGACGCAACTCCAGAACCGGACTGTGGATGGACACCTGTCAGGAGTAGCCGTGGCCCATCTCGGCTTCCTCGGAACAAGGCATACTGCGCTCGTGTCGGCGGACGACCGCGGCATGGCGTTCTCGCACTTGGCAACGAGAGGTACGGGATCTCTCGGCCGAACCGTGAAGACGACGAGGATACTCGGAAGGTATCCGAATGCTGCCCCTCCAACCGGCAAGCCTCTCAAGCCCAGCACAGTCCTATCATTCAGTCCCTTGCCCCTTGGCAACACAGAGCGTGCAACAGACACTATGGGCCTCACGGCAATGCTTACGCCTTATCTACTGGTCATTGTGTCCACGACACCGGTTGCGCAAACCCAACACAAGTCGGCGAGGCCGAAGGACGTGGCTCACCATAGCGCCATGACTGGCTGCCTGGCATGGTTCCCCGCTGTGAGACTTAAGGTTCCGGACCCCATCACAGGAAGCGATATTTCCAAAGTCAAACTAGTATACTGTTGGTCCAACGTCTTGACTGTTCTTGATGTTGACGAAATACCGGCCGAGAACAAGGACAAACCTCCAACGCTGAAGTTTAAGGCACGGAGCAGGTGGAAGTGTGAAGAGGCCATCGTTGCAGTGCAATGGCTTAGTCGCTCGGTATTGACCGTTCTGACAATCTCCCAGCGCTTGATTATTCTCGAAGATCGAACTATGCGTCAAACGGAGGGTTTCGATCTGATCAACAAGTTCATATACCATGCCGACCTCTTCTCAAAACAGCTACACACCCTAGTGGAACAGTTGGACGAGGACGATACATCTATGCATGGTGTTGTAGCTGACGCATTCTACATGAGCTTGAAGACGTACAAGGGCAAGATTTTCTTGCTTGGATTCAACGATGTTTCCATTGGGTCGCTGTCGAACTGGGCTGATCGGATCATTGCTCTTATGGAGAACGGTGACTACGTCGGCGCAATACAGCTTGGTACATCGTACTACACTGGTGATGCAGACAAGCTTACAATCGGGTTGCCCGAAGACACCTCGCTGCGCCACTCGATGGTGCGCGACAAGCTTATGGAGATCATGAAAGCGTCACTCAAATACGCCTTCACACAGCGGCAGAAAGACAAATCAGCAGCCGACGACAGCCATGTGCGGGAACTTTGCGAGACGTGTTTCACTGCCTGCCACAATGTGGGCGACATTGATTTCCTCTTCGAAGAGATGTACGAGTGGTACGAGGATGCCGGCGTGGAGGGCATCTTCTTTGAAACCATGGAACCTTACATCCTCGAGAAGAACATCACTATCGTACCACCTGCTGTCGTGAAGGCCGTAGTGACCTCCTACGTCACCAAAGGATGGGAGAGTCGACTCGAGGAGATGATTGTTCATATGGACACCATGACGCTGGACCTGGACCAGATCACGCTCCTCTGCAAGCAGCACAGCCTCTACGATGCGCTGATATATGTCTGGAACCAGGCATTGAACGATTATATCACACCATTGATCGATCTACTAACGTTGCTGGTGCCTCTCATGAGCAATGGCGACTACATGTCTTCCGGAAACATGGAAGACGAAATATATGGCGTGAACGCGTTGAAAATGTTCCCCTACCTCTCCTACACTTTGACAGGCAGAGTATATCCCACGGGCGAGATGATGGATGACGCAACTGCCTCGAAAGCTAAAGCTGAGATTTACTGGTTCCTGTTTTCGGGAAACAGTGTCACATGGCCCAAGGGCAGCGATCGGCGATTTCTCACCCGACCGGATCAACATACAGAGCCATCCTTCCCGTATCTGAGACTGATACTGAAGTTTGATGCCCCGAGTTTTTTGAGCGCTGTAAACGAAGCCTTTGAAGATTCATTTTTGAATGATTCGCCGGACAAGCAAGTTAACGGTGGCATCAGGGGCGACGTGCCTGAAGAGCAAATCTTCGGCCGTACAGTCGATCGTCAGTACATCGTATCCATACTTCTGGAGATCATGAACGCGGCGGATTTCGCAGCAGAGGATACGATCTATCTCGACATGTTTATTGCTCGAAACCTCCCAAAGTTCCCTCAGTACTTGCTTTTCCCAGGTTCAACTCTTACGAAGGTTCTAACCGGGTTGTGCAACTACCCGGGAGCAGACCTTGCCGAAGATGCACAGCTCAGCGCCGAATACCTCCTATCGATTTATCAACCACCCGATGCCAACACGCTCATACCGATGTTCGAGAAGGCAGGGTTCTACCGGATTTTGAAGAGGCAATACAGGGTTGATAAACAGTATGGCAAGCTTGTCCAGACTTATTTCGAAGACCCCGCTGACCGGGACGCCGTCTTTGAATGCATCGGGGATTGTCTCCGGCCACAGAGTGGTCTGAACCGCCGCCAGGTTCACGAAGTCCTCGACGCAATCAAGAACAACGCCAGGGCGCTGATCGAAACCAATCCTGTTGAAGCAGCAAAATCTCTCGCTGGACAGCCCGTAGACATCCACCAGCATGTTTTGGATTCTGCCGAATACTCTTCGGGGCTGCAATTCTTTTACCTCAGAACGTTGCTCGAGCCAGAAAAGCGCGACGGAGAATCTCCATCGAACCCTGACCGAGCTCTAATCGAACGATATGTACAACTCATGTGCAGATTTGACTCAGCTCATGTGTCTGACTACATTGGCTTGGTTCAGTCTGTTAACCTTAGACTCGATGCCTTGCTCCCCACCATGGAAGAGACAGGTGTCATTGATGCTGCCGTGGTTCTAATGGCTCGAGAGGGCCAGATAAAGGATGCTATGGACAGACTTGTCAAGCACCTTGGCACCCTTGAGTCGGCCCTGCAAGGTGTCTTGACAGGCGCTCAAAGCAATAGCAAGGCTGATGACTTACAGCCAGGGGCTGAAGACATACTTTTGGCGCTACAAAAGTACGTGCACGTGGGCATCTGGCTTTGTCAAGGTCAGACCAAGTCTTTGAGAAAAACGAATGGAGTTCAGAAGAAGTCAAAGTCGTCAACTTCAGAGGCTATGTCTCCAGATGAAGAGCTTTGGCTCAGCCTCATCGACGCAGCTGTGCAAACAACACGGCAGATAGCGTCCGTCATTGAATCTACCGGTCACACTGGGAACGGCACTCTTTCTCATGACGCTCATGATGGGCTTGGCGGTCTCGACAAAGATAAGCTATTGGCTCTGCTACGATCCCTCGTACAACACACTTTTACGGCTCTCCTGACAACGACTTCTAGTCCTGCAGGAGGTCAAGGTGGAGGGCGACTTCTTACAAACGCTGGGAGTAACCTGTCTTTCCTGCGCATCTTACGAGCTTTCCTCACAAGAGCTGCGGCCTCGTCACCAAATCTTGCAGACTTGCGCTCCGTTCTGGCGTCGATCTTCTCAGCCTATGCCTACGAAGAGTCCATACTTCGACTTTCTAACCGACTCCTCGAGCGAAGCTTGTTTGTGAATGTCAAGCAAGCTGTAGACCTTCGTCAACGCGGCTGGCGACCCAGGGGCTCGACTTGCGAAGCTTGCGGTCGCCGGATCTGGGGCCCGGGTGTTTCGGGGAACGTCTTCGAGGCTTGGGAGGAGAAGCAAGCGCGGGAAGAAGAATGGAAGGTCGAAAAGAAGGCCTTGGTAATCGCTGAAGACAAAGGCAAGGTCGGAAGCGGCAGCGACGTATCCCAGACCGCAGCAGACTCGAAAGGAAAGGGTAAGGCCGCGCCTGTGGCATCAGAGTCTCATACCGAGGTGGACGAGGCAGCGCCGGAGGAGGGCGCGGAGGGGCAGAGCGAAGCTGTGGCGAAACCAAAAGAGCAGCTGGGACCGTTGGTCGTGCTGGCTTGCCGCCACATATATCACCAAAGCTGCCTGGACGCTTACCAGTCCCGGCCAGAGGTTGAGGGGAAAACCCGGGCGGAGACCCACGCGAGGGAGTACAGGTGTCCAATTGATGGATAGACTTGGGTTGTATCTTCTGTGCACTAGCCATGTACAAATTTTTAATGAATGAACGAGACTTTGGTGGGCAAGCAACGTTGGGGCCTCCAGAATACCACCAGCGTGAAGCGGTTCTCCATTTAGAAGGAAGCCAAGGGCATATTTTGAAGAGCTTGGCGTGCTCTGCCTGTCCATCGTGACTTTAACGCACAATAACCTTCTTGTCGCTCCGTAGATGCCGAGACCAGTTTTACAGGACAAACATCTTCTGTCATCCAACTATAAAAGCCGGGCCGTTCGGAGGAACAGCGGTTTTCTGCAACAATAAGTACATGCAGAAGAGAAAAGGCCAAGTCGTTGGTCTTCCGTGCACGGTCCAAACCCGTTGCTGTATCACGGAAGATAACGTTGGCGGAGGTGCGGGGCCGGTGGGGTCCGTAATCAGCGGCTGGCTTCCGGGAATGATCTGGGAGGAAGGGGTCGGCGCTTGAGCTGTTTTCCGGATCCTTTTAGCTCCAGCGTCTTGCCTTTTTTTCCCTTTGACTCATTTCGTGAGTATCCCGATTAGGAAAACACTGCAGTCCCCCTTCGTCTCATATGTAAGCGCCTAGATAGCTTGAGCTACGCGCTCGCGGAGCGAGTGGAGCGGGAGGTCCAGAACATCTAGGTACGAGGACGGGGGGGGGGGGTTGCTTTTGAAACATAGCCTTTGCCTATTCAAGAAGGTTGCGTATCTAGGTATAATTAGTAGGCCATACCTCTCGATTGGTGATTGCCAGACTGTTATGGCGCGATTGGATTTGCGATTGTTTGTTGAAGCGTGAATATGTCCGCTTTAGACACATTCGCAATATTTGTTGCATTGCACGTGGGAAGGAGGTCAATGTCTCGAGTGGTCCCAGGAAGCCCACCAAGACCCCTGCGCCGATCCGGACTTTCCTCTTACAGTATGGCATACGAGTCCGTTCTTTGGCGTATTTTTGCTCTTTATTTCCTGTTGCTCGCATCGTGCTGCCTTTTCTTTCTCTCAAGCAGGTAGCTCCGACTGTGCAGTATTTGTCGACATCGGCAAGGCGAGTACAATATGTGATATTTTCCTGTATGGCCGTTTTCTGCCTTTGGTGGCCCGGGGAGGGGGGGCATTACAAAGAAGCGCAAAGCCGAAGAAGATTGCGGCATGTGTATTAAAAGGCCATGCCAGTGAAGCGATAGCGCGGATGTTACCTCGAGCGAGTTGACCAGGGAAGTAGCAATCTGGGGGGCGACTATTCCGACGGCGTGGGTTTGCGTGGGCTTCGCACACATTCCCACCAGTGGGCTGCCTACCGGACCGCGGCCGTTATTGTTCCACGATTCAACCCCTTCGAACGGCCACCAAATGATCAATCCGGTGTGATGCAAAAGGGGCCGGAACAGAAGAGGGGCATGTACGCGGCCAGAAAAGACGAACCTCTTGCTTTTCTTCCGGAGGATTCGCGTCCGGCCGGGGCTCAATGCCCGGATATAAGGAGTGGGACCCAGGATCAAGGACGAAACGCCCGGTAGGGCCATGAAAGCCGAGGGGCCCATGGTCCTGGATGGACGACATGGGCTAGCTTGCTCATGCACCCGCTCCGCTTACACCACAACCCTCAATCTATTCCACCATAGAGGTTCCTTCAAGTGCTTTAGCTTGAGACAGGGTTTGTCAAAACAACGCCCAAAGCACGTTTCCAGCCGGTACGGCAATGTCTAATATTTTTGATGTATGTACTTCGGTCTTGGGAAGCGGAGCGGGAGGAAAAAAAGGATAGAGACAGAGCTCTAGGTGTCAATATAATGAGGCGGCTCCCAGAGTTTTGCCCCCTCTAGGAAGGGAAGGAAGCTACGCGTTGTCGTCCTCACCGTCCCTTTGTCACCCCTTTACTACCCAGACTCGCACTGCTGCTGCGGGTTTCGGGACACCGGAATCCAACAACGCGGGAAGCAACAGCAACCATGCTGTTCCTTTCGCTCTTGTGTTCGCTCTTCGTTCTGCCGGCAGTCGTCTTGGCGGCCTTCGGCTGGACTGACAACGGTTCAGAGTATGTCATTGACAGTGGCTCTGACCTCGTCATCAAGGTGACCAAGTGCTGCGGTGACATATCTTCGCTCAACTACAAGGGCGTCGAGTACAACGGCTGGGGCGGCAAGAACTCCCACGTCGAATCAGGTTGGGTCTCTCCTTTCTCACAAGGCAACATAGAGGACTGACTTGATCAAAGGACTCGGCACCAGCACGGTCAGCATCGCAAGCTACACCAATGTCATCAAGGTCTCGGTCGTCCACGGCGTGCGTCCTCACCGCCCCCTTCTGAAAGCTCCTGCTATGCTCCGAAGCATCATATCCTGAAAACTTTCACAGACTCTCAAGCACTGGATCTTCGTCCGTTACGGAAACAACAATGTCTACCTCTTCACGAACAAGGCAGACGATTCCGTCTCGGCCATGCGCTACATCGTTCGCATTAAGGGCGGATTGTTCCCACACGACTCCACTGAGAGCGTATGTGGTCTCGAATCCATCGATGCCCCATGATAAATAGCTAACAAGCCACGACAGGATTTCTACGATGCCAGCAGCACCATCATCGAGGCTCAGGACGTCAACGTCAACAGTGCCGGCTTGACCAAGAGCAAACACTACCAAGGCTCCAACTACGGCCGGTACGTAAACCAGAACATTCTCTCCTCCAAGAAAATTTTCTAACAACTAGCAGAGTCATAGATTGTATGCATCCTTACCTATCGAACTTTCGATGTAACAAACTGACCGTTGATAGTCGACTACGTCGGCCGCAAGAAGACTGGCGTCGGCCTGTTCATGATCAGAAGTAACCACGAGAAGGCCAGCGGCGGTCCCTTCTTCCGGTCCCTCGTGCGCCGCGCAGACCCGACCGGCGAGGACTTGTACGACATCTACTACTACAACATGGGTCACACTGACCCTATGCGCACCGGTCTTCAAGGCCCCTCCGTCGTGGCTTTTACCGCCGGCGAGGACCCGAACAGCAACCTCTTTGCCCGCAAAGCCGACTGGTCCTGGTTCGATGGCCTCGGCGTAAGTACCCTCACTCCTCACTCAGACTGTTGATCATGTAACACCTTTACCTAACCTCGAATCCAGATTGATGGCTGGGTTCCTGCCTCTGGTCGTGGCTACGCTTCCGGTGTCGGTCTTTCCAACACGAAGACCGGCAAGACATACGTCGTCGGGCTGTCCAACTCTGCCGCTCAGTACTGGACCGCCGCTGGCTCTGGCGGCGCCTGGTCCATCACCAATATCATCCCCGGCACTTATACCCTGACCGTCTACAAGGACGAGCTCGAGGTCGCCACCTCCTCTGTCTCCATCAAGTCTGGGGTTGGTACTGCCGTCAACACCATCACCTGTGTTGACCCGCAGGATGACGCTACCATCTGGCGCATCGGCGAGTGGGGTCAGGCGATTCCTTTCCAATCTTGAAAACACAAAGGAGCCAGAGCTGGAGCTGACCATGTCGTAGATGGAACTCCCAAGGGCTTCTTGAACTTTGAGGATACCCCCATGAAGCCTACTTACATGCACCCATCCGACACCCGCATCTCCACCTGGAATGCCGGCAACTTCATCGTGGGCACCCACAGCGCTAACCGTTTCCCTGCTTACATGTGGAAGGTAAGAAAACGGACTCTACTCTGTCACTCTAAGTATCATGTATCTATCCAGTATACTGACAATAAATTCCATAGGAGGTCAACAGCGGCTACCTCATCTACTTCAAGCTCACCGCCGCCCAGCTCACCGCCGGCCACACCGTCCGCATCGGCATCACGGAGGGCTACATCGGCGGCCGCCCTTCCATCAACATCAACTCATGGGCCTCAGCCCTCCCCGCGGCAACCAACCAAGCCAGCACCCGCTCGCTGACCGTCGGCACCTACCGCGGAAATAACGTGAAATTGACCTACGCCGTACCCCAGTCCGCTTGGATCCAGAGCACGAGCGAGTGGCAGATCCTCACCATCAATATCATCAGCGGCAGCTCCGGAGAAGAATACCTCAGCCCCGGAGTCAGCTTTGACGCCGTTGAGCTACTGGCTTGAGGATAAGAGCCAACCCCGCCGGACCGACGGCTGGGAGATTTTCCAAGACTTTACAACGCTTTGCTTTTCAGGCTGTTGGTTCACTGCTTCGGAGTTACATCTCTTCTCCAATGCCATTTTTCTGAACACGTTATTCTGCATACACCTGTACATACACGAACCGCACACATCTTATAATCATCGAAGCCTCTGGGCCTGGACATATATCAGTGGTCTCCTGCTTTGGATCATGAAGAGTCAACATTGTTCTTCCAACTGGACACCGCGTGACTTGTCGCAGCACTCGCTGACCTTCTGGCGCTTCGATTCTCGGCCGAACTTAAGCAGAAGGTCTTCTATAGAAATAAAATGATGTATTGAGGCGAAGAGACTTTCCACGGCGGGGTCAAATGAGCCTGATGGAAATAAAATGCATTGCGTTTAGCCAGGGGTCTGTATCTTTCTCTCCTACATTCCCCATATGTTTTCTTGTACGTTTTTACGTCTTCACGTTTGCTACCCTGGTTCGTGGTTTCTAGCATGTTTTTAATGTTTTCTTGCTTTCTTATATGACTCCAAGCCGCCCAGTCCAAGATAGTTAGCCAGCCCGATACAATCCTACGTCTGGCGTGGCCCACATCGGACCGCAACAGTGAGTGCGATGAGGGCCAAGTTCATAGTTGTTCCTATGCTCGAGCATGAGATTATGGCTCTTTCAGTTCTTGGACAAATATACGCACGCAAGGTCAGATATTACGATGATTTCGTTGAAGCTCCTCTGCTGGAATTGCTACCGAGACGCCACCTCATGCACCATGCGTTTTTGAGACACTACTTAACTCCTCATAACTCTAGGAGAAAGCAAGCACGCTTCGGAGAGACTTAATATTTTCATCGTGTGCAATACGTCTCTTGCAGCACAATCCTACCTAGCTAATTCCATCGTCTGACCCAACATGCTTGCATCTTAGCGTAGTCCCTCATATACCTGTGTCAGGCTGTATCATCTAGTGTTTACAAAGTTTCATCAATCGTTCAAACCTTTCCTAGAAGATGGCTCGAATCAAGCGGCGTTTTCCCATTTTCATTCCAAGCACAGTACCCAACGCCCGCCCGCCCGTAGCCCGTCACCAGTGCCAATTTTCATAACTCTTATTACGCCTCCTCGTCTTCTTTGGGAGACTCCTCGGGAGAAGCCTTGACCGCATTCTCCTTTTCAGCCTCCGCCGCAACCGCAGCCATTTCCGCCTCTTCATCCTCATCAACGTCGACCGTCTTGGTCTTGGTCTCCGCGACCTTCGTCTCAACCTTCTTCGCTCCGCTCAAATCCCAGTCAATCTCGGCGCCAGCGCCGTACCGGGTGACGAGCCACTCGTTTGCCTTTTTGAAATGCCCGCAGTCGAAGAATCCTCTCGAAGCGCTGAGTGGGCTGGGGTGCACGCTCTTGAGGACCATGTGCTTCTTGGCGTCGACCTTGACGACACGCTTGCCGGCAGGGGTGCCCCATGCCAAGAAGACGACGCCCCGCGATCGCTTCGCGGCGACGAGATCAATGACCTTTTGGGTGAACCGCTCCCAGCCGCGGTTGGCATGGGAATTGGCTTCGTGGGCCCGTACGGTCAAGCAAGCATTGAGAAGCAGGACGCCGCGATCTGCCCAGGGGGTCAGAAGGCCGCCCTTGTTGGGCGGTGGCGAGAAGGTCGGGTAGTCTTTCTTGAGAGCGATGTACATGTTCTTGAGAGAAGGAGGGGCGGGTGTGGGTGGGCGGACGGAGAAGGCGAGGCCATGGGCTTGGTTGACATTGTGGTAGGGATCTTGGCCGAGAATGACGACCTTGACAGTGTTGAAAGGGGTGTGACGAGACCTGGAAAGCCATGGTTAGAAATGACGACTTTGCTGCTAGACAAGTCACGATGGGCAGGCTCAAGTGACATACCATGAGTACACATCCTCCTTTGGGGGAAACCATTTCTTCCCGGCATCCGACTCCCTGTTCAGGAAGCGCTTGAGGTCCAGAAACTCCTTGCTGGTGACCTCGTCCTTGAGCAACGCCAGCCAGCTCTCGTGCAATGAGCTGATCTCGAGCTGCAGCAGCTCCTTCTGCTCGGCCGTCAGACCGGCGACCCACTTGGCCTTGTCGAAGTTGACCGCAGGCGCCTCGGGAGCGGCCGCTGCTGAGGTGGGACCCCCTTTGTTGCCGGCCGCCGCCTTCGGGGCCCCGAAGAAGGACATGATGCTCCCATCTTGCTTGGGCTTCTTGCTGTCAGAGGCGGACAGCGTGCCGGCCTTACGCTTGAGTGTGGACATGCTGGCGTGTGGAGACGAGAAACTGTACGGTAGGGAGACGATGACGTTGGTAGGAGGCCGTTGACCTGGCCGCGAACGTAGGACGGCGTAGGTTGCTGACCTAGCGAGGCGTAGGCCACTAATGGTGTAGATTTGGGTAGACGAAAGATTCAATTCGACAAATGTTGGTACGGACTCCAAATCGGGTCGGTCTTGTTCACGTTAAAGGTGTAATACAATGGCTAAGAAAGAGCTGAAGTGGGGGGAGAAAGAGACTGAATCCAGAGGTGTAGTCGAGATTTCCTTAGCCCTGGCTTAAAGCTCGAATACCAGTCTGGGGACCGTCGCGTGGTGACGCGCTACCGATCGAAAAAAGGTCATTAACGCGAGTTAATTGACCCGCTATTCTGGCGCGTCCTGACAACTTTGAGTGGCTGGTAGGGGGGGCGGGGAGCTGCCTTGCAGCTGCAGCCCTGCAGCGGCCCTGGCTGCTTGGCGGTTGCCCCTGAGAAGTCGGCCATTTGGGACGAAATGGTGACTTCATCGAGGTCGCTGGCGCGCTTACCTCAAGCTGCCGGTCCATTATTGGGTCCTGCGTCCTGTCATCCCTTCATTGGGTTCAATGTCTACTCATCTCAGGATCTTAAAGTGTGATATCAAGAAGACCACTTTGTGGATGAGGTATCATTACAGTTCAACTAGATTTACACGGTTTTTTGTTTTCCCAATATCTATACCAGCCACGACGTATGCCGCTCGGCATGCAAACTCCAGGCCGAGTCTTTTCCTTCGTCAATAGCAGCCCACTGAACGCCCAATAATGCTGGAAATGGAATGAGTGGTGATGCTTCAATATTAGTCTGTGTTCCTCCTAGACTTCTCGTTCACGCCCCTGAACACCCGCTTTCCGACTTCGTAACTGCTGATCATGATGGCGCATGCCGGAGCGACCTTGAGTGTTCTGGGAATCCATCCTTTCCATAGGCCGCCAATGCCCTCAGTCGTGAAGATGTGCCAGAGCAAGCGCACCATGGAGCCCTGTTCAGCTGCAGCGGCCTTGGCTGCATTGGCTTCTCCTGCTTGACGCGGAGCTTCGCGGTATACTTGTGTTCGGGTCTTGCCCACGTCAAATGGCATCGTCACCATCGATGCGAATCCGCCTGAGACAGCGCCGGCAATGAAACTGTCCGTCAAGGTTTCCGTATGGTTTTCGTGGCTCTGAGACCTACGTCGCGCCTGAGTCCGTGAGCCTCTAGTATCCAAAGTCCGGCCGCGGCGGGTCTCTCGGAAATCTGTCAATCTACCCCGGATTGTCTCGTATCCCCACCAGTACAGGCCTGAGAAGGGCACATCCCTCCACAATGTCAGGGTCAGCCCCCTCCACAGAGAAGGATATCCGCTGGTGTGGACCATGTCCTTGATGTCTCGGAATGTATTTGCAAGATGGCCCGTCGTAGAGTTGCCAGCCGACGCTTGCATTCTTGTACGGAAGAGCTCGATCGGGCTGACGGCAGCGGCGGCCAGAACGCGCGCCGCAGAGCCGGCAACTAGAGGAGCAGTGTCGTCGTTGAGCCTTTGTGCAATTGGGCTCTTCCTGTTGTATCTCATCCAGTCGTAGCCAGTAAAGTAGATGATATTGCCGGGGATCGTCATCAGCAATGTCGGAGACAGGCCCCTCCACAGACTGGTGAATCCTTCATTCCGCGCAATCTTCTTCAGGCCGTCCATGGTAGAGCTGATTGTCTTTCGCTCCACCTCCTCGACAGAGCATGCGGCGGCAGCGCCCGCGCTTTCTGCTGCTCTCGGCATCGCGAGGCAGAGTTCGGAGTTGTTGTTCATGAAGAAGACCTCCCGACAGCATGCGGTGACTCCGAGATTCGACGTGTTGAAAGTCTTGAAAGTGTCGGTCGTCATGGCCAACCGTGAGAAATCTACCGTCGGCGGGGTGACATTCTGCGACTGCCATCGAATTCGGACAACGTCGAGGGGTGTTACTGCGCATGCGTATCAGCGTATGGAAGCTCACATTCCCATCGCACAAAGCTGGCTTACCGAGGAGCGATGTCAAAAGACTGCCCGACATGGCTGAGATCATCTTCTGCGGCGCCGTAATATCATCGTCGCTGCCTCCGCTGCCATTGGTCTGGGGTGGAGCTATTCGCGCCATCGGAAAAGAGTCATCGGGGTCGAATCTGTCGTGGTCCTGACCTCCGGTGGCCAGGTGGATAGTAGTCATTGCGGACCAGCTTGCATCGTCGGGGAAGTCGGAGCTTGGAAAAGATGCTGCTGTCATCCGGTCGGCAGGAATGCGGTGCAGCGAGAAGAAGGCAAGGGGGAAACGACGGCGGTTTGACGAATAGGTTTGACGGATGAGGGGAAATGTGCAGCTTTCACGAACTGGAAAAAAGAGGCAGGGCGAGTTTATTAGCCTTACCCCGTTCGCCAGAGTCGCCTCGTCATGGCTGCGAAATCGGGTGCGCGCTCCGACTCTGTTCTCTCCCCCAAAAATTTGCCGGAGATAATGAAATGGGTGGCGCCGGGGCACCTTGCTGGCCGAGCCGAGCCCAAACCGTTTAAGGTGATGTCACGGACCCAACCTCCGTTCCAATTGGCTGAAACTCTGGTGGAGCCATTGGTGAGCCACAAAATGTCACCGATAAGCACCAGGCATGGTGGACCTCACTCGCCGTCTGACTCCAGATCGGCGTGCTTTGCTTACAACACAATGTCGATGGTGAGTGGTCGGCTTTAACTACATCTCATACCGCGGCTTCATTTCCAAAGATATTTAGAATTGCGAATTGCGAAATTGCCACTCACCTATACCACTCACCTAAATTCTGGAGCAGCAGTCAATGTCATTGTCATAGCACTTTCCCTGCTTCACAGGCTCAGTATTTTTGAGCATCGTAGCTATCAGTTATGGCAGACGAGCCGCCAAAGCTCGATTCCGAGTTAGAGTCTTTCCGGCAACAATGGCAAACTGAGTTGAAACACAAAAGGGAAGTCCCAGAAGCCCGAGAGCCTCGGTCGAAAAGGGAGGCTTCTTCATCATCCAAGCAATCAGTTGCTGCAGAGATTCCAAAGAGCGTGGTAGCCAAGAGGTCTCAAGTAGAAGAGGATGAGGAGTATGCACAATCTCTTGTTTTCGATGAACCGGCGCCTATCGTTTCTGGTTCGAACCTGGAGGGGCAGTCTGGTCCCAGTACCAAGGAGGCCAAAGAGTTGGTTTCTGCCCTCGATCACTTTGAGGAAGCTGTCGAGAAGGAGGCAATCGGCAGCTTAGGGGACAGCCTGAAGCTGTACCGCAAGGCATTTAGGGTAAGCAGCCATGCTTGGCCAATTTATTTCTCCAATGGGACCATGCTGAACTTTCATTTCAGATGGATAACAGAGTCGACTTGGCGTATCGCAAGAAGCATTTCCCTACTGGTGTCGCGAAAGCACCGCAGCCCTCAGCATCGGGTCCAACGGCCGCCGCCGCGAGCTCGACAAGCAAGCCCGCAGAGACGCAGACAATGAGTGAGCTGATTGCTGGGTTCTCAGGTCTTTGTGTGTCGGCGGCGCCTCCGCCGGTGGAAGGAGACCCGGTGCCGCCATGCCCCATTGCCGGAATGCCCGAGGAAATCCTAGTCCACATCTTCAAGGACGTGGCCGTCCTCGATGTCGGCGATTTTGTGCGGTTATCACTTGTGTGCAAGCGCTTCGCCTACATCGCAGCCACCGAGCAACAGATTTGGCGCCGCATCGCCCTTGGCACGGAATTTGGCTTTGCCGGCATGCACTACCACTGGCAACGGGGCGTCTCCTGGGAGCCGCTGGACGAAGAGCAAGAGCAAGACAACGGCGACCTCGGATACGTAACCATGCAGGAACTAGCGCAGCGCCGCAAAGAAGAGAGCGAGAACACCGCCCTCACCCTCCTGCCGGAGCTCTACGCCTCGTCCTGGCAAAACATGTTCCGGCACAGGCCCCGGATCCGCTTCAACGGCTGTTACATCAGCACCGTAAACTACATCCGCTCCGGCCAAGCCAACGCCAACCAAATCACCTGGAACAGCCCCGTCCATATCGTCACCTACTACCGCTACCTCCGCTTCTTCCGCGACGGCACCGCCATCAGCCTTCTCACCACCGACGAGCCCGCCCACGTCGTCCACTACATGACAAAAGATCTGCTCGAGCATCACCGCGGCGGCGGCGGGGCGCACCTGCCATCCGTCGTCTTGCAGCACGGCTTCCGCGGGCGGTGGCGGCTGTCCTCCAACCTCGACCACCCGGATAGGCCGCTCGGCGAGGTCGAGGGCGACCTGGCTGTGGAGACGGAGGGAGTGGGCGCCAAGTACACCTACAGGATGTATCTAGAGATGCGCAACGCCGGGAAGGGCGCGCGCAACACCAAGCTTGTCTGGAAGGGCTTCTACAGCTATAATAAGCTGACGGACGACCTGGGCGAGTTCGCGTTGAAGAATGACAAGCCGTTCTTCTTCAGTAGAGTCAAGAGCTACGGCGTCGGGGAATGAACTTGACCCCCGTGCTAAATAAAGAAAAAGTTCCCAGGCCATATTCGGCCTCCCTCCCCTTCCAATTTCACCTTAAAAGCCCACATGGATGACTGTTAGTGATGCTCACAGATCCGTACTCCTCGCAACATCCTCCCGAACCCTCATACCCTGACATATCTCACATTTATCCCGAATCCTTTCCCACCTATCGCTCCCAAAAATGATCCTCAACGGCACCTCCCTTCCCCCCGCGATCCTCTTAGCAGCCTTATCCGGGTCCCCGGGCTCCGTTCCCTGAATCATCTCTGCCCTGGCCTTCGCCGCCCCATTGAACCCTTCAAAGTCAGGTATGCGCGGCGGGACACCCGCAATCTTGTTGTTCACCTTGGTGCGGAAGTAACCCGGCTCCACAATCTTGACTTTGAGGCCAGGGGCGAGTATCGCCAGTTCCTTGGAGAGGGGTCTCGGCAGCGCCTTGAACGATCCCCTCTTAAGTCTCTTTGTTCTTTTCTGTTTTTCTTGGGATACCTAAATTATCTACAAGAAAGTGCTTGGGTGGTGATACGAGGACAAGATACGTTTGCTGTGTGTGTGTGTGTGTGTGTATATATATATATATAAGAGCGTCAACGGAACTCCTAGCGCAAATACACCCTGGCATTGGGATTGACAGGCTACGCCGCCTACGAACTGATGTACACCAGCGTCTCCGTCCTACTCCTTCTTGACTGTGGCAGAAACGCACGCGTGATGTTGAGAGGACCGTGGAAGCTGGTCATGAAGCTCGCCTCCATGCCCTCTTGCCTGTATTGTAGTCCTCGTCAGCGAATCTTGAGAAGTTTCCTTCCTCTCATCCCATTTCCTGAGTCCACACCACCTCAACCCAGCGGAAAATTATTAAAGGATAAAGGATAAAGGGAAGAAATTGGATTATGTGGAGAGTGAAAGGGACAAAGTGTAAAAAGCTCACATCAACTCCTCAATGCGCCCAGAGACAATAAACCCAGCATTATTCACAACAACATCGACGCCCCTCTGGTACGCACCCCACGCCTCGGCAGCCACGGCCCGTACCTCGGCACCAGACGCCGCCCCGACGTCGAGGTCCATGATCCGCGCCCCTGTGTTCCTCAGGTGCGCGAGCCTGACATCCGCAGCGCTCCCAGCCGGTGGCGATGACGTTGTCACCCTGCGCCGTCAGCTTCCGCACGAGGGCCTCGCCGAAGCCGCTCGAGCAGCCCGTGATGAACCATATCCTAGGCGCTGGCGCTGTTATGGCTATCTTATCCTTAGTCTGTCTGACTGGCTTCTTCACAGGATGGGGATGAGAGGGATACGCAGGTTTTGGTTCAGAGGACTCGCTTTTTGCGCGGAATGCAGACACGCAACAGAGGGGCGACGAGATTGAGAATACCTGTGATTTGAGAACGTCAAGGCTCACCTTACCCACTTATGTTTCGCAGCGCCTCATCGTATCTTTGAAATCCTTGATACAACCCGCTGAAGAGAGTAGTGCTTGGTCGTATTTCACCATCGTCTTGCGTTAGTCAAAATTTATCTAGATTTTCGATAATGAACTGTTTAAATGAAACTGATACCGTCTTGGGCGTACAGAAACTGGCAGTCAGGTTTGACGAAAACAAGGCCTCTGGGATCTGCGGGTTGGCCAGAGCTTCACATGACACAAGGTAGTAACGCACTTGGGCTGATCATAACAGTATGTTGGCAGTATGCCCTAGGGCATATTGAAGGGGACCGCAGCAAAGCAGGGTGTCGCGCCTCACTACTTTGCGGGGTGATATTTCACTTAGAGGTGGATGAGGTAGTGAGGTAGTGTCCGCTGTTGTCTTGGATTCTCGTCGAATCATATATTACTGCCCCATAATCGGGCGTATATAAAATAAAGTTGGCTTGTAAATGCATCAGACAAATGGTAAGTCGCTACATGAATGACTAAACGCCCCGACACCTAACAGGGCACGTAAGGTATGCTGATTTACTTCCTTCCCAAGTTGCGAGTACCTGATCCAAAATGATGTTAACCGATGAAAAGGTTATGCCAAGCGCCCGCGGAAACACCGGAAGCCAAGAACATATTGCAAAGTACATATCGACGGTGATAGGTATGCATGATTGCAATGATGTAAGTTCGAGAAATGGTCGTCCGGGGGTATCAATATCGCGCTTTTATGCCAAATACTGGGCGCAAGCCGCAATACGGTGAATTCGAAAAGTGGCCCGTATTTAGCATGACTAGGAGTGAGTGAAACGAGTCGCACCAAGTGAGCCCTACTGGAAGTCTCAGCCAAGAACAACCTCATCAGTCTCGCGACACGGTTGAACTAGGCTTGACGATAGACGCTGTCTGCAGTCCGCGGTGGGGCTACCCTCTTGCCGTCTAGAAACTTGGGGCTTCTGTTGTCGTAGTACATGTTGGGTGTTTGCTGCTGCCTCCGCGCTTCGTATGCTCGTTGCTCCTCCTCGTCAAGCGAGAAGGCTTTCTTCAGCCAGCCAAATGCGCTACGTTTCTTCTTCAGTCGTTTTTCTCCGCTCGCCGTCATCTGTGAGTCGTATGTCATGGTCGTCACTGTGCTTAGCATGCTTGCGCCTCCTAGGCGAGACGGTACGTTCCTCTGGTGAGTAGGATAGTACCCTGACTGGTGGCCATAGGGAGATCTGGGTTGCGCACCGGCCGTGAGCGGCCTTTGTTGCAACGGAGAGTGTGGGCTCGCTTGCACCGGGCGGTAATATTGGTGTTCGGATCTTGGAGATGGTATCACTGGTGGCAGAACAGGCGGAGAGAGCTCGTTTGCTCCTCCATGATAACGCTGTCGCTGATCATAGTCTGAGCCGTAAGCAGAATCTGGAGCGTGGCGCTCTCGACCAGACTCTCGCGCAGTGTGGTGAAGGTCTAATGGCGGCGGTGGAATCTGTATCGATTCCGGAGGGGTCGTCTTTAGAGACACTCTTTGACGAAGCGACGTCTTCTTCGTCGGTAAAGGTGCCTCACGCTGGGGCTGGGATCTGCTTGACTCGGTCGGGGCGGGTGAAGGCGTGCGTTCTTCGGGTGGTTGCGGAGTGTACGTTCTTGGCTGTAGTAGGTACAGTGGTCCGTCGTCAAGGGTCACTTCCATCTCCTCGGCACCAACTGGCTCGGTGATAGGACCGTCGGGGGTCTCCAGGGTGAGCTTCGGTGCGATTGAATGAGAACTCTGATTTGTGCGAGTGGTGTTGCTGGTTCGAGCTGTCTCGTGTGAGTGATTGGTATTGTGTGAGTGTGTAGTTTTGTGGGACTTGGTGGTGGTTTGTGAGTGTATTGTATTGTGCGAGTGCGAAGTGTGGAATGACTGCATCGTGTTATTTGAGTGTGATGTCCTATGCGTCTTGACCGATCGCTGGTCAGGTGAAGCTACTGGCGATGGGATCTGCATTGGGATATCAAAGTAGGCCAGATTGGAGCTTGACCTTTCTCCAGCAGAGATAGAGCCGCTCACGCTATTCGCGCGTAGAGTAGAGCGCCTTGCGTCTCTGGAAGATGGAGGCGAAGACGGCGGTGAATGTGATGAGGCGTCGTCGGCTCGAGTGCCTTGCAGCGGTAGACTAAACGGCGGGATGCTGGCCTGTACCACGGTTAGTACTAGAGACAGGATAAGGCAAATGATCCAACCTACCCAAGTCCTTCTACTCACTTCTCCGGCCTTTTTGCTCATTTCAGCCACCATCTTCCCCAGTTTGACGACCAGGGTATTCAGCTCCTTTCCTTGAGCTTGCAACTCCACAAATGCGTTGTACCAGCCCTCGGTGTTGCCCTTCATCGCGGCGAAGATGTCAACAACGTCTGGGCGATCTTGACGCCAACTACCCGCATTTTGGTGTGCCAGATAGACGGCAAACTCCTTGGTTGCGGCGAGGCCATGCTGGACGTCCTTGTCGTACTGTTCGAGCTGAATATTGGTGCGAGCTACGATGTGCTCAATCTTTTCGTTTCCTTGAACGATCTCAAGTCGGAAGTTGCGGTCCTCTAGTAGTTTCTCAAAGACCTCGAGGTTCTCCATGGGCAAGCGGAGGTAGTCGATCCTCTCTTTCAAATCATTGGTCGCCTGCTCAAAGTCCTCCATGACCACCTCGAGAAACTCGTCTACTTCGTCGATATGCCCCTGCAGAATGCTGACAACCTGGGCCGCGCTGTTGGCCATGCCGTGGAGCAGTAAGTAAACCCCGAATGATATTTGAGCCATGAGCTTCTGAAGTTCGTGTTGCTGCTGGCCTGGGCGAAAGCGCCAGAGCATGTCGGGAAGATCATCTTCGCGTTCCTGGCTAATAAGCTCCTCGCGACGAATCTTCGCATCAGCAGTTTTGAGTTTCGGTTTCTGGGTAGGATTGCCGTCGGCGACTTCGAGGAATGACTCGGCAAAGGCGGCTTGCATTGAGGGGATAGGATGGCGAGGGACCTTGGGGTTGCTTAGTGTCGGTGATTCGTTGTTTGTTCGACGTGTGCTGCGGTTTGGAATTTGGGGCACGGTGGCTGTGGTTGGTGTTCGCTGAGCATCCTCATCGTCACTCGCATAGATGGGCGAAGGCAGATCGTCTGAAGGGGGGAAGAGGACAATTGGAAGATCCAAAGTCAGATCGAGGTTGTTGTTGGCCCCGAAGGACATGCGTGGGAAGCCGGTGGATGTAGCCATGGCGTACAGAAGAAGCTATGTCTGGAGAGGCTATAGACGAGCGGCAGAGACCATTGGCGTGCGACAACTGCCACAGCCGCTCGACAGTACGGGTCTCGTGGTTTGTCGGAGTCGTGCGATGCGGCAGGTCGAGAAGCAGAGTCGGAAAGATAACGCGCGACGCTGTGCGACGCTGGCGCTTTGTAGGAGACCACCACTGTCACTACCGGTTTCACAGGTAGTGGTGGTTGAATTGGTTAGGTGATGGCCGTCTTTGGTTGGATGAGTATGGTAAAGGGTCAGGATGCGCAAAGAGACGGCCGCGTCGAGAGGGGGAAAAGGACGTGTTCAGCAGGCGCACGTTGACATGACAGGCAGGATTGCCCCTGGTTGGTGAGGGGGGGGGGGGGGGGGGAGGGGGGGGGGGGAAGGGGGGGGGGGCGGGGGGGGGGGGGGGGGGGGGGCGGGGGGGGGGGGGGGGGGGCGGGGGGGGGGGGGGGGGGGGGGGGGGGTGAGAAAGAGAGGAGCGAGTAAGAATAGACCCGGGTTTGTCGCAATGTTGAAAAAGGGCGAGCGGGCGAGCAAGGAGGGATATCGAAGGCAAGGTAATGCCAGACAGGGTAAAGTATAGATTATAGTGTGAGGTGGGATAATATTAGGATTACGAGTAAAAGGGTTAGGCTCAGGACAACGAGAAGCGAAAAAAGTAGAACCGGGAGGGCCAAGCAGTGACGGCGGGATCGGGACTGGGAAGAAGGTGGAAAGGGTCGCACGCTGAGTCCTGGACAAGAATGGCGGGGAGGGCAGACGAGAGCATTCCAGACCGGAGATGGATGAGGTGAGGGTTGAGTCGGGGAAGAAAGGAAAGTAGAGGCGGCTGAAGTGTGAAAGTGTTCCCGTCGTACGGATACTTGGTACAGATACCAAATATCTCAATCCCGAGTTTAGAAAGAGCGACGGGGTGAGAAAAGGGTGGGAGGAGGGGAAGGGCAAAGAAGGTCCGTTGGTAAGTTAGGTGAGGAAGGTAAAGAAAGGCAATGCAGTGAGCGGACGAGTGAGTGAGGGAGTGACTGCGCGGCGATGGTCCATCCATGAGATGGGATGGGATGGGGTGGGGTGCCCTGGACCTGGACAGACTTACCTTACCTTAGTAGGTATGTGCAGACAGACAGACATCCACCCTCCACTAAATTGAATTGATTGAACGAAAGGTGGAGGGATGAGTGGCTCGAATGCCGGCGACTACGCTAACGCAAGGAAAGGCAAGCCCAGGCAGGCAAAGGCAAGGTGGTGGCCCTGCTCTTACTCCGTACCTGAGGTACATTCGACGCTACTTTTGCCGAGGAGTGGTGCGAGTACTTAGAGGTTCGTATCTACCTTACCCTACGCGGCATGTAGATGGTGCCATTTGGCCGGCGGGCACTTTAGCCAAGGCAAGGTACCTTAAGGTATGGTAGGTAAGGTAAGGTAAGGTAAGATACTTTGAGATGGCGCTGCCCGTACCTCTTGTCGACTGGAATACCTTCTTCAAGTAACAGCATGTCAGATGCAGGCCCCTCGACCCAAAAACAAGATACATGTTGTTTCTACCGCCAGGGCTCCAGGGTTGGGGAAGAAAAGAAAGCAGATGCTGCCGCTGTTGGTCGGCAGGTACTGACAGATTGCCATTGACGTCCAGTGACAGTCACTTGACATGGACATGGACACAAGTTATTGCCCGTGGCCCATGGATCTGTTGGATGCAGCCGCAGCCCCAAACTTGTCAACCTGTCGGGCTCGACTGACACCTGCGAACGCCGTCGCCGTGGGACTGCGGGGGGGGGGGGGGGGGGGAAGAGCGGAGCCGGGGGGTGGGTGGTGAGCGGGGGGGGCCTGGGCGGGGGGGGTGTGGGGGCCGCGGCCTCGACCTCGTGGGCTGGGCGGAGGGGTCGTGGGGCGGAGGGGAAGCGCGGGGCGGAGGGGCGGGGGGGGGGGAGGTGGGGGGAGAAAGACGACGACCTGGAACTTGAAGTTGCCGAAGGGTACCTGCCTTGCCTGAGGTGTGAGGTACCGACCTCCAGTCCTCAACCCAAGTGCCTTCCTTACCTTACTATGTACACTTCCCGTAGCCGCAACCGTGTTCCTCATGGGAATTGTCCAGTCGCATCCTTGTGCACCTCTCCCTTTTCCTCTCTTTCTCTATTACACGCGGGCCGCGGCGGTGCTCCCTCGCCCTTGCAGCTGCGACTCTCGTCTTATGCAATGGAAATGTTGACTTCTCCTCCTATGATGACATCTCCTCTACCGCTTACAAAAAAAACACCCACGAGTGAGCCTTCGTCCGATTCTTCATTACCCCTTCCGAGATTCAATTTACTTCGTCGTTCCGATCAATCAATCGGCTTATTATATTGCTTCACCCCCCCCTTTCACCTCCTTCCTTCTCTCTCCGAAGCCATCACGTTGTTCATTGAGAAAGGAAAAAAAATGACACACCTCAGATCGGCCCCAGCAGGAGGAAGAAAGGAAGGGCCCAGCAGCACCCGCCCGTCCCCCTTGAAAGTTGAATCGTTTCCCATGGACCCCCTGTCGCCATTCCTCTTTTCTGCCTTAGCGCCGCCTCTTTCCTCGAACCCCTGAGCAAAACGGGGAAGGACATGGCAAGCTGCAAAGGGGAAAGGGCCCAGAACCACCCGAGGCTCACCAAGACAGGGACCTGGTCGCAGGGTCCCCTACAGGCTACACATCGACCCCGACCTCACCCTCCGTCACCCTCGCACACCCTCGCACACCCACACAATTCAACCTCGCCTCGACCTTCTACCCCCTCTCTTCCGCCGAAAAGCCGTCTTCAGTCCTCGACCTTTGCTTCATCATTACACCAGATTGGCAGAGACCACGTACTTGATCCTCCGACACAAATGACTTTCCTCTATGTTCAAGATGTGTAGAGAGGGACGAAAATCTCATTCACGTCTCCTTTGTGCAGTCATGGTTGTGCAAAGTACTTGTGGTACATGCTGCTTAACGCCACTGGACTTGCTGACTGGGTTCCGAGATCGTCGTTGCCGTGACTGATTCTGTCGCTTGGATGCTGTTCGATGGTGGCCAGTTTCCACAGACGCATCGATTGTCAGTCTGTCACTCTCTCGCCAGGCAAACAGTCTTCACCCACATCCCTTTCCGCCCCCTACTTTACAGCTGGTCTAGGTACGGGACGCTCTCGACACACTGATGCTAACGCTGCAGCCGATGCCGATGGGATGCCCGGTCAAAGCATGGGCTGCTTGCTTCTGGAGCAATGGGATTGGGGTCAAACCATCCGCATATTTGACGGAAACAAAGCAGCAGCGCTTGCACAGTTCTGGCTCTTCTGACCAAAATGGCAGTTCCAGCATTGCGTCCACCGAGACCGAGAGAAACAAGTCGACCGCCTTGAATATGCACGCCAAGGCAAGCAGGCAGAAGTTTCGTCCGCCAGCAAACACGGCAGAAAGGCCCGGCCAAACTTCTGCTTTCTGTGCTGCCCTGGCACCTGGCACCTTGCACCACACTTTCCGTACACAACGCTTGTATATCAATCAAATGCAATTCGCATCTTCCAACCAACAGGAGATAAGGTGCCTTGCCCTAGGGCCATGGAACTATCTCCTTGGTGCAGGAACGAGTCTCAATTGGGATTGTAACCCCTGCTCATGACAGCCAGCCTGGGATATCGTCTTACCACAGAACTGTCCAACCGTTGACATAACTTCCTTTCATGGCCGAATACGGGTGTTCTGGGGAAGTTGGTCGTCGTCACCCGCCATCCAGCCCATTCCAGAAATCGTCGTCCGACCGGCCTATTGATAGCAATAGCTCGCGCTCTCGAGGCTGGTTAGAAAAGGAGATTGGGGCACTCTGTACACATTTTCCTTGGGCAGCAAACCTCCGAATGCCTCACACAACCAAATTGCCGTTACTTGTTCCATTTGACGCGCCATTAAAGAGGTCCACATCCGATGGCAATGGCACTTGGTGCTGCAACCTTGCCATCCAATGGTGCCTTGCCTCTCTTGTACTATGGTATACGACAACAGGGCCTGGGGAAGCCCTGGCCCTTATTTGCTTCGCCGGCTTCTGGCCCAGCCCAAGCCGACCCCACCGGGCAAGCGCAGCTCTTCGTCTGCCAACAGCTCGGCCGCCCATGCGGGTGAGAGTCAATCTGACGGCGAGCCGTTGTTTGGAGGTATTTGGCATGGCCGACCAAGTGCACAGGGTCGACGTCGCGTTGGTTAGAAGGACGGCTCGATTCGCAAAATGGCTTGTGCGTAAGTGATGCCTCAAGAATCGAAGCACTATTTATTCCCGCTGCACCTCCCATGGGTAGGGCAGCTTCCGATCTGCCTGGTCATTGATCGCACGGCCTATAGTGTTTGAAGCGGCGAAGCTATTCCTGGCTCTCAAACAGCCGACCGTGTCGTTCATCGACGGCCCTCCCCGTCTATTGTAAGTTGGTCGCTGCTTGACACGAGGTTATATCGACGGCTCACCTTTCCAGCCTCATTTCCATCTGTGGACATAGGCTCATTGAGCCGATCGATCGGCCGCGTCTCCCGACCAAGGAGCCCGCTTGCATCCCTTGACTCTTCCTGGGAACCCTCTTTATCGATCGAATGGGATATTTGACCCGGTTTGCAACGGCCATTTGGGGTGCTTGGCTCAATCTTCCCCAGTCATTGTCCGCGTTTAAGATTGGTCACGATACCCTTGACGTGGCTGTAATGGAGGAGATGAGAAGAGTGGAGGGACAATGAAAGACGAGATGAACGAGGGAGCCTCATCGGGTTCGGTCCAAAAAGTCCCAAAAGCCCCCCTGACGCTGGATGCAAAGTCAGTCTGTGCGGGCAACGCGGAGCCTAAGGTAGGCCGAAGCCTCGGTCCAAAGAAGCGCGACGTTCAATGCTAATATTGGCTATCGATCCTCCTTCAACGCGTCCTTTTTTCGGCTGCGACACGACCCAGCGGCTGATACCTTGCGGCCCGTTGTGGTCTCCCAAAGGAAAGGAAAGAAAAAAACCAATAAAGGCCCATAACGGCCCGCTGACGATTTCTGCTGGCCCAATGACGTGAGCGAGTCAGATTACCACATCTCGCTCACGGCTCGATAGCTCGTACAATTGCAATTGGTATTAGTCCAAGTTGGTTCGACAAGGTATTGGTTTCCTCGAACATTGCCAACCCACCTCTAGCAATAGCGATACGACAGTATTGCCTCGCTGAGGGCCTGCAGGGCAAATGACGGAGAAGTCGATAGATGACGGGCATGACGATGCGATGAGCCACAGCATCCGTCTGGGGCTCATGTGGGACTTTGACGACTTTCATTCCGTATTACCGTCGTCAAGGGGTTGCTCACGTCACGATGATCACTGTGGCGAATGAATATTGGCTTCGAGGTGGCTCCCTCAAGCATCGGAAAGTTGCGGCCGTGTTTGCATCGCGCTTCTCCGTCCCAACCCAAGCGCGGTTGCAAGGCACGTCCTGGTTTGATTTGGATCCTTTCATACCTACGTTTATATGGTTCGCCGTGTGCGACTCTCGGCCCTGGGACACTTGTCGATCGACGGCCGGTTCATCTGGAGATCGATCTACAATCTGCTTACCAAAGCCGAGAAGCATCTGCTTTGTCTCTGCATGAGCCTCACCCCGCAGCATGCACCTTGTACCAAGGGAACGGCAACGGAGTGGTGAAAGACAGAGCTGTAAAAAAAAAAAAAAAAAAAAAAAAAAAAAGCGTCGTGCCTTGGCATACCAAAGTCATTCCTGTCTTCCCGCTCACCCGCTTACTCTGTCTGTAGCGGAAGGAAGTGTTTGCGCCCGTACATCATCCACATCTCTGCGCCTACTCCTATCCCTCATAAGGGCCAATTACTCAATATTGCATATCCATCTATAACACGCTTACAGCATCCACTAATTGCTGGTTGACACTTTTTTAAGAGTACATCATCCACATTGAAGAGTCCTCCAACCGTAATGGTTGGTTCCAGTGGATGGTATCAAAACATGGCTAACACTAAAGAGCCACGTAGAGCACCTTCGCCTTACAATGTAGATCAGCTCACTTAGCGTCAGCCACACAGCCACACGTACAGCGTAGCCCAAATCATACGGGCGCAGTTTACATTAGGCGCCTTTTCATGTAAGTCTGATTCAGCTAATATACATTCTACAGTCTTATTCATGTAGTCCAATGGAGGCAGACGCGAGGAGGAAATCACCTGTGAGACCATAAGATCACGGCGCGGACGCTTCTTCTCTGAGCCTCCTGGGTCTCCTCGGCCGAACTCGAGAATTAAAAAAAAAAAAAAAAAAAAAAAAAACCCATGGTTCCCCTTATGCTCCCGTTGACATCGTACATGAACCCCCACATCATCTCCGGCTAAGTGCAGGAATTGTCAGGACCCTCTTTCAGGACCGGGTTCCTAGTAGACCGCAAAAAGCGGAGAGAGGAACCAAAAAAAGAAGTGTCGGCATTGGCCATTCCTATCGCGGAGCCATCAGGTACCTGTACGGATAAGCTGTGTATTCGTAGTATAGTACAGACCTTGGTAGACCTTTTTGGTCGCATTCTGCGGCCCAGCTTACGTATTGGACCCCGCGACGTTGCTTACCACTGACTACCTGACATTGAATCAGCTGGTTCTTCTTTGGGATGAGGTCGCCGCCCGGCTTTGACAGGAAGAATAACAACAGCAGCAACAATGATAACAACATCTACAACAAATGGCACCCAGTAGTTCACAGCCACCAGCATCATTGTCACTCTGTAATCGTACAGAGTACGGTCTCCCGCATCAACATTCGGCACGCGACATCCCGTGAGACTGACCAGGCTCCCCAGCAGCCAAGGTAATTGTGATTTCTCAGCCAGCGGAGCCCATCCCTGCGAACCAACGACCCGCGCCGAGAGCGCAGGCCCACGTTCAAAATCTCTCTTAGATCCTCGAACCGCCCCGTCCTCCTAGTTCAACTCCAAAACTTCACCATCGTGGAGGAAAATTGAGAGGGAAAAGGGCTTCAGACTCCCTCCCCCTTTTTCTTGGCTCCTCCAGCCGGTATCAACCCCCCCGGCAGACCACGATGCTCGCTGCGTTCCGCTTCGGGACGGATCTTTGGGATCCCTCCCACCGCTTCGAGACCTCGTGGCTTCTTTCTCCCTATCTTTTGGCCGCGTGTCGAGCGCTGATTGTGAGTCTTGGTCTCTCTTCTAAGTTTCCGTCGCGTCTAAGTGCCCTCTGTGCATTCGATGTCTTGGACTGTCGTCAACGTTCACTCACAGCTCCCATTGCGCGCTTGCCAGTCAAATCATCATCAGATGGTGATAAGTCATTTGAAACTAACACACCTTCTTCTCGCAGAGTCTATACATCTTCGTCGTCCGCTTCTTCGTCATCGGCTGGACCTGCACTCACGCCGAAGATGGCGGGTGCAAGGTTGTCGGCCAGAGCTTCTCCTACTTCGTAAGCAAACTCAATACCTCCGAATCGTCCAACGTATTAAACGGCGTGACTAACACGACCGAAACCGTAGACTGTCCTGACGTATTGGGGACTCTCTTTTTACTTCCTCATCTCGGCCATCCACACCTTCACGTACGCGCACTCGGGAACCCCGCTGCTCGACCGTTTCCCGCGACCCCTGCAGGCCCTGCACGCCTTCTACTACGCCACCATCATCACCTACCCCTTCATCGTGACGATTGTGTACTGGGCCATCATCTACGAGGCCCCCTGGTACGCGAAGCAGTTCGATGCCTGGAGCAACATCTCCCAGCACGGCCTCAACTCGGCTTTTGCCCTCTTTGAGATTGTGGTTCCGCGGACTAGCGCCGCCCAGCTCGAGTGGGTGCACATGCTCTGGCTCATCATCGTCCTGGCCCTGTACCTCGCGCTCGCCTACGTCACGTACTACACCCAGGGCTTCTACACCTACGACTTCCTCGACATTCAGAAGAACGGCAGCGGCAAGGTGGCTGCCTACATTGTCGGTATCGCGGTTGCCGGTATCGTCTTCTACCTCATCGCCAAGGGCCTCATCTGGCTGAGGCAGTGGGTTACCGAGAAAAAGTTGGGCATGGACGGCAAGTTTGCCCAGCAGCGCTTCCGCGACTATGGCATCGAGCTGGGTACGATTACCTCCAAGAACTGAGTCAAAAGTCAAAAGAGTAGGGACGACGACGTGCAGGAGGCCAGCAAGGCCAGCAAGGCCAGGAAGGCCAGGAAGGCCATGGATACGCTATTAACCGACTGAATATACACCATGTAGACGTATGGATATTTGTACAAATGAGAAGAGTCAGGGCACGGGTTGGGAGCAGGCATTCCATTGCTATTCTGCATTGTTATTATACCCCGAAGGACCTCATTGTGTCCCTTGTCATTAATGGTATCACAACATCTAGAGGCGCAAAGAAGGGAGGAGCTGCATCAAGTAATAGTACAGCATAACTGTCTAGTAAAATGATACAAACATCTAAATCGCTATAAATTACGAATCTTAACTCCATTTGATACCAAGGTTTTGACGCGTCAACACTTCAATGAGATGCCTTTCCGCATCTCGGCCTCTCTGATTTCAAACATGACCTGGACGCCCATGTACAGAGAGGCAAACGCACTCATGAAGAACAGTGCACCTGTAAACCGAGTCAGTCCAGACTGCTTGCACGTGAGCCAAGGAGACGGCGGGTTGTTTTGCTTACCTGACCAGTCATGCAGAATACCAGAGAGAATGCTCTGCAAGCCGTCGAGTCCGACGGCGAAACCGACGAGGTTGGCAATCATCATCATGAGCACATTCGCGACAGCCCCGACGGCGCAGAGCCGCCGGTACGTGTCCGGCTTGCCCTCCCATTTCCGCGCCGGGAACAGGAGCTGCGCGAGGACCTCGGGGAGGAGGAAGAGTACAATGAGCCAGCCCCAGATGAGCAAACGCAGACGGATATCGTGCCAGAGGGCGACAAAGGTAAAGACTAGCAGATACGTGGCGATGGAGCGAACGGTGGTGGCCCAGGAGCGGAAATTGGCGCCGCCAAGGGGGATATAGATGTACCGGATGAGCCAGCGGTTGTAGGAGCGATGCCACGCCTTCCAAAAGGATTTTGGGGACCAGTTGTTGGAGACGCAGCGGAGCATATTCTCGGGGGCGTCGACGCCGTCGATGAGAGCCCATAGGCGGAAGAGGCGCCAGGGCAGGAGGAGCTTGAGCCAGATGATGTGGAGGTTGAAGAAGGAGAGGAGGGAGAGCTGGGCGGGCGTGTAGGTGGACCAATTGGGCCCGGCATGGGAGATGGCGCAGACGTAGTCGTAGTGCAGGACGACCTCCATGGCCAGCAGGCCGAGGAGGAAGCGCGCGGCGTAGCGGATGGTGCGCGGGGTCTCGATCGAGGCGGGGCGGTGGCGGAGCTGGGAAATGAAGTCGTTGTAGCACATGATGGGGCCGACGAGGTAGAGGGGGGCGTAGATCGCGTAGGCGACGTAGTTGCGGAAGGAGTAGTCCTGAGGCGCGGCGGAGATGGCGAGGCGGTCTCGTTCGGAGAGGTTGGAGGGGTCAAGTTGCTTCTTCTTGGGGACGTCAGTGATGTCGGAGGGAAGGGAGGGCAGGGGGGAAAGGCAAAGCTTTGGTCTTACCTCTAAGGGGCTTCCGCTGCGTTGATCGAGGCTGAAGTAGTAGTCCAAGTTGAAGCTGATGAGTCGCAAGACTGTGATGTTGAAGAGAATCTCCCAGCGGCTCATGAGACCTCCGTGGCGGTCCATCCACGAACCCCACCTCACGAGGAAGGGGTCCTCGTCGAGCAAGTTCTTCGTCGCAGGCGGCGGGGTAATGTGCCGCGCGATGGCGGCGAAGCGGTACCCCTCGCACAGTTCGTTGGCGAAGAGCATGCAGATGTTGAACGTCCACGTCGCGGCGGGGACGTAGCGGCGCGGGAGCCGCGTGGCGAGCTGGTAGTTGATGTGGAGGATCGCGAGGACCTTGAGGGCGGAGAAGCCGTGCAGGGCGACGAGGAAGACGAGGGCAAAGCGGTAGTCGAAGGAGGCGCGCTGCTCGAGGCGGGCGTCGCCCTGTTCGGTGACGGACTTTTTGTGCAGGTCCGAGGGGATCGGGAAGATTTTATTCCAGAGCTTGCGCAGGAGGGGGTGGAAGGCCAGGAGGAGGGCCATGAACGGTAGGTTCCTGCGGAATGTGTGGTATTGCGAATCGGATACGTCCTAGAATAGAGTCTACGGTGAGCGGAATTCGTGCAGCTGGGGAGCGTTGCGCATTCGGAGAGAAGCTCACGATCTTGCGGCCTGGTATCCAGCCATCGGAGAGGAAGTGCTCATAGTTGTGGTATCGGGGGTCAGAAGCTAGAGAAAAGAAGCATTGAGCATCAGCAGACACTTCGTCTTCAAAGGGAGAAGACCATGCGTACGTCTTGAAACATCGTACGCGATCCAGAACATGTAGGGCACGATGAAGGAAAGCAAAAAGATGTAGAGGAGGTATTCTGGTGTCCCCCATTTCGACGGCTGCGAGCGGCTCTGGGCCTTGTTGGGCGGCTCCTTGCTTTGCGCGGGATCGGTCCGGGCTTCGACAACGGTCTTGTAGGGGACGGAAGAGGAGCTCGTGAAGCGGGTGTCGAGGTTGTCGAGGTCGTAGATGCTCCTCAAGAATCTGACAATGGCAGCCATGGCGATCTGGCTGATGGACGCAAAGCTCTTGAGGAGCTTTGCGCACGTGCGTGGGTAGAAGAAGCTGATGGGCGGAAAGGGAGAGCTTCGGATTCGAAGGTTTCTAGGACATCTCGTCCATGCAGGTTTTTGGAAGAAAAGCTCTCGAGGGCTACGGTGAATTGCCAATTTCGCAATTCGAATCGTCAATTCGAGAACAGGCGGGAAAGGGATGCGGTTGTGGGAAATTGGGTATCAGTCTCGTGGTCGCAACCTCCGTCCCATGTGTTCAAATGTATGGGGTGGGTAGGTAGGTTATTTTTGTGACGCAAAACCACTTGAAGGGACTGGAAAGGCTAAGCTTCAGACAGGCGGCATGCGTTCCCTGCGGTGGATGCATGGGTCGGTACCTCTTTACCCCCGCCGCGTAAACGGCTTGTTAGGTACCTTAGCGGGCACTGCCCGCAAAGCCGGGGCGTCGGCCGTCGGGGCACTTTTGGACCCAAGTGAGCTTCAGCTTGCGCATCCCATTGGCCGGAAACCCGATCGACAGAACCCCTATTATGGCACCCTAGGGGAGGGATGCCTCGGTACCTTGCCCGCTTGCTTCAGAAGTTCAGACGGGTTTACGGATACCTACGTAGCCAATGGCAACGAATCTTTGCAAATCTGGCTTCGACGACACGACGACTCAGCTCTGTTGTATACTATGTAGACACAAGCTGAGACTAAATAACCCTAGTCAACCTTTGAACCTGTTTTTTTTTCCCGATGTCAACATGGACTGGATGCATTGAAAGTGAGACGATACTGATTTGAATACAAGCTGAACCAAGGCAATCGCTTGCTTGTCGGTCTCGGCTCCGATACGGGGCCGACCAACGGCCCGGGATTTTTTTAACCAGTGGCCAGACAGGGCCACGACGAAGCAGGTTTGGGAGTCTACACATGCAGCCAAGGCCATTTAATGCGTTTCTGCAATGTCTCAATTCATATTTTGAGTCAGATTGCCATCCAGAATACCTAGTGTGCATTTCCAATGCAAACCCTTCCCTCGTGTATCGTAGGGTCAACGCGTGAAGAGTCCCAGATTACCTTATCCACTACTCACGCACTCACTGACCACTGTTCCACGGCCGCCTTCTTCACCCCGAACCTTTGGCTGAGAACAACCCAGGAAGCGATGCAAATCAATTTGCGGAATGCCCTGGGGCTTGCATCCTCTCCAAAGCCCTCATCGAGCCACCTCTTTACGTTATCCCACTCCATGAAACCCAGGTTCTCAATGTTCTCGCGCGTAACCAGCCCCTCAATCATATAATACACGGGGCCGCCGCGCGGCCACTTGACCGGTGCCGAGTAGGGATGCTTCCTCCGCTCGTAGAGCTCCTGCGTGATGAAGGGCTTACCGGCTTCTTTGAGAATCCACTTCTCGCTCAGCTTCTGACGCGCCGGGCTCAAGTCCTTCCACCACAGACTCGCGCCGGTGCCGGCGGTACCCGTCCCGGCGGCCTCTCCGGCGGCCTCCTGGTACGCGACCTTGACGCTGGGCGGCAAGTTGTTCACGTACTCGACGAGATGGTGGTCCAAAAAGGGCGGCCGGGCCTCGATGCTGTGCGCCATCTCCGTACGGTCGCCCAGGCAGGTCAGGATCATGTTGGCGAGCGGACCCTTGGTGTAAACGTAGAGACTCGTGTGTAGCGAGTGCCACTTCTCAATCATTTTCTCGAGGACCTCGGGCGCGAGTGTGGATTCGGCCGAGCCGGGTGTCTTGTACGTCTCCCGCACCCAGGGAGAGAACGCGTTCCACTCGGGCTCCAGCCGCATCGAGTTGCTCGGAGCAGCGCCCGAGGAGGACTCGTCCTCGAACATGCCGATCCTGTCAAACATGGCCTTGAGGTCGTCTGTCATCTCCTTGAACATGGGTATGCGGACCCCGTCCGTCATATCGGACTGGGGCCATGCGAGATCGGGTTCCATGAGGAAGGCCGGCAATACGAAGGGATAGCCCGCAAAGTGCTCGTCGGCGCCTTCACCAGTGAGAACGACGGGCACACCGTGTCTCTGGGGTAGCGAGGAGAGGCAAAATTTTCCTACACTATTCAAGTCGAAGTTGTGGTGCTCGGTATGGAAGACTGCATCTGCAAAGTTGTCGGCGAGTTCAGTCTCGTTCATGTCCTTCTTGAGGATCTGCACACCGAGAAACTCAGCTGAGCGTTCAGCAATATCTATGTCAGGTGTTAGTAGGTTCCTAGTCTCGTGACGGTGATGATTTCGCGCTGACCAGCTTCGTTAAAGCCCGAGGATTCTGGGAACTGGATCGTGAAACATTTGATGCGCTTCGTGGCGTCTTGGCTGCCCAGCTCAATACCTTGCTCCTTTACAAGTTGTGTCACAATACCTGCGATGACTGATGAATCGATACCTGTGATGAGATTAGTCTTGTAACTGAGTTTACTCGGACCGGTAATTTCCTACCTCCAGACAGGTAAATTCCCACGGGAACATCGGCACGGAGTCGAAGCTTCACTGCTTCTACCAGGCGCTCCCTCACTCCCTCGATCATCTCCTCTGCGCTCCGCGTCTCTACCTCTCGCTGTCGTGAATTAGCCTCAAACGCAGAGGTGGAACGGGTCATGACCAGGTGTCACTTGCCTTGTCTTTGTACTCAGGATCCCAGTATTGGCGATGCTTTATTTCTCCATCCCTGATTTCCATCCAGCTCCCGGGTTCCAGCTTGCGAACGTCCTTGAACACTGTGCTGTCGGCTTGCATCGACGATCCACTGAGCAAGCCGTAGACGTTCCACTCCGGCTCCCAGCCGAAGGCTCTGAATCCCTTCATTTCTGAGGCCAATAGCATCCGCGTTCTGCCACCGCTCCCTTGCTCCTGCAAAGTCCAGAACATTGGCTTGATACCAAAGCGGTCCCTGGCAACGATGACCAGATCCTTGTCCTCATCGTAGATGACGAAGGAGAACTCGCCGCGGAGGTGCTTGAAAAAGCCCGGGGCCCCATAGATCTTGTAAAGAGCAACTAGGACCTCACTGTCACAGTGGCCCTTGAAGCGATAGTTGTGCTCCTTTATACATCTCTCTCTCATCGCATCGTGGTCATAAATCTCTCCGTTGACCACAGCATGGATATTGCCATCATCACTGTGTAATGGCTGTTCTCCATCTGGAGAAAGGTCGTTGATTGCTAATCGGCAGTGGCCGAGACCTCCATTACATCATTAGTCGAGCGTTTCCACAAAGCCTTGCCACGGAACTTCTATACCAACTGTCGTATCGTCACTGATCCAGACACCCGAGGCATCTGGACCACGGTGAGCGATGGCTTCAAGACTTTGTTGAAACTCCTGGCGGAGAATTGCATGCTCTTCTGGGCCATTCTTGGCTTTGCTTCTGATTCCGTTTGTTCCATTGCTTTCACTGTTCCTGATGATGGAACAGCTCCGCTGGAGTGTGATAGCCGCCGTGATTCCGCACATGGTGCTTCCCAGATAGCAGATAGACAGAAATGATGTAGGCAGAGTGACGGTGAGTGAAAATAAGATCAGAATGATAAATAGCCTTGGGCCTTGCCTCGATCCCACAAGGTCAGCTATATAAGAGAGCAGAATTGGATCCGCATGTTGTGACACGCGCCATCGACCTGGTCCAGATTCAGGGACGAAAGTCCCGACACAGACACCTCACAAGTTTTCTCAGTCCCAAGTAGCTTTCATGGAACGGACAAGACCGAAACCTGCAGCTTCATGATTGAGCTGGCATAGTCAGCATGTACATAAGGGAGCCACACCGTAGACTATACATCTGCATTTGAGGTACTTTCAGAAGTGGGCAAGCCACATAGTAGAGACGTCAACAGCAAGCAGAAAGAGGCGAACTTCGACCACGGTGGAAGCAGGGCTTGGCCCGGTCGCAAGAGCTCCAGCCCCAGACATATTGCCGTTTCCCCGGGCTTGGGATATTTCCTTGGCGATCGTGTGTGTGATCAAGCTTGGCTGCTTTCTTTCTTGGGTATGTAGTCTGTGGGGGGCTAACTACGCAGAGTCCCGTCGCTTGTGTTAGCTCAAGTCGCATGCTTTTAGGGTATGGCCTCCAAACGCCAAGTAGAGAGTTTCCTGTCTATTCTTTTTAGCCGGTTTAGGAAACAAATCTTGCATCTGCTGCATGTTTGGAGATGGCAGGTGCGGAGGTGGCTGAGTTGTTGTTCGCGGACAAAGCGCCCGTCTTGGTAGTTTGATAGCACCGGCGCATGGCCCGTCTTGCGGCTGGTATTCATAATGGCGGAACCATAGGTATACTCAAGTACATAATTCAAGAACGGAAAATGCTGTGAATAATTCCGTTCTTTTGTCAAAAACAAATTCGTAATCATAGTGACCAACATAGTGGGTGAGGCTGTTCACGATCAGCTTGTGCACGCTCTTGTGTGGTAAACAGTGTGTTTTCCTGCAACCAACCACATAATCAGGTCTTACACTAGCAGTTCGGGCATCTTACTTCTAGTATTTCAATTTATATACTGTCATCGTAGTTTCTGAGTGTCTGTCTTCCTAATGGAGTTTCAGCTGTGGCTTCTGCACTTGGCGCACGCCATCCCTTCAAATATAATGGTTCTTCTTTTCAGACGAAATTACCAAGAACTATTAAACATAGACATTTGCGCCTAGACACGGATGCATGACGGGCTCGATCCTCCCAGCTAAGTTCCAAGTCGGCCCCGAGCTTGAGCCGATCGAGAGAAGTTGAAAGCCATCGGACTATGGAGAATACTTCGACCCCGGGTTCCACGGGGATTTGTTCCATTCGGCTGCTCGTGAACTCGCAGGCATCTTTCACGTTCAAATTTCGTTCGTGGCATCTCGGCAGGTCCTCCAATGCCTGACCCAGGCGTAACTTCTGGCCAGGACCAAGGCAGTTGTCGGGGCCATCGAAAGAATGCAGAATGAGGGGGTCTTGACTTGATAGAGTATTCCAAGGGGGGCTTTTCCCTGTTGAAGTTATGAGTAATGCTTAACATGGCATTATATTGTAATCTGGTATACGTAAGCGCTGGGAGTTGGAAGGTACTGACGATCAAACGTCTCCTTTATCTTAGAAGACTTACAAGCCTCGATAATGCCATGTTCTTGTTTTGAACGATACTGCAAAGTGGCTTTGATGTCATAATTTCAACTTCAAAGTCGGGCCACTCTTACTCTCTATGCTACTTCCGATTGCGCACCCCGCTTATAATACGATGTCCAATGGGTCACTTTGTAGCGCGAGGTCTAAGTCGAGGATCGGAGATTTTGCTCCTGCGATTCAAATGTGCTTCGCACCGGCTTTGCTTGGCACCTCGACTTCTCCCCGAGATGTCTCGAACGAATTATAACTTAAGGGTCAAAGTGGGGAGCTACGGGATGGCCTGCAGATTGATGGAGAAAACCTCACGTGGAAGGCATTCCGTGAGCGGCGTTGCACACAAGGGTCCCTCCGCTGGTACGTGAGTTTGCAGATATTCAGTCCATCTCACTTGCTGTACCTGCGACGCTGTCGACATGAGAAGCTGTCTTCAATGTCTAAATATATCAGCGCACTGCAACAAAGCCATGCCTGTCATACGCTCTCACTGCATTTTCAAAGTCACGCCCATGGACATCTGGGGCTCTCTCCTTATTAGATGGCTCACGCGGTCTACTCTTGACCACGGACAGTAGGGGCGTCTATCGCCCCCACCGCATGATTGCTTCTCTCTGTAAGGCTGCTTTCCCAGCACTCACGCGCCAAAAACAAACCGCGGAGGGTGGAAGACGGCGTCCTAAATGAGATCCTTAGACAACAAAATCACCAGATGGGAGTTTTGCAGGGACTTATGTTCCTGTTTAGACCTGAGAGCCTCTGATGAAAGGCACGTCGTCACATACAGCGTACTGATGTAATTCTTGGTTTGGATCACTCGATCTAGATGTTCCTTTGAGCTTTCTCGAAACACACTTGAGCGGTCTCATAGTCCATTCTCAGCCATCACGTTTTGCTTAGTCCAAAGTTTGGATATGCGAAGAGGATCGAATAGATCCGTGTAATTTTGCAACATTGAAAAACTTAGAGCTCGATATTTCCGAGACATGAGGTCACTCAAGGAGCTGAATTTTCTTGTAACTACACAACAGAACGCCATATAATACATCACGAAAAGTGCATACCGTCCAATCGAGGAATTGGCATACCTATTGCTCTATTTCTGTCTCATTCGTTCTGTCACTCGTGAAGAAATCACAAGGGCAAGTTACAGGTGAAGTAGCAGTGAATGTGCCCCATGGTTCAGCCCAGCGCGGCGCTCGCAAGATCATCATTCCCTGGAAGACCCCTGGAGCTCAACTGCATCTCCATTGGACCGGTACAAAAAGAGACCTCGGAATGAGAGGCTCACAGAGAATGATATCAAGACCACGAGGAGCAGCCCATCTCGCAGTCATAATGGAATACCTGAGCCGGAACCACCGTCTGCGGCCGTTTTCAAAGGGCAGCGAGCTACAACATTCCTCCCTCGAGATTCCATATAAAATTGAACCAATTTTGACCTGCTTCCTCGTCTTTCAGCCCTTCCCAAACGTCACGTTTGATCCCCACGATGACAATTGTCAAGCCGATGGAAGCGAGAACAGTATGTATCATCAGATCGATACGACTGTCTCAATACTATTTCAACCTCTACGATATACTTGTCCAGTCTCCGAATATTTACGACTTCTCTCATCCTCCTCCCTCTTCTTAAGAATGTACGTACCCTGAGTGGATATCTAGAGCCCAGTGCCGCTTTTCAAGAGGAAAGAAAACACAATTATTATTCTCTAACCGAAACCGGGAACCAAGGGCCACACCATGGTCCTCAAGCGCCTCCCTCATGTATGGCTTCGGCGCCAAGTGAGCACATCATGTAGTGATAAGAAAATCAAAAGTCGACCTAACGTGTCTCAAGAAATAGACGTTTTCTATATATGTATCTTGTGAAGGCTGTGGCAGTTTTCAGCTGCAACGTTTGTTGTAAGCCCCATCCAAAAGTGAATTAGACGACGAATCACTGTGTGTAATTGCGTAAAGAATCGGCAAGAATCGGCGAAAGAGAAATGAAAGGCAAATTACTCTTTTTGGCGTGATCAAAGCGCCGACCATGGAATGCAGTAACTTCACGTCATCACGGCCAGACCCGAGCTGGGTCCACTTCGCCGTTGCCATCCAAAGCCGGCTCCGGTCATGTCTCGGGTCATGGGACCGTCTCACAGCTTAGAAAGCTCGGGTCATAGTCAAAAAGTTGTGACGGAAAGGGCAGGAGAACGTAGTGCTTCAATTGGCACAGCCCAGGGTGAGACAACCTGCAGCAAATTAGACGGCGAGCTGTGAACCTTCGGCTACCATTTCCTCGAAGCTAGTGTAGGCCTCCCGGCCAAACATTTGAGAAGCGCCATGTTTTCCTACCTCAATGCACATTGAACCGCGTTCCGCGGCGCAGTTCGCAGTCACATGTTTCCTCTTCGGTGGAAGTGGCTCATGTCTTATAAGGAATTTAAGGTCCTTGCGATGTTGGAGTAAGATTAGGGTTGTTGCAGCTGCGCCGTGCTATCGGAGTTGTATGCCGGCAGACGGAAGGGAGACTTTGTGAAGCGATATTTAACAGATTTGAGTCAGCGGCTGTCACCACAATCTAGAAACGGTGTCACCAGAAGAAGCCCAAAGATGCCATCTTGACCACTTGCGCAAGGCGCAAGGCATCTCAGTGGTGGCAGCAATTGTCAACGACCGTGGCCCTCCCTTTTAGTGCCCTGCGGCCCAGAGACATCGTCCGATAATTGAGTTGGCCATACGGTGGGGTCTGGAAAGACATTTCTGACGTTGATCGATCGGCAACGCACCCAATATTCGTCCAGGCTGGCCCAGAGGAGAGTTTCGCATCCAAACCTGGCCACTCAGAGCTTGCGGAGCAAACGTGAACAGGCAAGCAGGCCCTTGAGCCCCTCGAGGGTGTGTTCATGCGCAGGTACAACGACAAATCCCAAGACGCGGGATGGAATGGGGAGGACGCAGTTGGAGGCTCGAGCGTCACCGCACTCGCCGATGGTTGGTTTGAGGGAGCCCATCATCATGCCCATGGACGTAACGTGCCACCGTGCCATGCTGGCCCGCATCCGCGTGGTATTATCACTATCGTGCCAGACAGATCTGTCAAGGGCATCTGTACCCATCTCGATGTTATTTGACAAAAAAAATTCGAATCAGCGGCTACGCGTGAAAAAAGAATGGTTGTGCATGTCGTCTGCACTGCGTTTGCTGAGCTCGGATAGATCGGTGACGCAAGCGATGCCCAATGTAAGTGAGATGGAGGTTTTGACAGCACCCCTAGGCGGATGCCAGCACATGACGATCAAGCGTGAGGGTCACAGCCAATGACTTGTTCTGGCGGGGCACTCGGCTCAGTGGATGTGTGCAAGACCCGGTTCTGGATGGATGGGGTGACGACGAGGATGTGCTGGCATCGGCCAACTCATGCGCGACGAAGTGACCAAACACAGGATAATCCTCGACCTATGATCGGCATTGATGGCGAGCGAGGAAAGAAGGGAGAAGCAGACTGGGCGGTCCGGAAATAGATTGCTCTGGGCAGTGGGCTTTTCTGGACTACCACGGATGGTGTGGCGTCCCTCGCGGACCTATGTGCGTGGTCGGTGGTGGACTTCGGAGCAGAGTTGGCGGTGCGACGGGTTTCTGTTTGTGAATTTCTTTCTCGGGTGTCAATCGCATATCTGTTTTTTCTGCGTCAGTTGGATTCCATCGACTGAGGCACAATGGTTCCGCATCGTGTCTGGCCGGGGACCTGTGGTGGGGCAGGTGAGCGGGCGGGCGGGCGCCGGAACGGCAACCAAGCGAGCAACGGGTTCGAGACGCGTCTCGCCGTTCAGGTATCTGTACTCTATAGTCATGCCTTGTTGCTTTCTACAAGGTCGGTCGAGGTATGCCGTGAGACACGAAGTAATGAGTGCGACATACAGCCGTTGGAGAGATGAGCCGTGGCCGTGGTACCGATGCGGTGAGGTGTAAATACGGCTGAAATCTACTATGTATGTTAGGCCACGAATGACGCCAACGTTTCAACGGTCGACCAAGTCGGCGAATATCGTGAATGTCCAGCAAGGGATATACGGATATACATGTAGGATTGCTAGTACTAGCAGATGTCGGCGAGGAAAAGCAATAGACGGCAGAAAGAGAAGAGATGAATGCTGTACGGATACCTCGACTGCTTTACAGCTTGCAGAGGTGATGGATCTACTGTAGCCGGCGAGGCAGGTGGAAGACGCTCCGAAACGAGACAGGGTCCACCCCCACTCCCACTGAGGTGGGTTGCGGCGCCATGTGGAAGGAGCGAGGTAAAGCGGCCGCGGAAGGGGAGGACCGGTGGCAGAAACCATCCACCAAATTGCTTGGGGCCTTAGTATCTTTTGCTTCCAATGGGAAAGGACCTTGACGTTTAGGAGGGAGCAGCCAGCACGATGCGGGTTTGTCACATTTCTTTTCATTTCTTCTCGTTCAGTACGTAGCACAAGTGACAACAAGTGACAGCATTGGTCTGCGTCGTGAATGCTCCAACAGATCGATCAGTAACAAGCCTGACCTCGAGCTAAGAATCAATTCATTCAGTACATTGACTGCCAAGCTGCTGGCAAGCCCGACAGCGAGGAATGCACCAAAAAGGCGCGTAAGGCGGACGGGGCTAATAGGTACTAGGGGGGCTCAATTAAGGTGCGGACGACTGACGGGGTTCCCACGCTTGGCCGGACCAAGCAACAAGCAACAGAGACAACTTGTCTCACCTCATTCATGGACTCAACCAGGCATGGCCGGTTATATCTCACGAGAAGGGGTGTATACGAGCAAGGAGGCCTTGAGTATAGAAGACTCGGACGAGATCAACTCTTTGTCTGTCTAGCGGGCAAAGCTCCCCGTGACACCAGGTGCCATGCCCCATGGGAAGCACACTTTTGATAATGCACGCTTCCCTTCCCTCAACTTGTTTCGTCCGGTCTATCATTGAATGAAGCCGATACCGACGCCGGGCTTGCTACATTGTCTTTGGCCATCTGAGATTTTCTTTCTTCTAGCAGCGGCAGCGGCAACAGGCATTGCATAGTCTGCATTATTGGCTCGAAAGCATTGAACTTGGTATCTTTCAATGCGCGTCGTCTCTGGTTTCGGTCGTCCAGTGTCTTAGTCTTGCGTTCTATCCTCATCACCGAAGCCTCTCTTCCGCCCCAACTCCTTGATCATCACCGGTCTACCCGGTGCCTCTGTGAGTTGTCCGGGCGCCGCAACGCTTCCCCCGTTTGCTCCGGGTGATACTAACATCGTCGCCTGAGATCTTAGTCCTTAGCCACCAGCGTCCCCCCTCCCCTTCCAACCGCGGTGACACGCCCGCCCCGTGGCCACTCATCTACAGACTACGAACACTGAATCAGGACTCGGTCGAACCGACAGGGCCATGCTCAGTGTGCCTGAGGCGAACCCGGCAAAAAGGTCGGCGGCGTTGACTGTCGAGATTCGATTCTGGTGGTCGTGTTGGTCTGTCTCGTTGGCGCCGGCTGTGTCCTGTGGCACTAGGACCAGGATCATCGTTCCAGCGATTTAATTTTATTTCAGGGCCTGTCGTGCCCCTCCCTCCTCTCCCACTCTCCCAGCCTGGTGTCCTAGTCCCATCGGTAAGGCAGGGGAGAGGGAAAGCTGTGTTGCGGCTTGCGGCGTGCCTGATCCTGAGGTGCCACTAGCATCACCCAGAAACCCGCCCACGGTCAACAATTCGAGACTCAAACAACGGGCTAGCGAACTTGCGAGCCTACCAGACGCCGCCAAAAGCCATCGAGGACTCTTGGAGCCTGCACAGAGTCCCACGGACTGAGGAAGAGCTACACCCCTAACGCGCTGCATGAAGAGCTATTCCCCATTGGGTTGCCACATCAGGGTCGTGGTCAGGTACCCGCCTGCGGTGATCGTAACACGAAAGGTACTTGAGCCCACCTTGAAATAACAAGACAGGGGGATACAGATCAAAAACAGAAAAGCAGAAGAAAAAAAGAAAGTAAGGCAAGAGGAGGAAGAAAAAAAACCAAAAGACAAGCACCGGCAGACAGGCCAAGCCTTCAGGGGACCCCCCAATAATACCAATATCCTTCTTCTCCAATTAATAGCCCGACGATTGTTCATTCGCCCCTGAATGCTAGGAAAAGCCAACCTAAAGAGAAAGAACCTAGTGAGGACCTGCCTTTTTTTTTTTTACCTGAGTGCCGGCCGGAGGGTAGCTAGTCGTCTCTTCCCTTCTCGGCTTCCCTCGTGCCTACCTTAAGCAGGAACATCATCACTCATTCTCCCATCTCCCCTTCTCTTCTCCTCAACTTCTTTCCCTTGCTGGAGATTTCCCTTCGTTTCGTTGAACCCCGCCGTCTTTGTTTACCGATACCCTTAGCTGTTGGTTCCCCGCTATCGCAATTTCCTAGTGGAATCTCTTCGCGTGGTGGGCCGTTCCAACGACGTATTATTGACATTGGACTTCGAGCAAACGCGCATGCTCTCTCTGTCGACGACACACTTCCCGCCCCCCCTATCGCGACCCTCTCGCGATTACCCCCGACCAATTCCTAACCAACCGAGCCCACTCAACACCAAGTCTCGACTTTCCCTGTCTCACTTTCGAATACACGACTTGCAACCTGCCCCTCGTCGCCGTCGAGGAAGGCGCGACAGCCCATTTATCCAACCGCCGCAACCTCGAATGCCTCGCGCCTCTCCCCGCTCCAACCAGCAATCGCCTTGATTGAGGCGAGAGTTCACCGACAATATGCCTAGCCTCTTCTCCCGATTGAAGAGTAAGGACGGCTCTAAAAAGGCAAAGAAGGGTGCCAACTTTGACGCAGCCGACCAGCTGCCTGCGAAGCCAAAATGGGACGACGCTTACACGAGGAAGACGGTCGAACCCGAAGAGATTCAGGACTTGATTAGACGTTGCACCGACGAGTTGAAAGCACGAGGTACGACGTTTGCCTTTGCCTTTGAGCTCCTGGCATCACCACTCTCTTCAGTCCAGCCGATTGCGCAAATGTGTATTAACATTTTACATCCTAGCCCTCGACCACCCCTTTCTTCTGTTGCCATTCAGGCCTACTTCGGACCCTAGTGCAGTCCGGACCTTCATCCGCCACTTCTTCGACGGCAGCCAACCTCTGCGCGGCGAATTTTTGTCGCAAGAGCTTCGTATGACTGAGCCAATGGTTTGTAAATTCCAAATACAGACTCACAACTTAAATGCTAACGAATCACAAGGTCATTGCTGGCGTAGTGAAATGGTGTTGGAGTCGCCTTGCCGGTGGTGTTGTAGGATGGGATGCGTACGAGCTGTTCAAAGTCGGCGAGCAAGGTATGTTGCACAACCAGATCCGGCGCTTCACAGCACATTTCATGGGCTTCGTAGGCTGACCCGCGCATCAGACTCAAACATGGCAAGAGACTCGTTTAAAACATTCATACCCCTGAGTGTGGATAATGGAGCTCGTTCATGTATCATTTTCGATTTCTTCGATTTGATGTCTGCGATCGCCGCTCACAGCAAGATGAATGGATTGGGCGGACGGAAATTGTCTCGGACAGCTGCATGGTGGGCGTTCGAACACAAGGACACGGGCAGCGGCTTCGAGGGTGGTTACAAAGCATGGGCAAGGTAAGTCATATTATCACGAGGAACGGACAGCGCTAATCAGCCTCAGCGCCGCTGATGCTACGAGCCATCTTTTCTTCGCCTACCTGCGATCTCTGGCCCCACAGAAGCAAACGCAGGGCTCGATCTCCTTGCTGCCAATGTCTCTCCAAAAGCTCCTCCAGGAAACCGAGTATCCCCCCCAGAAGCCGTCATTGATGCAGTCCTCCACATACAAAGTCGTCATGATCGTGGACACCGTCTCGCCGGGTCCCTTTGCACTACTCCGACGAGCCAATCACTTCCAGTACCGCGATGAGGACCAAGCTTTGCGCGAGTTCTCCGAGTATGAAGATCCCGTCAAGGCGCTGACCGAAGAATGTCGTCGCGTATTGAAGTCGATCTCATCTGCCAACCAATCTCAAGTTTCCAGCTCAAAACACTCGACGAGCTTGCGCGACGCGTCGTGGTCACGTTTTGAAGATATTGGTTTCACTAGTGCTCTCGAGGACGACGACGACGATGATCGAGAAGCAGCAGCCGCCGTTCGCAAGCCCCAGGGCCTGAGGACCACCCCTGCGGCCGGTAACATGGGTTTGGGACGGCCAACTACACCTTCTTGGGCCGACTTCCTTTCGTCTGGCTTTGTGGATGACAACCCCAACAACCCGAACATGCTGCTGCCGCCCGACAAGCAGTTGCCGCCCATTGAGACAGCTCAACGCCAACGAAGCTCCCAATCTCACAACCCACGCCTGGAATCTGATCGCCTTGAACCTGGTGAGCTCGCAAGCATCGCCCGCTTTGATCTCGATGAGAGCTTCTGGTGGGTTTGGATGAGCAGTCTTGCCCCCGAGGAGACCCCAGAGAGAAAGTCAGCATTTGGCCGTTGCGCCGTGATTGAGACCACCATCAAACGTGGTCGATGGCTCGTCATGGAGGAGATGGTTGCTGGTGCCGCTCCCGAACCCCAGGAGGGAGCCTACATTGCTGAGAAGAAGGGATTCTTTAGCTGGACAAGACGCAACAAGGGCGTCAACCGCCGCAAGTCAACTGGCAAGCATACTCTTGAAAAGGGCAACAAGAAGACGGATCCCAATATCAGCAAATCGAGTATCGGTCCCGATCAACAGGCTCGAATTCAGGCTGCCGCTCAACAGCTTCAGGCGCGCCAGCAGCAGGAGAAGCAACAACAAATTTTGCAGGCACGACGAGGCAGGAATGATGAATCTGCGAGAGAGAAGACCACAAGCGTATTCACCCTTCAGCCAGAAATCATGCGACAGGCGTCTCCCGCGATGAAATGGGCGAATAAGTACGATAAAGAGGCTATTCGAGAGGCCTATCTAGCGAACAACACTGCTGGGCGTGGTATCGGGGTTTCTACCATGCAAAGGAACGGAAGCCAAGGCCACAATGAGTATGCAAACGGCAACACCAACGGAGCCGAGCTTCGCCCTGAAGTCCCGGCCAAGTCGCCCTCGCTGTTACCACAGCCCTCGCCATTGACCCAGAGCTCACCAGGATTCCCTCGTTCGCCATCCCCGCTTCCGCCCAGCGTGCAAGACGACGAACCTCGCGTTCCATCGGAGAAGGAATCGGAAGCTCCAAGTGGTCTGCACCCCGCCGACCGATTCGAGGAAGGCCGGAGCTCTCCAATGCCCCCGCCGAAGGACTCATACGACCAGGTACGGGAGAACATGTTCACTCCGGAACCGGACACCAGCCCCAAGGACAAGAAGTCCAAGAAGCTCCATAAGGAGAAAACCGGCGGAGGGGGACTTCGCAAGCTCTTTGGCCGTAATAAGAACCGGAACTCGAAATTGCCCGAGAATGCCGCCGCAGATTTGAACGGTATGCTCCAGCGCGAGACAGCAACTCCCGAGCCGCCAAAGCCTGCTCCTTCTCCTGTTCCCCAGCCCGCTGCTTCTGAGTCCAACCTCCCCACACCAACTCCTGCAGAGGCCTACATCACACCAATGGAGACTCCTCAACCCACCCCAGTTGAGACCCAAGCTCACGAGCCGCAGTACGAGCCGTCCGTTGATGAATCTCTCTCTCGCGTCGATACCGACGAGGCCAACGAGGCTGATCACGAATTCTCGCGGTTTGACCAGGGCCCTCTGCAAGAGCAGCCTGCGTTCATCCCCGACGACGATTCCGAGGATGCTGTTCCACCCCCTATCGCGAGACGTGCGAAGACCCCCGAACCTCCCGCGGATAACTTGTCCGCACCGGTGTCTCCTGAGGATGGCCCTCGATCGCCACCTGCAGTCGATCGATGGGCACAGATCCGCAAGAACGCTGCAGAGCGCGCAGCCCAACGCCAGAGCGAAGAGCAGAGCCGCGGCGGATACAGCAAGACTACTGACGATGGTGATGACACAAGCGGGGAAGAGAGTGAGTACCCTCGAAACTCAGGAAGATTGACGTTCAAGGTCTGACGATGTATAGCAATCGAATCTCGCGTCGCACGCATCAAGGCCCGTGTTGCCGAACTGACTGGCAACATGGAGAACTCCCAAGGTCCTCCTTTGACGGGTGCACGCACCCCTCCCGTCCGCCGTTAAATCGATGGACAGTTTTTTGAGCCTCGCGATTTGACATTCAGATTCTCTGCGTACCATGTTTTGAATTATTGCAGCATGAGGCATCTTCACGACTAAAAAAGCGCCTCCTCTTTTCCGGTCTCTAATTCTCGAGATACAAACGTCTCCGATGACCATATCCCTAGCCGGATCTAGCCCCTTTTTCCAGTTATTAGTCGCTAATACCTTTCTGCCGTCCCTTTTCGTTGCGGGTTGTTACAGAAGATGATACCACTAGAATAGCAAGCCGATTACGCACAATGTCAATGGCAGATTTGATCTTTCAGTATAAGTGATGACGAGAACATTGTGACCCAGTAAGAGCGAAGCAATGAGGCTCATCTATGTTTTGAGTCTGTCAGTGAGCCCGGCACTTCTCGTGTTGTCTCAATTTCATTTTGGAAACTAGTATCTGGAACAATGATAATTTATTTGCGATAAGGTCTCCTTCCCAAAGTCATACCTGTATTATCCCGAGATACATACGCGTTGGTCTACTGATCTTCTGTGGTCTACAGCAGACGCCGTCTCTAGCCTGCATGGGCGTCACGTTTTGCGTCATTCAATCAGATGCCATTCAGTCAGGCGTCCTCGACCGCCCTCTCCTCTATCGTGGGCTTGTCATCTGCGAAGTTGAACTCGCCGCACTTCAAGTGGCGGCTCACCCATGGGTTGAAGGTGAGCACCTTGCAGCCTTCCCAGGGCGTCCAGACAAGTGTGTGGATGACCTCGATGCGCAGAAATTTTGTGGCCGTGAGTCCGCGGTGCGAGGCTGGTTTGCAGTGTTTGAGGCAGGTCAGGTTGTGGCGGTTGCTGTCGCGGCAGATGTATTGCATGACGCTGCACATCTTTCTGACGGTGAAGTTGCAGGTGTTTTATGCTCAAATCTTGTTGGTATGAGTTTTTATGAGCTCCGTGGTTAATGTTGGAATGGTTTTCCGAGAGAGGGTTCTGCGTGTAAGGTAGGAGATTTGAAGATTGGATTGTGTTGAGGCGGTGATTTATGTGCGACGATATCTGGTCTACCTTTCGACCAGAACCATGGTGGCTCAAGCAGGATATTTATTAGGACTCGATATCGACTTTATATTTTTGAGGGTCTTGGTGACAAAGAGCCAGGTCCGTCAGATCTGACGACTGTGGAGGACTTTCGAGACGCCCCATCGAAGTCGGTGATACCTTAGCTTGCGAAACTAAGAGGCTGTTGAGTAACAAAGTGACGCCTTAAAGGCCATTGTTACGATCTGGCCTGTCATGTTAAAGATGAAGCTGGCGAGATGCAGCACAATATACGACGTGTAGTATTTCTGGGGCCCACACGACGATGTGAGTCTGATGGCATCTACCTCAGGCCCTTTGTCGAATTATCGCACTGGACGGTGTCTTGCATGTTGGATTCTTAATTCCCCTCGATGAGAGAATTAAGGTCTTTGCAGAATTTCCACAATCAGAGCCAATTCTTGATATCTTTCCGATCCTGTGAAGCCCCTAGACTATCATATCCATTGGGATGACGGTCGCGCGTTGGTGACGAGTCCTTAAGCCAATCCTGGAGAAAGAATGGGCCGTTGAAGATTCCTCCTGCCGTATACTACTTACCTCGATATGGATTGCGTTCTGGTTTCCTAATACGTTCGCAGACCCATGCCGTTGGAAGCACAAACGGTCTCCACAAGCGGCACCTTGCCATCAACATGCATGATTGCCTTCCAACCGAGAAGAGGGGGTAAACAACATTATCAATCGATTTCATGAGGGGGTAATAAAGGGATCACTGCCAGCAAATTCCTCCCTCGGACCGCTTTTCCTTTGCCTCTCGTTTTTTCCATCAGAGTCGAAAAATATTTTGAAGACATTCGAAGCATAACATATCAGCAGCGGCCATGTCCACCGACCAAGAGCAACCCGGCGACAACGGTCCAGTCATTTTGGCAGATGACTTTGTGAGTACCTCCATGTATTCCATGATTATGAATTCTTCTCCATCTTCCTCGCTCACCTCAAACTATCGCAAATGTCCTGACAATCTGCTGCTTTAGAGCGCTGATGATACCTCATCGGACCGGGCAACTGTAAGTATACCCGTCCATGACAACACGACAAAGCTGTGTTATCTATGCTGACCTTGGACTCTTGCTTCCTCACTCTCAGAGTATCGCATCTTCAAGCACCAGCTTGGCAAGCTCAATTCTGAACCACCGTATTGAGAATGGCAGAACCTATCACCGATACAAGGATGGCCGTACGTATCCCTTGCATGACCTTCTTTCATTCCAACGAACTAGCTAACTTGACATAGAATACAGCTACCCTAACGACGAGAAAGAGGCCGATCGTTTGGGTAAGTCAAACGACGTTCACGTGCTCGCGCGTAAATCTTACGAATGAACACAGATTTGCAACACAACGTGTTCCTTCTTACACTCGATTACAAGCTCGGCCTTGCCCCCATTGCCCAGCCGGACTCCAAGGTAAAGCGCGTACTCGATGTGGGTACCGGCACCGGCCTCTGGTGCGTTGAATTTGGCGATGAACATCCTGATGCTGAGGTCAGTTTGCTTGCTCTCGTTACCCGACACAGAAAAGATGCCGGTTTTGCTGATGACCACCTCTAGGTGATTGGTATCGACCTCTCTCCCGCACAAACAAAATTGTATGGATGGATTGTTTTCTAGAACGGGTGGGGGTTTTGTGCAGAATAGTAGTCACTGACTTGTTCTCTTACAGCGTCCCGCCCAATGTCAAGTTCGAGGTTGACGACCTCGAGGAGCCTTGGACGTACCACACCAAGTTTGACTACATTCACACACGCGCAATGACCTCGAGCATCTCCGACTGGAAGAAGTTCTTCAAACAATCTTACGAGTGAGCAAATGGCGTACCAGGCCGTCTCGGCTGAGCTGCCCAGTCCATAAAAATTAAGAAGCCAAAAAAAAAAAAACGTGACTAATCCATCCATCCAGATTTCTCGAACCAGGCGGGTACCTCGAGCTGCAAGAAGGCCACATGAGACCCGAGTGTGACGACGGCACCCTGAAGCCCGACAACCCGCTGCTGGAGTGGGTTGACAAGCTGGAAGAGGCCTGCGACATCTTTGGCCGCCCCTTTGTCGACTGCCCCGGTCTGAAGCCACTTCTCGAGGAGGTCGGCTTCGAGGACGTCTCAGTGAACAAGTTCAAATGGCCGCTCAACGGGTGGCCGAAAGACCCACACTACAGAGAGCTCGGGATCTGGACTGTGGAGAATGCGCTCGAGGGTCTGGAGGCGTGGAGCATGGCGCCCTTTACCCGGGCTCTCGAGTGGACAAGGGAGGAGGTCACCGTCTTCCTTATCAATGTCCGTAAGGAATGGCAGAATAAGAATGTGCATGGATATATTCCGGTGTAAGTCCAAATCCGCCGGCCCCCTCTGGCTCTCTACCTACCAAATATGCCCCCGCTCGACAATGTTGACAAGCATTCAGGTACATCATCCATGCGAGAAAGCCGCTCGAGGAGAAGGAGGAGGAGGAAGAGACATCTTGAGAGGAAGAAGTTAATCGAAGATACGCCAAGCGTGCTTGGATTTGAGGGATAGCAAACCTCGTGATTTTCGTACTAGACACTGCGATGGGAGATGAAATCAGTACACGTGTGAATTCTGCATTCGCCGCCGCCGCGTTTCATCCGAGATTCAATGACTTTTGCCTCTTTCAGTTTGAAACTATGAAAAAATTCGGGAATGATGTTGGAAATTGCAACCTCCTAAAGACCAAATCTCCTCTTGACAGTTCAGCACTTTCTCTCCATGGCCTGGACGAGAATGCCCCCCTCCACCCATAGATAAAGTAGCCAACAAACGAGTAAATCCCTTCTACGTTCAACGACCTCCGTTTGTCGCATGAAACGATTTTAAAGAAATAACACCTGGAAGCTTGGCCCTACACGTGTTTCCACGTTGCAAGACGAAGCAGATGGAGAGACAGCACAAATTGGCAGGCCAAGAGAGGATCAAAGATTTCAAGCCTTCGCGTACTTTGGCTAGACGAAATGTTCTGACTGGAACTGGCACCTCAACGACATTTGGATTTATTAGTGAGGTGTAGTAGTGACCGACTACCTCATGTTGAGCTGGGGAAGACCTTGTTCAAACGTACAAAAGTTCGGTCAGCTCATCCCACCAGGCCAGTTGTGCTCAAGTGCATCACGTGAAGGTAGGACAAACAAGTGAACAGAGAGTTTGGAGTTCCATTGGATCCAAGAGACAACAACATGTATCTATGAATACAATTCCGTAGATGTGAGAAAAATGCCCAAATTCAAAAAGCGCGCCAATGCGCACCCGTTACTCCAGTTATCACTGTTTTACCCCGAAAAGATACCGTCGTGCGCTCGTCGTAGATGATCATCCCGAAATCTAAATCTCCAGACTTGGCGTCTGCCCCTTGACGCGTCCAATCACCTGCTGTGGTGCGTACTTGGGGATAACCTCGTCGTCATGCAACATCTCAAACTCCTCAGTCGCGTCACGGCCCATGAAGTTCATAATGGCCTGGGGTCCGCCAGGATGCTCCTCGAGCCAGTTGGAGAGGTCCATAACGACACCCTTCACGACGACCCAAAGGTCCTCCTTAGTGTTGTGCTTGGCGACCTCCTCCATGGAGAACTCCTTCTCGGGAACCTTGAACTCCTTGGGGTTGTTGGGCTTGGATGCCTTCTGACCGTCCGCCTTCTCGGGCGAGGGACCGGCAGCCGATGTGGTCTGCTGTGCAGGAATGCCGTGACCTCCGGAACCACTGCCGTTGTTCCAGTCGATCGTGACGCGACCAGGCTGTGCGGGGTCAAGATGCAGAGAGATCTGACCGAGACGCGAGGCGGCGCCTCCTGAGCCGTTGAGGGCCTGCTGGAAGAGGTAGTTGCTGGCGGTATCACCGGCAACACGTCCGTAAACGACACAACCAAGCAAGGAAGAACCGCCAAGACGGTTGGCACCGTGAACACCACCGGCAAGCTCACCACAGGCAAACAGACCGTCGAAGGGCTTCTGCTCGGTGTTCAAGACCTGAGCCTTGTCATTGATCTCGATACCACCCATGGTGAAATGAAGAACAGGCTCCATCACCGCCACGTGGAAGTCATCGTTGATGTCGACGGGCAGGTTGTGGAAGAACTTCTTGCCCCAAGGGTCCTTCTGCTTGCCATCGGCGATAGCGTTGTAGGTGGTGAAGGTCTTCTGAAGGTGGTCGGGAGAGCAGCCAATCTCCTTGGCCAGCTCGGCGCCAGTCATCTTCTTCATCAGACCACGGCCAGAGTAGTGGCGAGTGTGGAAGTCAAGAACCTTGGATGCCTTGGAGTTGAGGATGAGCCTGATGGGGAACTTGTTCTTGTCCTTCTCCTTCCACATCATACCAGAGACATAGTCACGGTGGCCCAGCTCGTCGCAGAACCGATCACCGTCAGCGTTGAGGAGGAGACCACCCTCACCACGAAGGGCCTCGGCGGCCAAGAACTTCCATTTGGAGCCGGGATCCTTGGGATCAACCAGGCCAGTAGGGTGGACCTGGACCTTGTCCATGTCGATACCGTTACCGCCGATAGCCATGACCATCTTCTGACCGTCACCAGTGGCATGTGTGCCGTTGGTGGTGGCGAGGCCGAAGGTATCGGGACGGTGCTTTTTGAGGAGGGACGTCTCGCCAAAGTCGGCGGCGTAACCACCGGTGGCAAGAATGACGGGGCCGTCAACCTTTTGCTCCTCACCATTGAACTCGTATGAAACACCAGTGATGGTGTTGCCGTCCTTGTTCAGACCAGTGACGCGGGCCTTCTTGATGATCTCGACACGCTCGGGCTCGGTCTCAGCGAGCTCCTCGAGTCTCTGCATGAGGGCGTAGGTGATGGCCATACCGGGGAACTTGGCATCGTGACCACGGTGGGTACGGGGTTGGGAGTGACCTCTGTCGTATACATTAGGATCTGAGGGAACGAGGCAGTAGAATTCAACGATTGACTCACCCTAACCGTGAAACAAGAGTAAGGTCCAGGTTGAAGACATCCTGGAGCCACTCAACGGCAGCGGCGGACTTGTAGGTGAGGACCTTAATGAGGTCGGGGCGGGCCTTGTCACGAGCAGACTTAAGGGTATCATCATAGAACTGCTTGACGCTGTCGGCAATGCCGGTGTCGACCTGTGTCCGCGTCAAGGCACCGTTGATGCCGGAGGTGGCCTTTGTCGAGTTGCCTCCGAAGAAGCCTGTACGATGCGAGCGTGAGTTTTTTGCGACAATCAAAAGCAGCTTGGCAACAGGTTGTGAGACTTACCCTGCTTGTCGAGAACAACAACGTTGCCTCCTGCGAGGTAGATGGTGTGCGCGGCACTCAAGCCGGACACTGGGAATGAGGATTAGCATGTGAGCGTGGAAAATGAGGCGACATTGGCCGCGGCAAAAGAGTGGTGAGGATGTGAGGTGGGAGAAGTATGGAGACAACTTACAACCACCGCCGACGACGATAACTCTGGGTGCCATTTTGATTGCTGTGATGGTATTGATGCGCTCCAAAGGACAGAATGGAGAACAAACAAAGAGGATGGGGAAAGGAAGTTGGTGGGGAGGGAAGAGAGTTTGGATGGAGAGGTTTAAGAAGAAAACGAGAAGAGGAGCGGCGCCTTCGTCTCGTTACTACGCCGAGGGATTCGGACAAAGGCACAAGGACGACGCGGGTCTGGGGCCGAAGGCAGGTGCAGGTGGTGGTATCCGCAAGGGACTCTGGGGGTCTGGCACTCTCTTCTGGTTGCGTGGTGCCCAGAGTGCCAGAGAGGCGTCGCTGACACGGCGATTCGTGAGCCGAGGTCGAAGCGCCGGTGGGAAAAGCAGAAACCAGGGGGTGATTCGCACTGGGGACTTCTATGGCACACGAATGGGCCGCCCACGGTGCTAGTAGGTTTTGGGCCGAGTTTTGGTCTGAGTTGGGGGTCGGGGAAGGGGACGGTCTGGGGCCTGGGGGAGGAGAATTGGCGTTACTAAACGGGGACGGAAGGAACGTACCAGTAAGAATGAGCCTTTTGGTCAAGCAGTGGCAGTGGCCCGAGGGATAGGTACAAAGAAACAATGGCCCTTCCTCCCCCACTTTTCTCCTTTGGGAAGACTGTGGGGAAGCCGAGATCGACGAGAGAGGGAGAGACAGAGACTCTTCCTACGCTGTTGTTATTTCCCCAATTGCGCATCGCGAGAAAAGTTTTGTCCACAACGTATTTACGACCGGCAATTGCGCTCGGTCTGCGGAGAACTCTGCAACTGAAGTGCTTTGGTGGCACAGAGGACCCCAGGCAACCCGTTGGCTTCTCGCAGTATTTCTGGCCGAGACGGGGCCTGCGTTCGCCTCCCTCGGTGGTGGACCGCGACGTGCGAAACTGGGGGAAACTGTGGGGGACGTCTAAAAGTTTCCAATTCCCCGTCGGGCTGGTTTGCTGCTAAGGTCCCGTCTATTACTGCCTTAGGACTTGGGCACCTCCGCGAACGGATCCCATACGGTATCTCACGCTGACCAACGGAAGAGGAGGCATTAGAGATGTCGAAGCCGTTCGACCCCAAAAACCTCGTGATGCGCTTGAGGCTTTTGAGAAGGGATGGCAGACGGGCTACCTGCCCGGCCTTAGCTCTCCAACTACAATGTTATGTGGACTTTCACGAGTCAGATTTGGAGTAAGCTGCCGCAGGAAAGGCTATGAAGAATTTGTTGTGACAGTTTCAGGCTCTCCTCGAGCCATTGCCTCTGACATGTGAAGGCCGCTCGCTTTCCACTTCCACCCAAGGTGCATTGCGCTTTCACAGTCACGGGCAACCCTCGTGCCCAAGCTGATGCTGACTGACCTCCAACTGTTCTCTTGTCTGAGAGGCTCGAACCAAGATATTCCGAACTAAGGTCTCCCGTCAATCTCTAACAGCACTGGCGTTGCCTTCCCGCCCCCACAAGCGTGGCCAAGGCCAACCACATGCCTCGTGTCAAAAGGTGAACGGGTAATCGAAGACTCAAGGTGAATCCTCACGGGCATAACCCGTCCATGGGACACGTTCCAAAACCCTTCTCCAGCCCCTCCAGACTGTGCACTCACTCGCGCAGCACTTGCGACTTGCGCCTTGCGTCGAGGCTGCGGCTGGTCGAGCACAACTGAGGCGCCGTCAAATCTTGACGAGCGAGCTAGTCAAATCTACAGGCTACCAGTAGTCTCACGGTCTCACATTCTCACAGTCTGACCCCGTCCCACCGATCCCCCACACAAGAAGTGGGCGGCGAACAACAGGTCAGATGATTGATCGGTCCGGAACTTTTAGCACCTGACCGAGGATCTGCCATTGCATCTTCCCCCAGCCGGCCCAGCTCGCATTACCGTCCCCTCTTTTGGAGCCGCTGCCGGGCGACCAACTCTTGGTCTGCATTCCAGCTTGCCTCCGCACTTGCACGAATACAATTCCCACCCTGTCTCACGGGCCATATCCGATCTAAGGACTCTTTTGGGGGCTGAGCTGGCTGGTCTGGGGAACCCAGGCCGTAGGTAGGTAAGGCTTTTCGCATGTGAAAGGGGGCATCTTGGGGAAAGCGCAGTATGGGCAAAGCCTGGATGTGTCAGGTGTTCTCTTCTTTGACTGCTGACGGTAAGGGAAGTATCCGTAAAGCTTCGCAATTTGCCACCTACCCAGCCGACTTTGTTTCAATTCAACTTCTCATGATTCATGAGAATCTCAAAACCATGGTGATGGTGGTCTTCCCTTCCATCGCGTTGATGGCTGATGTTGGGGGCAATCCTCGACATTACCAATGTTTCCCCCGTTCAAATGCTGCAACAATTCTCGGTGGCCCTTTCGCGCATCCATCCTCACCCGCCCAGAAACCCGCGGATTGAGTAAATTGTGGAGAACGCTGCCTGTCTCCGCAAAAGCTCGTTTTGTGTGACAAAAGGTTCCGGAGGCCCCTGAGTAGTAGAGTGACATTAGCAGCCGTCTTCGGTGTATCTCTGCGAGTGCGGTCGTCTATCAGGAATCCAGGTTCTGAAGCCTGCGTTAGCTACAGCACCATGAATACATCTTCGGAAAGTAATTCTTTAGCCCTCGCCAATAGAGCATCGCGAGTCGGGGTGCAATGCCCAGCCTGCGGTGGTGTCGTTTAGTACCACAGCGAGTCGCGGGTGCCACTCCGTATTGCTGCAGGCGGAGAGCACCGCTGTCATGCGTATTGTCGGAGCATGGATGATGTCATCCTGCGATGCAGCCAATCGCAGTCCTGACATTTCCAAAATCTGGTGCCATGGGGAAATCCAAGGCGCAAAGCCGCATCATGCGCGAGGTGACGCGCGCCATCAGTGGCTTTCAAGCCAGTGCACCTGGGTTGCTGCACTCGTTAGATGCGCCCACGGGAATCTTAATTCGACACACAAATCCCATCCGAGCCAGAAGGAAGAAGCACCATGAGACGGCCCACCGCTACATTACTTCTTCTGACCTGCACCGCGGTAACGGCACAGCTTAGATCCCTCCCCGTCGAACGCTCCGGCCTCTACGCACCCCGCTTCTTCCACCAGAAACCCATCGTCGCGGACCCCCCCTTGGGCCCAGCCATGCCGCCGCCGCCGTCAGGCCCTTCCGACGCCGAACCCCGGCCGCCACCGGCCCAGGACGGCGTGAGGCTCTCCGACGTCATGGGCCGTGACAGGAGCATAAATGTCTTCGCCGGCTTCACGCGCGACATCGAATCCGCCTCGCGCCGCCTGGACGACCAGGAGCGCAACACCACCGTGCTGGCGCCCCTCAACTCAGCTGTCGAGAGACTGCCGCGGAAGCCCTGGGAGGACCCCAAGGACTACCAGCAACTTGGCGAAGACGCCTATGAGGGCGATGATGGTAGGGACAAGGCGCAGAAGAACATTCAGCGCTTCGTCGAGGCGCACATGGTTGGTATGAGTCCCTGGCCGGAGAACAAAAAGGCCAAGACGATAGGTGACGACAGAGACGTATGGTGGGAAACCAAGGACGGTACCAAATTTGTGAGAACAGCCCATGTTTCTCGTAGCTCTCAGACGGGAACTAACAAATCTTCCAGATCCAACCCGGCAACATTGAGGTTGTAAGTGTAGCTAGCACAGCTGCCAACGGCGAAGTGGTACGTTTTCCCACCCCTTTCAAAATCGTACCATTTGCCTCTCTGGACCCGCAAGTAACGCTGCAAATAGTGGATTATCAAGGAGGTACGGAATTATGTCTAGGTAGTTGGACTTTTGGGTTTGAACGAGGGCTTGCCGGACTGGCCTGGGCATTAGTGGTTGATTGACGAAGAGCAAACGGATACCCGGGCAGCATATAACAATTCAAGACGTCTACGATTTCTCATTCCTGGTGGACGGAAGAGACAAGCAATCATAAGCGTTTGGAACTACGACTACCTGTGAAAGCAAAATGTCGTTCCGATTAAACAGCGACTCATGGTGGGAGCTATTTGGGCAACCCAGTTCAACACCTTTCTGCCCGCCCCTGGCAGTGACCCAGAAACTTGGAACTCGAGCATTTCGCCACCTTGAATCGATCGACGGTGGTTTCGATCCGTCCAGGCCTGGAACTGGTGGACGTATTTTCTCCTTGTTAGGGACCTTAGCACGATATAATCCTGCAACCCCCCGGGCAACAATTGGATGTCGTTGAATTGGGCTACAAGTAACCGCAGGAGTGCAAGGAAAATCCTCACATTACAAAGTCCCGTCTACAGCGTTAACAAGAATAAGCGCCTTCAGAATATGGGATGAAAAAAAGCTACTAGGTTACCCTTAGGACTGCCTTTCCCCCAAATCGGAGATAAGGTAGAAAGTGGATCAAGAAAGATAGCATCGCTATCTCCACGTGATACGGCTTCTTCCGTACCCGGGGGCTGTATTCCAATCAGCCGCGAAGGGGTTGGAACAGCAGCTACCAAGCTCGTATACCACCACGGATTTTCTCTACGTGACGTCTTCATAAATCTACGATACTATAATCTGAGATAAGGCGCTTGATCCCCATGTAGACAATATACCATCGGTAGCACCAGTCTGTAAGTGTCTTCAACTTCGACACGATTCCCTACCGCTGAGGACTGGCGGCCGACGCAAAGCTTGCGCGGTTGCAGAGTCCAGCCACCCCCCCTCAGACTCTTCAGCGCGCAACTTTTGACAACCCCTCTACTTCCTCCATACTCTCTACCTTGAACAAACGCGTCGCTGACCATCGAACGGAAGAGGACGATCGATCTCAGGATGATGAGCGGGAAACCCGCTGACGAGGTGGACGCCTACGAGCGCGAAGCCGAAAATCGTCGTCGTCTCCAAGAAGCCGAAGAAATGGAACGACGCGAACAAGAACAGGCCGAAAGACGTCGCCGGGACGGCTACCCCCCGGGCCCTCCCCATCACAGCAACGCTGGCTCCATTCCCATACATCAACCCGTTGCATCTCGTGCGATGGGCGCAATCCATAGCCCCGGCGGCCTGCTTGCGAACCACGGCTCAGGCTCTTCCGGGCCTCCCATGTCACTCGGCGCCCCCTCGGGGCCTGGCGCGAACTTCGGCGGCCCCCTTCAACCCGATAACAGCAGACCTCCGCAACACGGCGGTCCGAACAACCCCAATACCCAGCACCAAATGTTCGCACCGATCCCGCACACGACTGTCCCTCCCAACAACTCCCTAGGCGCTGCCAGCGGTGGTCCACCTGTTTTCGGAGGACCGCTGCAGCAGCGCGAGGGCCAACCACCGATGCAACAAGGGCCGCCATTCGGTGGCAATGGTGGAAATAGCGGCAATGCTGCTCCCGGCGCGGCTGGTGGTCAGACTCAAGTGCCGCCTGGCCAGCAAGGCCAAGGTGGCATTGCTCAAGGCCAACAGCCCATCTTGAACGTAAGTTGAATCAAGTCATTTGTACACTTGCGAGATGAGAAGGCGAGCTTTGCCAATGCTCTTACCTGTGGCTGGACCATTCAAAGTGGAAACCGATGTGGGCTGGTGCGCCGATACGGTGCATGCTTTGTCTAGGCAGGATGCAGTGCCCCCCCGCGTGCATATTCCGTCCTTCCATCTCGCTACATCCAGTTGCTCCTCGTCTTCATCATCATTCCATCCCTCCAATTTCCCTCCAAAGCCATGCGCATCACACCCTTCTCTATGTAGGCTGCAAACCAAATGCAGCCGCGGTCATGGAGCCCGTCATAGTCAAAGTAAAGCTTGGATCAGAGTTTGAAATTTGATTGTCAAGAGCAAGAGCTAACTATTAATGGTAGGATGCCTTGACGTATCTCGACCAGGTCAAGGTACAGTTCCACGACCAGCCAGACGTGTACAATCGGTTCCTCGACATTATGAAAGACTTCAAAAGCCAGGCGTAGGTGATTCATCCGTTGTTCAGGTGACACAACTGATCAGAACAGCATTGACACTCCCGGCGTCATCAATCGCGTCTCGGAGCTTTTCGCTGGCCATCCCAACTTGATCCAGGGCTTCAACACCTTCCTGCCGCCAGGGTATCGGATTGAGTGCGGCGCCGGCAACGACCCTAACACCATCAGGGTTACGACGCCTATGGGCACAACCGTTCAATCCATTGCAGGCAGAGGAACGCAGGTCGAAGGCCACCCACACCCCAATGGAGCTTCGCAACCGCTCTTTCCCCAGCGCGGAAACAACTGGCAGCAGCAGCAGCCGCCGCCGCAGCAGCAACAACCGCCACCCCCCCAGCAGCCTCAGCACAGCATCGAGAGCCCTGAAGCCAACTTCAGTGCACCGGCATTTATGAACCAGGGCCACGTTGCGCCTTTCGAAGGTCCTGGAGGTCAGCAACGTGGTCCTCCGGCGCAGGGCGCTGCGCACGCGAACAACGCGCAACAGCCGCCTCGCAATGCCCATACGCCAACTCCGGTTGCGGGACCCGCAAATGTGAATGGTGCCACCAACCAGCAGCAACAACAGGCAAATATGGAACGCCGTGGTCCCGTAGAGTTTAACCATGCCATCAGCTACGTGAACAAAATCAAGGTCAGTCTAACTGGACTTCTTTTTCCTTCCTTCTCATACCCCCTCAGGCTGAGGCCTCGCGCACTAACCACGCCGCAGAACCGCTTTCAGGACAAGCCTGAGATTTACAAACAATTCCTTGAAATTCTCCAGACTTATCAGCGCGAACAAAAACCGATTCAGGACGTGTACGCCCAAGTCACGACCTTGTTTCACACTGCACCTGATCTACTCGAAGATTTCAAGCAGTTCTTGCCCGAATCTGCTGGACAAGGAAAGGGAACACCAGGCCGACCTGGCGATGAGCTCCCACCTGGCCCTGGCCCGAACCAGACACCCCAACCGACCATGAGCGGCCAGAAAATGCCTCCCTTGGGCAGCTTTGCTCCTCCCAGTGCTTCCAAAGAGAACAATAAGAAGCGACCAAGGACAGACAAACAGACGCCCGTTCCTGCGCCGCCTGTTGTCGAAACTGTGGTCCCAGCTAACCGAGCTGCTGCTGGCGCTCCTCCTTCCGCGGCCGTGAACAACAAGCGAACCAAGTTGTCACATAACAAGGCTTTGGCTACAGATGCTCCCGCAGTTGAGCCGACGCTGACGCCGATATTACCGGAGCCTCTAGGACCTCCTGCGTCAACCACCTCCAACTCTGACGAAATCGCCTTCTTTGAGAAGGTCAAGAAATACCTGAGCAACAAAACCGCTTTTAACGAATTCCTCAAAGTCTGTAACCTGTTTAGTCAATCCATTATTGACCGGAATACAGTGTTCCACAAGGGCAGCGTTTTCTTTGCCGCAAATCCCGAGCTTCTGGGTTTCTGGAAGGCATTCCTCAAGTATGAACCGCACGACGAGATTGTCGATAATAGACCCGCACCCCCTAGCGGCAAAGTATCGTTGAGTAACTGCCGAGGCTACGGTCCCAGTTATCGTCTTCTTCCCAAGAGGGTATGTCACTCAAAGTTTCGTCTCAGTTGCACACGCTAATCGTTTTCCAGGAGCGTCTCAAGCCTTGCAGCGGCCGCGATGAACTTTGCAATTCCGTATTAAACGACGATTGGGCCTCGCATCCAACTTGGGCCTCCGAGGATTCCGGATTCGTCGCTCATCGCAAGAATGGTTTCGAGGAGGGATTGCACCGAATCGAGGAGGAACGCCACGATTACGACTTTAACATTGAAGCAAACCTCAAATGCATCCAGCTCCTTGAGCCCGTTGCCCAGCAAATCAGCGTCATGTCGCCTTTGGAGAGAGAGCATTTCCAGATGCCGCAGGCCTTGGCCGGACACAGCACCTCGGTCTTCAAGCGCGTCTGCAAGAAGATTTATGGTGAAAAGGGCCCCGAAGTTGTCAACGACTTGTTCAACAACCCGCTGAATGTGGTCCCGATAGTTTTGACCAGAATGAAGCAAAAGGACGAGGAATGGCGCTTCTCGCAGCGTGAGTGGGAGAAGGTGTGGCATGCGCAAGTTGAGCATATGCACCTCAAGAGCCTCGACCACATGGGCATTCTTGTCAAGCAGACCGATAAAAGGAACCTATCAGCTAAACACCTCGTCGACGTCATCAAGACCAAGGCCGAGGAGCAGAGGCGCCAGCGCAGCTTGAAGGGCAAAGCTCCACGTCATCAATTGGTCTGGGACTTCAACGATAAGAAGGTCGTCGTTGAGCTGCTTCGTCTGATGATGCTCTATACCGTCAGCAGCGGCCAGCACAGCGTGCCAGAGAAGGAGCGCATTGCCTACTTCTTCGAGACCTTCATCCCCGCATTTTTTGATATTCCCGAAGAAGACCTGGAGGGTCGTCTGCCGAGGCTGCAGGATGTATCGGAAGAAGACGAGACTGAGGAGGCCGTCCCTACCGAACTCACCAACGGCCGCAGCCGTCGTGCTGGCAGAAGAGGTGATTTGCTTCGCGGCGTGCTTGACCCTGGTCGCAACGGCTCCAAGCCCCGTGCACAAAAGGAGGGAAGCGCGGCATCTGGTAGCAAAGAGACGACACCTGAAGTTGGGTCGGCTAACGAGGAGGAGATGCCTGATGCTCCGGAGGACGGCGCTGGCCCCGATGTGTCGAACGATCGCTGGATGCCAATTGTCCCGCAGCCCATTGTCACGATTGGGGACGACGCGCTTTTGACTGCTGATGGCGAGCTGAAGGCTGATGGGTTCTTCTCCCGGCCTTGGCACAACTTCTTCTGCAACCAGACAATCTTCGTCTTCTTCAACGTGTTCCAGACGATTTACACTCGTCTTAGGGACGTCAAGGAGAGTAAGGAGAGCGTCGTCGAAGAGGTCAACAGAGTCAACCGACCCCGTCCCGCAAAGGACATCGGGTTGGCTGACAACACTCTCAACTACTTTGGTCCTCAAGACGACCCTGAGAGCTTCTGGCCGAAGACCTTGGAGCTCGTTGAGGAATATATTACTGGCGATATCGACGAAGTTCGGTACCAGGATGTTCTGCGTCACTACTACCTTAAGAGTGGCTGGAAGCTGTACACCATTCAGGACCTTCTCAAGACGCTGTGCCGTCTTGCTCTCACATGCAGCAGCACTGACGCGAAAGAGAAGACTCCGGACCTCATTCAACAGTACCTCCACAGCCGGGAGAAGGAGGAGACAAACTACCAGTCAGAGATTGCTGCCCGCAAGTACGCAGAGAAGTGCGTCAAGGACGGCGAGATGTTTGTCATCTGTTGGGTAAGTCTAACCAATTATCACTATTACTGTCTTTTTCTAACATATTTTGCAGTTCCCACTCAAGTCGGAAGCCTCTGTTCGTTGGCTGCAACGTGAAGACACCACCTTCTACATGGACGAGATGAAGGCCAAGGATCGCTGGCAATACTACATCTCGTCCTTCATTCAGGTCGAGCCGACAGAAGGTGTACCGCGGCATAAGTTGCAAAAGACGGTGTTGGCCCGTAACTTGCCTTCCAGCGACGAGAAGTTTGAAGATAGCCACATTCCCAAGCCCATTTCGTTCGACGAAGACCTTTCTATCAGCATATGTCTGAACTCGAGCAAGATGGTGTGGAAGGCCGGTACATCTGAATACTTTGTCTACGACAACGTTCCCAAGGACAAAGAGGGGCAGGAGCGACACCTCGAGAGGCTCAAGAACGCAAGCAACAAACGCGACACTAAGCTCCGCGAGAAGTTTGTCTTCAACAGCCCCTGGATGAAGGGCATGAGCCAGTCAGACGTCCAAAAGTCCAACGAGGGTTGGTCAAAGTGGCTCAAAGATGGCGTCGCACCCACCCCCGAAGCAGGGGACGCAATGGACACCGCAGAGTGAGATGGTTCCGTTGGATCCATTTTCTCAAGGGGCGGGCGCGATTTCCAGCTTAGATGCTTTGGCGAAGAAGGTGGTAGCAACAATGTGTGAGATTGGAGACAAAGATGGGCGAAGGCTGAGAGTCCAGATTACGAAGATACCAGGCGGCATAGCGGTGCAGAGCGGCATGGCTGCCATGTTAACCCCAACTTTACATGGATTTGTCTCTCTTGATGCCTTAACCACGACCATGAAGCGTGGGACGGGCTGGCATGGGATGGCGCGGGAAAGGTCCGGCGTTAGTTGACATTGGTTTTTCTAATTTTCGCCTTCATTTTCGGAACGAGGAGCAGAGTGAGAAATCGGTAGATAGTCTTTCCCTTTTGGACGTGTTTGGGGGAAGGTGGGGATGGTAAGCTTTTCGCGACTACTCTCGTCTTGAGATGCCCCCTTCGCGACTCAGTGCTTTCCAGACTTTTTTCTTCTACGAGTTGTACAATAGCTGTAGTTGCGCATAAAGGAAAAAGTTTTGCAAGCCTATCTCGAATTAAGATGCCGTATCCGTACTCTGTAGACTGGTGGAACCTGCACTTCGAACTGTCAAGTCCCACAAGGCATAAGACCCAACTAGAAGAGAGACAGAGTTCCACACCTCGGGGCCGATATCGCGGCGCTAGAGCTTGCTGGCTATGTTACTCACAAAGCTTCTTCACATCGTGAACACTGCAGGAAAAACACAGCCACAGGTGTACCGCGTGTGGGGTTTATCAGATCATCTAATCAGCGAAATCTCCCAGGATCTATCCGAGAACGGTGAGAGAGAAACAAAAAGGAGAAGGGAAAAAAGACGCAAATCACGGCAACCAAGTGGGAACTGTGTCTTAGTCTCTAGTGAGGAACAAGTTTGCATTCGTCGAATTCGTGGTATTAGGTAAAAAGATTTGCAATGGCCGCCCATTGCGTTATATCTAAAACGTTGGTATACTGTCACTTTTTTTTTTCCTTCCCTTTTTCTTTCTTTCTTTCTCTTTTTGGTCTAGGAGACCCGCACATCGGTCATGCACTGTGACAGGAAGAAATAGCTGTGTCCCGTCAAGTTCCTGCACCAGGCAGCGTGTAAGAGAATGAGCGTCACATGCGGTACAGCCGCCGACTCTGGTCTCTGTACCTAAGTGTGCGTGTGCGCTCGACGGGGCCACGGCCCCACATCCTCGCCGAGTCAATTACTTTGATTCGGACCGCACGACACCTCGGAGCTCCGAGACTTCTAACTTTTAAGGGAAGTAAAATCTTGAATTTTGCTGTGCTTTTGAGTATCCGTCTATTGCAGGTTCTCAATGACAATGGCGGAGGCACCGCCGCCGCCGTTGCAAATACCGGCAACCCCAATCTTGGCCTTCTTCTCCCGGAGGACGGTTGAAAGGGTGGTGACGATGCGAGCGCCGGAGCAACCGAGGGGGTGTCCGATGGCGACGGAGCCGCCAAAGACGTTGACGGTCTCAGGGTCGAGGTTCAAGAGCTTAATGTTGGCGAGGGCGACGACGGAGAATGCCTCATTGATCTCGTAAAAGTCAACATCCTTCTCGGTGAGGCCGGCGTGCTTGATGGCCTTGGGGATGGCCAGCGCGGGGGCGATGGTGAAGCGCTCGGGCTCGCGGGCGGCGTCGGCCCAGCCGCGGATCTTGGCGATCGGGGTAACGCCGAGCTCCTTGACCTTGGCCTCAGACATGAGGACCACGGCGGCGGCGCCGTCGTTGAGAGGGGCCGCGTTGGGGGCGGTGACAGTGCCGCCGTTGGGGATGAAGGCCGGGCGCATGGCCTTGAGCTTGTCGACGTTGAGGTTCTTGACCTCGTCATCGCGGTCGACCTTGATAGCGGGCTTGCCACGGCCGCCGGAAACCTCGATGGGAGCAATTTCCTTGGAGAAGACGCCGGCCTCGGTGGCGGCCTGGGCCTTCTGGTAGGTCTTAATGGCGTACTCGTCCTGCTGCTCACGGGTGAAGTCATGCTCCTTGGCGCAGAGCTCAGCGGCCATGCCCATATGCTCCTTCTTGCCGTAGGCGTCGGTGAGACCGTCCTTCAGGACACCATCGACGAGGGTCTGGTCGCCGTACTTGGCGCCGTTGCGGAGGACGGGAAGGTAGTGAGGGGTGTTGGTCATGGACTCGGTGCCACCGGCGACAACAATGTCGGCGTTACCGGTGAGGATAGTCTGGGCACCGAGGATAATAGCTTTCATTCCTGAGGCGCAGACCTTGTTGACGGTCGTGGCGGCGACGCCCTGCGAGAGGCCAGCTCCGAGAGCGCATTGGCGGGCGGGAGCCTGACCGAGGCTGGTTTAAGGTCAATACGTAAATATTGTGAGGATTATTATAATTCTTCGTGAATGTGCGAGACGTACTTGGCGGACAGGACATTGCCGTAGAAGACTTCCTCGACATCCTCAGGCTTGATCTGGGGGACTCGCTCGACAGCAGCTATGGAGGGGTAAATGTTAGCTTGCCCCCCGCGCTTCGGACTGTTGATAAGACATTTGCATACCCTTGATGGCGTGAGCACCCAGTTGAGTGGCGCTCAGGCTAGACAAAGAACTGGTAGGAAAGGAAACATTAGCTTCTTGTTCAAGCGGTCAACGTGATGCTTGTCGAGTGAGCTCATTCGTACCCCAAGAAGGAGCCAACGGGGGTTCTGGCGGCAGAAACGATGTAGACGGGGGGGAGGTTGGCCATTTTGAAGTTGGATGAAGTAGACTTTTTTGGTTTGGATATAAGAAAGAGAGTTTCTTCGAGGCTGAGCCGGGAGCCGTTCCTACTTAATAATGAAGAGAGAAGGAAACAAGCAGTTTTTTGTTGGGCAAAGTGTCACTAATCAGAAAGAGCTGCTTCTAATCCCCCTCGCCGCCTTTTTGGATGTTTGGTGGGGTTGCTCCGACCCTGCACCGCTCCGGTGGCCCTGTCCACAGCTGGGACCTTGTGGCGCAGCAGCTAAAGGTAAGGTATCCGCCGGAGGTCCCTGTCAGGTCCAAAGCACCACTGTACCCACTTCCTTAGCGTTGACCGTGCAACCAATTGGCGTAGCTTCAGCCACTCAGCCTTGCAGCCACACACAATATCTAGCCACATTACAGCCTTGCCAGAAACTTTGCGCCGCCGTCCTGCTAGGAGCGCGACTGTGTTTGGACTAGAACTTCAGCTGGTTCCTAGCAACCCACGACTAAAAAAATCTACTTTCGCACCGCTAGACGCCAATATGGATGACCTGTACGACGAGTAAGTATACAAGCATTTCAGCTAGCTGGTGAGACTGTTGGATTGACGCTTTCATGACAGGTTCGGTAACTTCATCGGCGAGGATGTCGGCTCTGAAGAGGCGTCTGAACGAGGGGCGGAGGGCGATTATGTCTATGGTGATGATGCCAGTGAAGCGCCCGCGCCAACTGGTCAAGAACTGATGGAAATTGATGGCAAGAGTAGCTTATTATTGTGCTGCTGGGGTCCCGACTAACCTAGGGGAACAGATGACGGCCCATCAAATGCGATTATCCTTCACGAGGATAAACAATACTACCCGACGGCACAACAAGTATACGGAGATGAAGTCGAAGTTTTGGTACGGGAGGAAGACGAGCAGCTACTCTCACAGCCGATCATAGCACCCGTCGAGCAGAAGAAGTTCAACATTGAAGAGGCCGACCTGCCACCCGTGTTTTTCGAGCGCAACTTCATGACGGACCTGATGAACTTCCCCGATCAAATACGGAATGTCGCATTGGCCGGACACCTCCACCATGGTAAGACGGCGTTCATGGACATGTTGGTGTTGGAGACCCACGATATTACCGACAGACTAGAGCGCCGGGTCGGCAAAAAGAGGGACGAGCAGCTCAGATATACCGACGTCCACATTGTCGAGCGAGAAAGAGGCGTGTCGATCAAGGCTTCGCCCATGAGCTTGGTGCTCCCGAGTTCCAAAGGAAAGTCTCACCTGGTCAACATTTTGGATACCCCTGGCCACGTCAACTTCGTTGACGAGGTTGCGGCCAGTCTGAGACTAGCCGACGGAGTCTGCTTGGTTGTCGATGTTGTGGAGGGCGTTCAGGTCAACACGGAGCAGATCATTAAGCATGCCGTTCTTGAGGACATACCGCTGACGCTCATTGTCAACAAGATGGACCGCCTCATCTTGGAGCTAAAGCTGCCGCCCAAGGATGCCTACTTCAAGCTCAAGCATGTCATCGAAGAGGTCAACACGGTAATCGAGAACACAATCCCGGGTAAGGGCGAAGCAAGGCGGATTAGCCCTGAGAAAGGCAATGTGCTGTTTGCCTGCACAGACATGGGTTGGTGCTTCACTCTGCAGTCATTCGCGAAGATGTACGCCGATACCTACGGCGGCATCAATACGGAGGATTTCGCAAAGAGATTATGGGGCGATATTTACTTCAACCCCGAGAAGCGGAACTTCACGCGCAAGCCGCTCGAGACCCGCTCGAGTCGGTCCTTCGTCAACTTCGTCCTGGAGCCCATTTACAAGATCTTTACGCACACAATCAGCGACAGCCCCGAGGATCTGAAGGTTGTCTTGGGCAGCCTCGGCATTACCTTGAAGCCTTCTCAGTACAAGGCTGACGCCAAGGTGCTGTTGAAGCTGGTGTGCGAGCAGTTCTTTGGGCCCTCAACCGGATTCGTCGATATGATTGTGAGCCACATTCCTTCGCCTGACCAGTCTGCGGAGAAGTACTTGGAAAAGTACTATACAGGGCCTCTGGACTCGAAGCTGGCCGAATCCATGAAGGCTTGCAACCAAGACGGTCCGCTAGTAGTTCATGTAACAAAGCTGTTCAGCACAGCAGACGCCAAAAGCTTTTATTCATTTGGTCGAGTACTTAGTGGCACGGCTCGTCCTGGCATGCAAGTCCGAGTTCTTGGAGAGGGATACTCGATAGATGATGATGAAGACATGGCCATGGCAACAGTTTCCGATGTTTTCATTGGAGAGTCGAGATACAACATTCCGACAGACGGCGTGCCGGCGGGCAACTACGTACTACTTGGCGGAGTTGACAACTCCATCGTCAAAACGGCGACACTCATCCCGCTGAAGCTCGAAGATGACGAGGATCCTTACATTTTCAAGCCTGTCACACATTTCACGGAGTCTGTTCTCAAGGTGGCTGTCGAGCCCATCAATCCATCAGAACTCCCCAAGATGCTTGATGGTCTGCGAAAAATTCAGAAGAGCTATCCGCTGATCACCACAAAAGTTGAGGAATCAGGAGAGCACATTGTCTTGGGTACCGGCGAGTTATACATGGACTGTGTTCTCCATGACCTGAGACGTCTCTACGCCGATATGGAGATCAAGATTTCCGACCCCGTTACTCGTTTCTGCGAGACCGTCGTTGAACAGTCAGCGACCAAATGCTACGCCATCACGCCCAATAAGAAGAATAAGATCACAATGGTTGCCGAGCAGCTGGACAAGGGCATCTCGGAAGACATTGAGTCAGGCAGGGTCAAGATCAGGGACCCTATTCGTAAGACAGCCAAGTACTTCGAAGACACGTATGGATGGGACAAGCTGGCGGCGAGAAGCATCTGGGCATTCGGCCCCGATGAGATGGGCCCTAACATTTTGCAGGACGACACGTTGCCCTCAGAGGTAATGCATTTTTCAAAGCTTCATAGGAGCAGGCAATGTACTGACGGGATGCAGGTTGACAAGAAGCTCCTGACGACGGTCAAGGAGACCATCCGCCAAGGCTTCAGCTGGGCAACCAGAGAAGGGCCCCTGTGTGAAGAACGTAAGTACTTACTTCCCTCACTCCTTGCTTCCATCCGCCTCCTGTCTGTTGTCTGGTCCTTGGAGCGTGCCAGCTATCCTGCCACAAGTCCCCGACCAGGCGGGACTAGCCCCAAGGAGGGTCCTACACTTGGAGCCGGGGTTGTGGTTGGGTTTTGGGGCATGGCTTGCATTCGCAGCGAGACCGTGGTCTCCTCATCTTACTCCAACCTGCCAAAGCAAAACCTGCCAAAGCAAAACCTGCTTCTGCGCACGAGACCTCATTCAACAACCATGCCTTTTAGGGGGGGCTGTGGTCGACCGGGGATGGGGGCACGGCCCTTAGCAGATATCCAGTCCCCACATCAGGCCATTCCCCAGCCTTTGCTCACTCACCGGTAACCAACCGCTAACGATACCTGCTTGCAACAGCCATTCGAAATACAAAGTTCAGGATCACAGATGTGTCGTTGGCGTCGGAAGCTATCTTCCGGGGAGGCGGTCAGATCATCCCCACTTCTAGGCGGGCCTGCTACTCTTCGTTCCTGATGGCCTCTCCTCGACTGATGGAGCCTTTGTACTCCGTCTCTGTGACTGGCCCTGAAGACTCCGCAACAGAGGTCTATACAACACTGGCTAGGCGCCGTGGTCACGTCCTCCAGGATGGTCCTGTGGCCGGCACCCCTCTCTACCGCGTCAACGGTCTGATTCCCGTCATCGACTCGTTCGGTTTTGAGACAGACCTGCGCATCAAGACCAAGGGCATGGCCATGGTCAGCTTGACGTTTGACAGTTGGAGCATCGTGCCAGGTGATCCTCTTGACAAGGAGGTCATTCTGCGGCCGTTGCAGCCGGCTAGCGCGCAAGCCACGGCGAGAGACTTTGTGCTGAAGACGAGAAGGAGAAAGGGTCTCAGCGAGGATGTGAGCGTGGCCACCTTCCTTGAGCCAGAGTTCTACCAAAGCCTCATGGAGAGTGGCGCTCTTGGCGACTAAGGGGTGAATTCACTAGCGTGTGGAGGAATAGCAGCAGCATGCAGGAATGTAACAAGGTCAGCGGTTCTAACACTGCGGCTGTTGAGATAGTGCGGCCAGGCGCTTGCGTGTGGGCCGGTGGTCATGCAAGTCGCTGAACAAGGCTCAGAGCAGGAAGCGAATGCCTCGCATGGAACAGGCAGCGGGGTTGTGACATCTGTGAATAGATGAACCGGCCATGAGACAACCTGGACTCGGGCCGTCGTGTACACCAAGAATTTTTGAGAAATGGGGGACGAGCGTCTTTCGCTTTTCTAAAAGGTGGCATCTGGTTTCGTACAGGTAGATTGTGCTGTTCCCCGCTTGGTGCCCATGCTTGAAGACGGGGTCTAGACCAGCCAGGCGAAAACGGCGTAATGATATATGCAGAGGGGGCGGGCGTGTTTCGATCCCCGATCTCTGTATCCTTTAAAGAAAGATTTGGTAGGATATGTCTCTAGTTCTACTGGGAATGAATGGTATGTGTGTATGTATGTATTTGTTCCTTCGGACGCCTTGCAGGCCCCGGGGCTCTCCCAAGACAAGGAGCTCGGATCGTCGTCCGGTGTGCCGGACGAGTCCGCTTGAACATGTGTGCGGCTTTGCCGTCTATCCGATGTTGATGAAGCATTCGCTCATGCCCGGGTGTCAAAATACCTTTTGTCAGCCCTGAAATAGAACGAATTGAGCAACTAACTGTTTGTTCCATCGCAGACGCTACCAGATAGATAGAAATATGTTCCTATTCAGCAAGATGTTCTGCGAGGGTGTGTAATCAGTCGCTATGTCTGAGTCATGTCTTCTATACTCACTCACTCGCCTCTCGAACGAAACTGACTGACTGACGCACCCGATGTTGGGCAGGACATATCTCATTTCAATCAACTCAAGTGACGATAATGGCTCTGACAAATGGAGTCACGTAAAAGATCAAA